CACACACACACACACACACACACACACACACACACACACACACACACACACACACACACACACACACACACACACACAAATAAAACATTAATACGGATAATCTTGTAAAGCAAAATGCTCTTTGGAGGGACAATGAATGAGTGTCGTATTATTATTCAGTGGCCGTGCACATTATAACATGTCGACACTGCAATTTCTGTACCTTAAATGTTACGGGAAACAACTTTGCTTCTTGTGCACAACTGTGGAAAGAACAACTTTGAAAATCCCTTCTTGTGCATAACGGTGGAAAGAAATTGTGAGTACTAGTATTATAGTAGTATATAACGTACTGTTAATTCCCGTTGTACGTCTGCGTTCGTCAGGTTCAGGTCCGGCTGTTCCACCAGGAACTGATGAAGGTAACACTTTCCTTTCGTGTCGTCCCGCTGCCACATGGAGTCTGTGAAGACCGACCGCTGGACGGGAGAGGGCAACACGTTAGAAAACCCGCCAGGTGTTCATTATAGAATTTGGTCTACCTTGTCTTTGCAATGATATCATTAAGTTATAAAAGCAGTAGTACTGATTTGTATGTCCAACACGCCCCACTCTCACTGTTGGCATCGATGACCATCGATATCCTTCCTCGAATTAGAGCGACATAGAATAGATCCAGGATGCAAATTCTGGGATCGGGGCTTCCCCCGGCCAAAGTCGCTGCGCCACTTAACACTAGAAATAGTCATTATTGTTATACTATGAGGTAAATACCGCTGGTTGGGATACAGAGGACTGCGTTATTCTTTGCTGAAAATTGGCTTTATATGGTCAATAGAAATGTCAATTGACACTGTGTCAATCTGCTCAATATGCTGAAAGGAGCCCTGAAGCACAGAGCTATGCCTTTCTACAACAGAAAAGAAACTCCCAGAGCTAGCTAAGGGAGCTTGCAAGCTTGCAAGACAGGGCTGGAGCAGGTGAATAAAGGCTGAATGTAGCTGCATGACGCCTCTACGACTGCAGATGCACAGTCGATAAGATGTTTTCTTACCCAGTTAGTTGGAGGAGGGTCGGGGATTCCGTCTCCGTTATTGTCGGCGTTACAGTCCTGCCAGACGTAGTAGTCCGTATATGGACCCTCTCCGTTCCGACTTTTGTTGAACCACTCGTGCTTGTCACTCGTGTGGTTCGGAACGAAATCCAGGATCAGCTTCATGCCTGGAAGAGTACAAGTACACTCTGAGTCAGTCGAAAAGGTTGTCACTTTTGGTACACATTTTTAAAACAAGCAATCATTCTCAACTCTACCATATTTACGTCTATCGAAGGAAAACATATTGTTTTTGTTTTGTTTCCTCTTCTTCTCCAAACCACTAAGGTCATTGACCTGAACCAAACGTCTGTCGCCATGGTTACTAGTGTTGGGTTACACCATGTTGCAATTTTATAACAGGAGGGATTTAAACTCCTTTCTGACCATATATATATATATATATGAATGTGTTTGAGTAGGAATATACAGAGCAGACCATATGCGAAGGAAAACATTATGCATTTACTTTGAAAAGGTTACCTTTCTAGTATTAAAACAAATGAGCTCACCTCGTTCGTGCATATCGTCCAGGAGGTTCTGGAAGTCCTCCAGGGTGCCGAAGGTCTCCCAGATGCCTGTGTAGTCCGACACGTCGTAGCCGAAATCCTTCATGGGAGACGGGAAGATCGGGCTCAGCCAGACCGTCTTCACTCCCAGGTCATCCAGGTAACCCAGTTTCTCCTGGATACCTGGACAGCAACGTTCATTGCATTCATTCACTACATTTATCCAGGTCAACATGTTCATGTTGTGTTAGGAATGTTTACAAGTTAACCTTGATGATCATTGTCATGTTAGTGTTTTAAAAACACTAATATGATCATCATACACTACAATAACAACAATATCGTCACATTTTACATACTATAGGCTCATCACTATCAATTATCGCTATACAGGAGTTTACATCGTTTTTAAACTACGTAACCAATATCCATTTACCTCACAGCATCGGTGATTGTGGGTATACATCCATTCCTTGACAAATGGTGGTTTAATTCAGTTGAACAATAGGTAAATCCAATCTTTGATGGAAGCAGATTAAAATTTTTCAAAAAAATCCCAAAGTGCTGGTTGTTTGCGAAACGTACGCTTACCTTTGATGTCTCCGATGTCATGGTAGTGATAACTTCATATACTAGTATATCATGTGCAGGTAAACATTGTGCATTTGCTTTGCAAATGTCATCTTGGTTATTTTGGATGCGTATCTTTGATGTCACCGATGTCATGGTAGTAATTATATAACTTCAAGGTTACCATATACTAGTATATCATGTGCAGGTAAGCATTGTGCATTAGCTTTGTAAATGTTATCTTGGTTATTTTGGATGCGTACCTTTGATGTCGCCGATGCCGTCTCCGTTCGAGTCCTTGAACGACCTTGGGTAGATCTGGTAGATGACTGTGTCCTGCCACCAGGGCAGGCAGCTGGGTGACGTCATGATGACGAACACCGTCCAGGCGATGAGACCTTGCATAATGTAATATTGTATAATTGATGTTAAAAGAGCCTTCTTAAAGAGCCTTCCCGCGTCGAGTGACGCATAGGGCGGCGCCCATCTCCGTTTTATAGCCCTGGGCCACACAAAGTAATCACTACAGCAGGGGGCTAGTCCACTGGTAGTGGTGTGTGTTTAACTCCCATAGTCTTTCTCAAATGCTGAGTGCTAAGCAGAGAAAGCAGTATGTACCATTCTTAAAGTCTTTGGTATGACTCGGCCGGGGATCGAACTCACGACCTACCGAATGCAAGGCGAGCACTCTACCCACTTGGCCATTGCACCGGTTATAATGGTGTTAAAGGTATATTTAACTCTTCAAAAACCTAGCAAATGAATATTTAGCCAACATTTTTGTATGTAATGCTGTTTAATGTTGATAAGACAAGTTTACTTGATAGTAATTGAAGTGAATGTATATAGTAGTTAATAATATGATGGGGTTTTTTATATTGTGTGTCATGAGCGGACTCCAGAAAGAGTAGTGCTGTGTTGTATATCACTAATTGGAGATTTCTTAAACAAACAAACAAACAAACAAACAAACAAACAAACAAACCGAGGCCGGCCACGATGAAGATGGTCAGGAAGAACCAGCGAAGCCCGACCCACAGCGGCTGCTCAGAGTACTGCAGCAGAACCTCCTTGGGCATCCCCGCGTAAGGCCCCGTGTTCATGGACATTGGGACTGCACTTTCGGGGTCTGAAACAAGCGAAGAAGACAACTCAGAGGTATTCATAACCATTGTTGTTGATGCATATGTAATACTTTTGTACTACTTAGCTATATAATGTATCGTTTCAATGTTTACTCCACGTTCTTTCTATCTCTTCTAGACCATATATGTTCACATGTGCACTTAGCCAATTTGGGTAGGAATATGCAATAAAGATTCATTCAGTTATATCATTTGAACTAACGGTAACTTTACGTAGAAAAATGTGTCAAGTAATGCTTAGTTTACAATTCCCAGCCCGGGGCCCGCCCGGGCAGTTTTCAGGCTCCGATAGGCGATTATGCGGTAAGATCCTGATCGGAGTCGCTGTCGACCTGCGATTCTGCCAGGTTGCAATCTTTAACCTGACACATATATGTGTACCTGGGTAATTTAGTGCCCCCGCCCTCTTATTCCCTAGCACGACAAAACACCAAGTGTTTGCACTGTGGTAAACCATTAACAGAAAACATGCGCAGTGCTGCTCCGACTTGTAGTGGCGTAGACCCCGCGGTTTTGTACCACACCCTTGTTTATTTTGCAGTTTCCCTCCCACAATTTCTTGTAGTTGTACGCAAAACACTACTATGTCACCGTGACTATGTTTCTATAATAAAGCCGGCTACCCAGCCAGAGTCTTAACTAAAGCATGCATGTTTTTTAATGACTACATAGTGAAATATTTTTGCAAATTGTTAATGTTAATGTTAGACATTTGTAATCTTCAAGCAGATGTTGGGTGAACAAATGTTATGCTTCTGACCAACTGCATTTTTGACAGTGCCCTCTCCCCCCCCCCTCTCTCTGACATTCATCTTGTCATATTTTGTCTCTATTTGCCTCACTCTTTCCGTAGATCTAAAAAGAAAGAGGTAGAATTATATGCTCGAGTAGACCCAAATTTACATCCACAATTTATTACACCAATACCTCATCTGCGATTTCAAACTTGGCAGGTCAAGCCGAGAACCCCTGGCTTTTCAGACAGAGCTCCCTTTCTCATTAATTCTGTCTCTCTATTTGTTCCTCAGAGGAAAGCAGAATCGTATGCTTGAGTAAGAGTAGAACTTCCTACGTCTACAGCATTAAATATCTCACGCTACTCACCCGCGATTTCGAACTTGGCAGGTCCAGCCGAGAACCCGTACCCGACTTCTGCCGTCTCCCCGTTGACCTTGCTGTCCTTGCGATCGTCTTCGTCAGTCAGAGCGGGGTTAGAGTTCCCCCACAGGAACCCGCCCCGGGGTGGCATGGCGTCCGAGCTGCGGATGTTCTGGTAGTCGCTCACCGCCGCATCGACGCGCGAGCCCCGGTCATCCTCGGACGGAACGTAGCCCGAATTCTGCGACATTTTGTACGCTGATCCTTACTGATAATGTCGACCAATTCTTACTGCTGGAGTCTGGCGTATACCGGTTCCGAAGAGGAAGAAACTGGGGTTTTGGTGAAAGATCTGAAGAGCGATGTTTTGCCAGTGTGGCCTGTACCCGCCCAACTTGCCGTGATGGCGCGCACTCGAGCCTGGGTATGTTTATCTCTAAGTGTGAACACAATGGGAGGGTCAATAAAAAAAGGGGTGGGACTGGCAATAACAGAGCAAAGTACACCTGCCTTACACCTGACGCAACGCCGTCAGATTTTCACCCAAATGACAGCATTTTTCAGTTCTATGTACATTTTACTAATGTCGATAATTGTCTGCGTTTTGTACACTTAAACATATAAAAAACCTAGTAAAATATTGTCGTTTTTCAGACCTATTTTGATGGGTTTATGTCGTTCTTATCGCTAATTGATCGGTGAAGTGGTAGGGTCCAGACAGGTAAACATTGGCAGGTATTGCCCACCTGTTGCAAAGACTCATGAGTGTTGCGTCAGTCGCACAGAGCGGGGTACTTGATAAATCTGCTATTCATTGCCTCTGTTTGCCGTAACGCAAATAATGTATGGGAGGAAGCTTACAGGCCTCCATTGTACGATCGGATCTTATTTCTTGACATAATAAGTTAGTTTAATGTACCTTATCGCATTGCCGTACGATATGAAAAGAGTACAACTACGAATAAAGGGAACAGTCGTCAAAGTTACTTGCAGTTTATACATATAGACGATGGAAGCATACTCTTGGGATGTTTATACGGCAGGCAACACCTATTTTTTTTCACTTGTCAAGAGCGGCACCAAGCGAATTGAAAGAGAATGGCACAAAAGTCCTGAGTGTGTGACAGTGGCTTTACCTAAGTAAGTGGCGTCAGCTGCTAAGGTCACTCTAGTTTCTCAGACCATGAGGCATAAGAAGATGCCTTATTGTTATGTGATACTGTTACATAAGAAGATGTCTTATTGTCAATTTTGTTATCAACGAAAACAACCTGACGTCATCAGAGGCCTGTGACAGAGTGACTATGAGTACAGGTGAATTAGACGATAGGAGATAATTTTACACTTAAGAAAAATGATGACACGGAAAGTAAACTTCCCCCAACCGGTATCTACACACACCTATCTGCTTGATATCTGTGAAAACAACATCCACAAGTCACTAGGTATCACCTCTTTATAAATAGGTCCAATTGGCAGCCGGTTAAACAGTTATTTACAACTCCCTGAACTGTCAAGATGATGTTCTTCGTTGTTGGTATCTTTTGCCTGGCGAGTATTGCCAATGGTAGGTATGAAATTTTTATATGTTGTCACATTGTCTTTCAGGGAGTCAAAAAGTCAACGTGATTTCTTGTTTTCTAAATCAGGATTTTTTTTCTTACATGACTTACTTTTCAACACTTTTCTTTGTAAAGGAGTGTTCATTCACTGCATTGAAGCTTGTTGAAAGATTTCGTTGCTTTAAGATTTTGTGCTTCAAGATATGCTTGAATATAGCATTTCGTGCGTTGATTTAACGGAAACTTACATTTCAGCCCAGCAGTGTGGCAGCGTTCTCCACGGGAACAACGGTACGCTGATTTCTCCCAACTACCCGAACGGCTATGGACCCAACCTGGACTGCATGTGGACCATCCCCGGCCACGGAGGGATGATCACACTGACGTTCAAGGTAAGACTTTTCTAGCCTAACCATACCAGGCCTTAGCCTCTACCAGGCTTAGGGTGGCGGCTGGAAAGAGTAGAAATTGGCCAAATAGATAAGATGCCAGGGAAGTTGGTCCATCAGAGAGTACAGTTTTCCGCACCTAAAATGTACTCTTTAGTATCTGTCTTTCTGACCGATTTCTACTCTCTCCAGTCGCTTCTCGAAGCCTGGTAGAGGCTAACCAGTCTTCCCTGAAGGAGGTGAGGATGGTAAAATTGGGTCTACCATTAGGGTTTCATTGCCTGCGAGGGCAAATGAGAGCCAACTCTCCAGGCCAATTGTTCTCCCTAGTTGGCCATCTAAGAATCATTTGAAGGCCCAGTTCATCATACTGTCAAATTTATACTGGCATTTTCTTATGATATATATTTGAGATGATAATTCGTCTGCTTTTTCCAGGACTTTGAGCTGCAGGAAGGTACCGATGGTTTCTTCGGCTTGTTTGGCAGCTGCGACTATGACTATGTGGAGGTGCTTGTTGGGGACAGGTCACACGGTGCGCTCTCACTTTTCTACCGCTAGTAGCCAGACAACCAAAATGCTGCGCCTCATAGTTGAAATTAAACATTTATGCAACTTAAAAGAATTTGACTCACTGGAATTTTCGACCAAGTTAACCAAAACAGCCACATGAGAGTTTGCATAGTACAACTTCCCCATTGATCTTCGAATGCTAAGAAACAGCCATACCCATCAGCTTGTCGGGGATGACTGTGTTGTCTTTCTAAATTTCGTTCTTTACTGGTTTGGCTGTTCAACACACAGCCAGGGCATCACAAGTAGCCTGTGGCTATTACAAAGTGCTAGCCTTGCTAAGAAAAGACAAGACAGGACAAAACAAGACATAACAACAATAAATCTCCACGTACATGACATGATAGCCTTTGTAAATTTTTTTTCCTCTGCCGTTAGGTACCTACTGTGGCACTAGACTCCCCGGTACTGTCTCTGCCAACCAGGACATCCATATCCGCTTCGTCTCCGATGCCACCATTAACGGCAAGGGCTTCAAGCTTCAGTTTACTGTCGACCACGGCGGCAACGATCCATGCGGAGAACGTCTGGACGACAACTTTGGCACTGTCACTTCACCCAAGTAAATACATGTTACGGATCTTCCCTTGAATAATTTCATCAGGTTGGAAGATACTTAGGGTATAGAATTTTCTTCTTACACAACCATTCGAGTTGCAGAACTCCAGTCAGAAGCTCTGAGGAAAGTGTCTGATAGACATCGAAACGTAAGCAGGTGAGAAACTGAATGGTTGTGTAAGAAGAAAATTCTATACCCTATGTTACGGATCTTCTTTCGCTTGAAGCGAATAGTATGTTCTTTCTTTAGTGAAGTGAATTTTACTCAGAGTAAGGAAGTTTCCTTAGTCAGAGTTAGAAGAAAGTCTTAGCCATGTTACGTACTAACACCGATAAGTTGCCGCGATAATGCAATGCAATGTCGATTTCAATCCAAACTTCACAAGTAGACCACCCAGGGGACGGGGCTGATAAAATCCAACTGTGCAGGTTTTACTGTATATGTTGTAGACGTCATCAGTCACGATGGCTAGATGGTTGAACTGTCCATATTTCAGACACGTAACCTTGATCTCTACGTTTTGCAGCTACCCACAGAACTACCCCAACAACCAGTACTGCACGTGGACCATCCCCCACACTCAGTACCCCGTCACGGTCAAGTTTATCGACTTCGAGCTGGAGGAGGGCGGCTTCTTCAGCAGCTGTTCTTATGATCATCTGGAGATCTTCGACGGCAGGACAAGCTTGGGTAACGACTCATCGTTTTAATGGATATCTTTCTGTGTCTGTTTCAGTATAGGTATATATTTCTGTATCTGTATCAGTATAGTCGGTATAACCGCTCACCATATTGGCAGAGACGCGGCGCAGAGGCAGCTAGCTATTAAAAAGAAACGTACAGCAACTTGTAATGTTTTTACCGCTATAGTACTGTCCTACAAACAAGTGGATTCATATGAAGTTACATACAATTATATGGAGAAACCAACATGTTGAGTTTAACGTACCGTTTACACCACTTGTTCTAAGGTCTCAAAACAGTCTTCGATGTATTTGCCTATTTGTATTCTGCAAGGATCTCCATGTGGAATACAAAAAAAAAGAATGTATGTAATTGCAATCATTTATAGGATAGGGTGTATTAAGTCCGTGTAAAGATGGATGTACACTTTGAGAAATCCTTGCTGTACGTTATCATGATTTGACGCTTCTGTACTTTGGTTTTTCTCAGGTAAGTTCTGCGGCACGGATGCCCCGGCCGTCCTCACCACAACCAACGGCGTCAGGATCAACTTCAAGTCCGACTCGAGCGTGGGCCAGCGCGGGTTCAAGTTTACGTACCGTGTGGCCGCTCCTGCCACCCAAGCCCCCACCAAGCCTACCAAACCTGCCACTGACAAACCAGGTAAAATACGGCAATATATATGTATAACGCCAACCATCAATATATAAGTATCAACTGCCAATCAATTACACTGATTACTTTTAGAAAAATGGTGTCATTGAGGCCTTCTCAACGTCTTGAACTTGTGCATACCTTGGAAAGTTTTGGTGCTGCGTTAGTAGCCTATACAGAACGGCTCATAGCTATGGGACTGTGTGAGTGAGTGAGTGAGTGAGTGAGTGAGTGAGTGAGTGAGTGAGTGAGTGAGTGAGTGAGTGAGTGAGTGAGTGAGTGTTCTTAACTTTACCGTTTTTAATGTTTTGACCCTATGTTGCTTTCTAAGTTGTTTTTTTAAATATACTTAATTGACAATTTCATACGTTTAAAAAAGATGATACATGTATCCCATACCAATCTTTACCTTCTGTGTCTTCGCTCAGACGGAAGTGGAGATGGCAGCGGCGACGACTTCTTGTTTTAGACTTCCGGTGACGTAAATCCTACCTTCGGGAACGAACTTGTAGCTCACCTTTACAAAGATGGAAATGGAAACGACATGTCTGTTTAAGAACAATATCTTCTATTGAGTATTGTTAAACAACAACTTTAACAAACTATAACACCCCAGCCTGTCAGGAATCTCCTCTACTCCATATTTTCTCTGAAAGCTGCCTTACATGTATTATCATTATGCTTCATTGTAGCCTGCCAACGCTTCATTCAGGTGTCTTGTCTGAAATATTTGCAATGCCAATAAAATAAAATTCAGTAGCAAATCATTGTCCCTTGTCATTGTTGTTCTGTATTACATGTAGTACCTCACGTGTACTTTGGCGGACATTTTTTAGTGATAAAGAGCATCTTCTCCATTCAACAACGTTTAAAGAAAATTCATAATGAATGAAAACAAAGACTGCTAAGAAAAGAACATACTACGCTTGTGTATCTGGATGCTTCTAACAAGAAGGTTAAAAACGAATGAGAGAGCATATAATTACTGACTTTTGGTATTGCCTATACTTAACCCAATGAATATTCAAGAAGAGTCATGATCATCATCATTATTATTATATAACATTTCCGGACTCGACAAGCTACATAGCAAAGCTAAACGCACCGACTGCTGTTGCTGTTTCTCAATAGATTTGCTGATTATTCGACTATTTTTGCTGATCTAGTTGTAACGCCGGTGAGTTAGATACACAGTGATGCTTCCGCCAGATTCTATTTCTGACGCCTTGCGTCAACAAATACCTTACGGAAAGATGATTCCCTTGGTAGCCAGGCCATGGTTCGGACATAAATATCACAATGTGAAAATAAGTTTACCGCAGTGTGCGCTGACGTCCTGACAACATGTGGTTCGTTCTTCTCGGAGTTGTGTGCTTTGCGGCCATCGCTAGTGGTGAGTTCCACGTACATTTCACTCCATCGAAACGTGATAATTTTAATCATAAACATATGACGTTAATGATTCCAATGTACTTTACTAAAGACCGCCACTTTAAAGAAGTAGAATAAAGAGATCTACTTAAACAGAATCAGCAATCTATGAGATATACACACTAAAGATATTCATGGTTTGTCTGATGTGATGTTTTTTTGGTACCCAGTAGAATTTTGAGTGTTGACGTATAGATTATTGAAGAATTCAGATTTATATTTAAGGAGAAAGCTGGATTTAGATGTAAGCAAAAAGAATGGTTAAAGTTTTGCAAGGTAAGGGTCTTAATCTTGTAGGTATCTAGTATGCAAACGTGGGAATCTTGCCAGCTGTGTAGTAGGTCAGGCTGCCCGAACATTTTCAAGGCTGCATACTATACCATTAGCCCTGGTTTTTAACTTCTCTGATCTAAAAGACCACGTTTCTACTAAAATCACAAACTCCACTCATTATGCAGAATCTGGGTCAAGTCATTATCCACAACCTTAAAAGAAGAAGTCGAACCTCATAATAGCAAGCGTGGTAATAGAATCATAAGTATGAATCCAGACAGTAGTTCCTGTTTCTTATTATGTTTACCGAAGGAAAACATATTGTTTTTGCTCTGTTTCTTCTTCTTCTTCCATTTCAAACACTGACCTCTGACCTGGCCAATGACCTGATTTGTTGACCTCTCACACCATGTTAAGTGGTGTTGGGTTACATAATGTTGCAATTTTATAGTAGGAGGGATTTATACTCCTGTCTGACCATATATGTGAATGTATTTGAGTAAGAATTAGCAGAGCAGACTACTAGTATATTCGAAGGTAAACATTATGCATTTGCGTGGCTGTACTGTATCTTTGACTCTACGTAGAAGCAATTAACCTTCGTTCATGATTTTGCTTTATTTTATATTATCTGTTATCGGAACTAGCTGTCCTATTCCATAATCATTAGAATCCCAGATACAATGCTTCTATCCTATGTGCTACGTAGGCGAACAGCCCCAATGCGGGGGGAACCTTGCAGGGCACGCCGGTGACGTGTACTCCCCGAACTTCCCGAACGAGTACGATGCGAACCTGGACTGTATGTGGACCATCCCGGCACGCGGAGGTAGCGTTACTGTAGAGTTTAAGGTGAGAAAACAGGAACAGGTTATTTCAAGTTACTAGAAAATTATTTTAAAGGTGACAAGTTTGAAGGGTAAAGATACTGACCTCCAAATTTTCGATGACTATCAGTCCATCTTGTTCACGGAGTGGCCTAGTGAACAAGATGGACTGATAGTCATCGAAAATTTGGAGGTCAGTATCTTTACCCTTCAAACTTGTCACTGTTGAAAGAATCTTCTAGTAACTGTATCTATTCGTGACAAATGAATCTCTTCAACGAGGTTATTTCAAGTCTTTTACTAGCCTGTACCAGCGTAAACTGTAGTCACAAACGGGCACGTAGAAAGGAAGAATGACATGGTGGCTCTGCGGACTGTATGTGTACCATCCCGGCACGCGGGGCAGCGTGACTGTAGAGTTTAAGAGTTTAAGAGTTTAACGTCTTATTCAAACTTTCCACTCAGGGTCTGGTCACATACGACTTGTGATCGCAAAATGAGGACACAAAACCTTATAGTCTAGTCTAAAATAGAATATTTAAGGTGGAAAGTTGTGTTTATTGTGCTGCATTGGTGTAAGGGTAATGTATATCTATGTAAACTATTAATGTATATTAATAATAAATATTATGTAAGGGTAAAAAAAGTAAAGGTAGTCCCATTTTTAGGCCAGAGGAGCAGTGGGTTCTTAGTCCACTATCTCAAAACAAGGGCTCGGCATTGGGAGGTGGAGCCAATCCCTCACCTTCAAACTCATTTTGCTACCCCAACCAAAGTCTATTTTACACATGATCAAGGACACAATGTCTTGCCAGTAATCGAATCCGTCATCTCTCGATCTTGCGAGAAAAATTAATGATGTTGGACTTTTTTGGCCCATAGAACTTCACCATCGAGCCTCCAGAGATCTTCCTGTTCTACTCTCGCTGCAACTTAGACTATGTGGAGATCATCGTAGGAGACAGGTCCAGAGGTGGGTAATCAATCAATCAATCAATCAACCAATCAATCATTGATAACCAATGCTATACACATATGTAATCACTGTCAAGGTGAAGGTGAACTTCATTCCAATAGGAATTTCTCTGGGGATCAGCCTCATATAGTCCGGCACAGCCTTGATGCTGTATGACGATTGATTTCTGCTCTATATTTTGATACGCTAAATCCAGCCATTATAGCTTTAGCACAGTTTCTTGGTCCCTTCCGTACCAAAACACCCATACCAAAAGACCTTTGACAGAGAAGCGACAAAGAGAGCCTGCTAAAAAAGATAGAAATCCTGGCATCCAGGATAACTTTTTGAATGTTTGCCAACAAGACTTTTTCCGGGGAAGCGACCAAGAAAGTCTACTAAGTTGGATACAGGGTAATATTCTTAACGTTTGCTCAACACAGGCCGTTTCTGTGGCACGGAAATGCCCCCTGCTATCACCGCTGCTGATGACACCCACATCAGGTTCGTGACGGACCAGCTGGTGAGCGGGCCCGGCTTCCAATTCTCCTACCTGGTGCAGCACGGTCTGGCTGGGCCCTGCGGGGAGCATCTGGACGACAGCTATGGTCAGGTTACTTCACCGGGGTAAGCTTCTGGTCCAGCTTTCGTTTCAGTCACTAACTGTTGAAAGGTAGAACCAAAACCACTAGACGGATGGCCTGACAATCCTTGGCGACCAAGGAAGACCCAGATCGAAGGAAAGTTGACTACCTTATGTCGAGGATATAAGTACGTATCACAGGGAGCACAAGAGCAATAGCTGACATGTCAACCAAAATGTGGATCCTAATTAAGGCAATGTTGATTTGATTATATGGATGACATCCTCTGGGAACCCCAAAATTGATGCGCGCGTGCGAATAAAAAAAAAGTTTTGCAAAAAAAAGTTGCTTTCACTATGAAATCTACGTGGTCATGAAGGTTGAACAAATGGCACAGAATATGTTATGGCGAATAATCTACTCTTCTAATCCATTTCTTTACATTTTTGTCTTTTTTCCTTTGATTTTGGCATTCTACGACATTTGTATCGTTTCTAAATGTTTTCCTTGCAACTTATGGTACATTTTTGCTCATTTAGCAACTGTTTTGCACGATTTACAGTATGGTTGAAAACTTTTTTTTTTGGAAACGGCCGAAAATTCATGCGCGCGCGGATGTCATCCATATAATCAAATCAACATGGCCTAAGTCAAAGTCAAGAAGGTGCTAGCTGTTGGATAGTTCCTCCTGAACACGCGTGAAAACTCATTAAGGAGGGTAGGCAGGGGTGTAACTGATAGATGGTCAAGCATAGGCAACTGACAAAATGGTTTGCGTAGCTTACAAATGTTGTCCTTTGTAAACGAAGATTCCCACAACTTTTAAATGTCCACAGCTACCCCGCTCAGGTTAACGCTAGTGTCAATGGAAAAATCATCTAAGAGAACACCAAAAAGTTGCCACATTGGCCAGGTTGCCCTAAAATAGAGGTGGTTATAAGTACAGGTTTGACTGTATATCAATAGCCATGTGGTGCATATGTAGAGGTGGTCATTGGTACAGTTTTAACTGTATAATTTTCAGACATCTAACACTTTTGCAGCTACCCACAGAACTACCCCAACAACCAGTACTGCACGTGGACCATCCCCCACACTCAGTACCCCGTCACGGTCAAGTTCATCGACTTCGAGCTAGAGGAAGGTGGCTACTATAGCAGCTGTTATGACCACCTGGAGATCTTTGACGGCAGGACAAGCTTGGGTACGATTGCTCACATGATCTCACATCTATTAGTCTAATTATTTTACAATTGGGGCACCACAGAAGATCTGACAACCAGTTTTCTCCACTGTTCTCGGTTTTCTGTTCATTTTCTGATGCTATCTTCCCATTTTGCCTGTTGCTTCTTCTTTTTTAGGCCCTGTCCTGTACCTTGGATGACAGTTTTGGATAATACCGAAGACAGCGACACTTGGTCATACCACTTTTCATCCCCATGTGCTACCCATACTGCCCTGTGCCTCCCAGAATGCAATGGGATTGTAAAACAATTTGAAACGTTTGAAAATGTAACATGAAAGTTCATCTGTACGTGTTAGTATAATACATTATGACAAAAAGGCTAAACTTTACGTCCAACACTCAGTAAATTTTCAGCTTTATTCAAGGAATGGACCCGACGGTCTACCACAGCTTCCGGGAGGTGACGTCGGAAACACGTGATTGCCTGACGTTGTCATGATGATTTGATGTTTCTTTGCGTTGATGATCCTCAGGTAAGTACTGCGGCACGGACGTTCCGGCGGTCCTCACCACAACCAACGATGTCAGGATCAACTTCAAGTCCGACTCCAGCGTGGGCCAGCGCGGGTTCAAGTTTGAGTACCGTGTGGCCGCTCCTGCCACCCTGGCCCCCTCTGAGCCAACCAAACCAGCCACCGACAAGCCAGGTAAACATACGTATAATGTTAGCCATCATACTTACGCCGGTTACATTAGCAAAATGATGTCTTGACCTTCTAAAGAAGGTCTTGAACAATACCTCGGTCAAAAGTTTGCAATAAACATATCATTTTGTATGAATTCATTAGGTTAAAGAAATTTTCGTGTTTTCCTCTGTCTACAGGTTGCACAACTGACTACGTGAACTTTACCGGACATTGCTACAAGAGCTTTACGGATTTAAAAACACGCGATGAGGCTAGACAGGCTTGTGCGGCTGACGGTGGAGTTTTAGCCATGCCGAAGGACAGTGCAACCAACGATTTTCTCGCCAGTCTATCACCGGTGACGGGAGGTCGCTGGCTCGGGTTGACTGACGCCGACGGAGACGGCCAGTGGGTGTTTGAAGATGGCCAAATCCTGACGTCATCCGACTACTCCAACTGGCAACCCAACGACCAGCCCAACGGTTCCGGCTGTGTCGGGTTTTGGTCGACTCAGTCTGTATGGGACCCAAGAGGTTGCGACTATTTGAGGGGATTCATCTGTCAGATAATTTGAAAGTATGCATCTCGACCACCACTAGGCATTTCCATCTAAGGACCACCCCTCCATTGTTCAACAACAGTCAAACTTTGACGACCCAACAAGTTAAAGATCTCTACTCCATACATGTTCTGACAGCTGCCTAACATAAGTTATGTTTCATGCCATTATAGCCTGCGAGATCTTCAATCAGTCATCTTAAACTTGTCTGAAATATTTCCAAAGCAAATTAAATAAAAGGCAGTAGCAAAATTTATTTAATCTTTGTGCCTCGTCACTATTGTGCTGTATCACTTTTAGTTCTAGTACATCACGTGTGCTTTGGCAGCCTTTTACATTCTTACTGGCAAAAGAGAATAGCAATAAAAAATTGAGAAATTCTACATTACACACACAGTCCACATATACATTTGTGTGTACATGCACTCTTATGTCAATCAGAATTATATAGTTCAGATATTAATATTTCAAAATTGCCTTTAAGCAACTCCTCTGTTCAACAACGTTTAAAGAAAATCCATACGAGTAACCATTCCAGACTCGAAATGCTAACAAGAAAAGCTAGATGCTACCATAGAGGATTATTACTGTTGCTCAATAGATTTGCTGATTAATCGACTATTTTTGCTGATCTAGTTGTAACGCCGGTGAGTTAGATACACACTGATGCTTCCGCCAGGTTCTATTTCTGACGCCTTACGTCAACGAATACCTTGCGGAAAGATAATTCCCCTGGTAGCCAGGCCATGGGTCGGACATAAATATCACAATGTGAAAATGAATTTACCGCAGTGTACGCTGACGTCCTGACAACATGTGGTTCGTTCTTCTTGGAGTTGTGTGCTTTGCGGCCATCGCTAGTGGTAAGTTCTACGTTTCACTCTATTATACGAGATAGCAAGGACATTATACAGAATCTGATATAATGTCCTTGGAGATAGTATACATTTATTCCAAAACATAAGGCGTTAACTCTAAAAATTCCACCGCGTACATATTACAGTACTAAAGACGAGAAGTAAATTTAAAGAGATCTACTTAAGCAGCATCAGCTATCTATGAGATACACACACTAAAGATATTTGAATTTCATGTTTTGTCTAATGCGGTGGTCTTGGGGTACCCCACAGAATTATAAGAGTTGGTTTTAAAGTTAATGAAGAGATCAGATGATTTAAGGAGAAAGCTGGAATAAGATGTAGGCAATGGTTATAGTTTTGCAAGGGTCTTAATCGTGGGAAACTTGCCAGATGCGTAGTGCTTAGATCAGCCTGCCCGAACATATTTATATTCCCTTATTGTTTTACCTTACTTCCCTTGACACTGTACAAGCAATTAGCCTTCGGGCCTAAAGATTAAAGATATATTATCTGTAATTGGAACCATCATATTCCATAATCATTAATCCCAGATACCTTTCTTATGCATCTATCCTTTGTTCACTTTGCATTTGGTAGGTCGTGAGTTCGATCCACGACCGAGTCATACCAAATACTTTTAAAATGGTACATACTGCTTTCTCTACTTAGCACTCAGAACTTGAAAAAGTGGACTAGCCCCTGCTGTAGCGATTGCAAAAATGTGTGGCCCAAGGGCAACGGAGATGAGCGCCACCATATGCGACCATGCTAATGGTTGCACGAAGGTGTTTGACTAACTATCCTTCGTGCATCTTAGGCGAACAGCCACAGTGTGGGGGAAACCTTGTTGGGCACGCCGGTGACGTGTACTCCCCGAACTTCCCGAACGAGTACGATGCGAACCTGGACTGTATGTGGACCATCCCGGCCCGAGGTGGCAGTGTGACTGTAGAGTTTAAGGTGAGAAAACAGGAACAGGTTATTTCACCCCCTCATAGGTCTTTTACTAGCCTGTACTAGCGAAAACTGTATTCATAAACGGGCACGTAGAAAGGACGAATGACATGGTGGCTTTGTGGACTGCATGTGTGACTGTAGAGTTTAAGGTGAGAATCACCATGCTCCCTTTCTACAAATCCCCGTCACACATTCAGACCCTTCCCCCCGAATACCAGCCTAGCACAGTTGACTGAGGGTCGGGATCAGTCTGACCAGATTTAGATCACACCTGCCTTTCCATATAAATCAAATGAGATTTGAGTTAAATTTGAATAAAATGTGACACCCTACATCCTGGTGTGAGTGGATCAAACCTTAAAAGCCTGGTCTAACGCAGCTTGTTCTTACTGTACAGAACTGATGTGTCACACCTAAAGGCAGTGTATCGGTTATGCGGAAAAAAATAAATGATGTTGAACGTTTCTTTGGCCCTTAGAACTTCACCATTGAGCCTCCAGAGAGTTTCCTGTTCTACGCCCGCTGCAACTTCGACTATGTGGAGATCATCGTAGGAGACAGGTCCAGGGGTGGGTAATCAATCATTTAATCAATCAATCAATCAATAACCAATGCTATACACACATATGCAATCAGTCAAAGTGAAGGTAAGCTTCCTTCCAATATGAATATCTCTGGGCATCAGCCTGATATAGCCCGGCACAGCCTTCTGTATGACGATTAATTTCTGCTCTATATTTTGATACGCTGGATCCATCCTTTATTGTTTTGGCACAGATTCTCTGTCGCTTCCTTACCAAACAGACCTTTGAGATCCTTTGAGTGGGAAGCGACGAAGAGAGCCTGCTAAAGCTAGAAATCCTGGCATCCAGGATAACATTTTGAATGTTTGCCAACAAGACCTTTTTCAGGTAAGCCACAATAAAGGTCTAAAAAAGTTTAAAAGGATAACATTTGTAATGTCTGCCCAACAGGCCGTTTCTGTGGCACGGACATGCCCCCTGCTATCACTGCTGCTGACGACATCCACATCAGGTTCGTGACGGACCAGCTGGTGAGCGGGCCCGGCTTCCACTTCTCCTACCTGGTCCAGCACGGTCTGGTTAACGGTGGGCCTTGCGGGGAGCATCTGGACGGCAGCTATGGCCAGGTCACCTCACCAGGGTAAGACACTACACTTCGCTAAAAATCAGTCACTAAAAATTGAAATGGTTTCACTTCACCTACATGGTCCAACACGGCCTGGCTAACGGTGGGCCATGCGGGGAGCACCTGGACGGTAGCTACGGTCAGGTTACTTCTCCGGGGTAAGTTTCCGTTACAGTCACTAGATATTGAATTTGTACCACTTCTTCTACCTGTTCCAACACGGGCTGGCTTGCGGAGAGCATCTGGACGACGGCTATGGCCGGGTCACTTCGGGTAAGCCTCTGTTTCAGTCACTAAATATTGATTCAGAAGGCCTATTCTCCTACCTGGTCCAGCACGGTCTAGCTAACGGTGGCCCATGTGGAGAACATCTGGACGGCAGCTATGGCCAGGTCACTTCACCGGGGTAAGTTTCCGTTACAGTCACTAGATATTGAAATGGTACCACTTCTCCTACCTGGTCCAACACGGGCTAGTTAACGGTGGGCCTTGTGGGGAGCATCTGCACGACGGCTATGGCCAGGTCACTTCACCGGGGTAAGCTAATATTTCAGTCACTAAATAGTGATTTAGAAATGGTACCACTTCTCCTACCTGGTCCAACTTGGCTGGTTAACGGCGGGCCTTGTAGAGAACATCTGGACGGCAGCTATGGCCAAGTCACTTCACCGGGGTAAGACCCTGCTCCATCTTTCATTTCAGTCTTTAGATATTGAAATGGCCATGGTACATCAGCTTACCTGGTCCAACACGGGCTGGCTAACGGTGGGCCATGCGGGGAGCATCTGGACGGCGGCTACGGTCAGGTTACATGTACTTCACCGGGGTAAGCTTCTGGTCCAGAGTTCATTGCAATCAATAACTGTTGAAAGAGGTGGACCTAAAACCACTTGGAGATAAACTGTGACGGATGACCTTGGTATTATGGTGATTAGTAAAAATGGTGGCCAAGGACGTACTTAAATGGAAGGAAAAGCCATGGCCTTATGTCTCACAAAGGATCGATCAAGAGGATGGGTGGGGGGTGGAAGGGGGGGGGCAGAATGAGTTGTAGCTTACGTAGCTGACTTAATAGTTTACGTACAGGTAGCTGACGAAATGTTGTCCTTTTAGGCTACTGTAATTCTGCACCTCCATAGTCTTTAATAGTATAAACTTAAGATTTTTACTATTCTGAAATGTACACAGCTACCCGGAAGGCTATCCCAGTAACCTGGACTGTACCTGGACCATCCACGGCGGCGGCTACCCCATCACCGTGACGTTCACCGACTTTGTGCTGGAGAACGGCGGGTACTACTCCGGCTGCTACGACTATGTCGAGATCTACGATGGTCGGGACCTAATCGGTGAGGAAAGAATCTGTCATTTGTCGATTTTCTGTGTTATCACTTATGGTAGCAGGGTGGTCTTGAGGTCTGTAGGGTTGTAGACTCAGAATCTGAAGGTTCTGGGTTCGAATCCGTATCAGTCCTCAATGCTATGGAAAGACATGCGCTGTACGACCCTCGTACAATAGATCGCAAACTGAGAGCCTAGTTCAGCTGTTTTCTTGCTGTCCTTCTCGTGATCCTTCTCAGCGGCTGGCTCTACCATAGCCTGCTTGAAATTGTACAGCATCAAAGTCTTACGACGACCTACGACGATTGTAACCAGGTCATTAAATAGAAATGAGTACTAGCTTGGGCCAGAGACGCCCTCTCGCATGTAGTTACTATCCATTTCGACGGTATGCCACATATGTATCTCCCACTTCCATTCTAGGCACGCACTGTGGGACCGACGTCCCTCCTTCTCTCACCACCACCAAAGACGTCAGGATTAAGATGGTCTCAGACAGCAGTCTGCAGATGTCAGGATTCATGTTCCACTACCGCGTAGAAGTAACACCAGGCGTTACCACCGAGAAACCAGAGCCGGAGAAAACTACCATGAAACCAGGTTTGTTTCTCGAATATGAAGGCACTCATTGTGACATTAGAACGACGTTTGAAATCACTGGTTCTTTGGTTCTTCCTTTACTGTGTAATCGCGATAGATGTGAGCGCATTCAAGAAGCTTCCAAGTTCCATCCTAACTTTGTAACGTTTACAGAGAAAAATTAAACTATTATCTTGTAAACATCATAGAACCTGCACATGACAGAAAAAAAGTGTTGTCACTGTCTCCAATACAAAGTAAACCGAACCAGCTATTAAAGTTTTACACTTTAGCATTAAAATTACATAATGATCATCAGCCATATTGTTCTTGATTCCCATTCAAAACCTTGCTATCATTGTATTTTTTCACTCAGAGGGAAGCGGAGAGGGCAGTGGCGGGTTCATTTTCTAAGACTAGTCCCTGTCTATTGGTCAATCAACCGGATGTGACTTCACAAAGACCGGACGTGTTATGACATCAATAACTTAGTCAATGAAATACACATTACTACGGACGATATTGTAACAAGGACTGCGTTGAGTTTTTACTTCACACGAGTGTTTACTTTATACAGATACCTTGAGCAAAATTAAATGCCGTTGAATACCAGTTTGTCTTTGTCTATTTCTTCTAGTGATAGTTGCTGAGAAGGCAATCCGACATACACACTGCATTCAAAACAGTTTCTCTAGCTATTAGAAGTATATTGTTAAGGACTCGGTCTCCGCTCGGAACCTTCATATCGCCAGTTTAAAACACACAATCAAGAGTAAAGTTTAACATTAACTTGACCGCGCGGCCGTGACATTGTGGTTTTACCAATAATGGCCAATAGCTTTCTTTTGCCCGCAAGGTGCTACCAGGTTATCAATATCTGTATAACCCGTATAACCACCCTTCGGCAAACACACCAGCTTCGCAGCTGGTTACATCACACCTAACATTTGCATAACTAACACGTTAGCATTGTTTATATCTATCTAGTGAAGATACACCTACTATAGTTGCTATCAACGAGTTCTACTTTACTGCAGAAAATTTAAAAAAACTGCATCTAAAAAGTTACGGCTTGTAACTTGTAAATTTCTTGTTTCTAGGAGTGTTAAACGAATTTGTCTTTATACATTTTTCAACCGGCCTTTTTCACCTCACATGGTACGTACATACGTCAACCATGGACGGTAGCACTTTGTAGACACATCAAATGTAATTTTAAAACGGTATGTAAGCCAACTGATGTAACAGTTCAGCTAAACCGCGATAGTTAGATACATAAAAATGTTTCCGCCGGATTGTTGAAGGACGTCATCAACGCACCTGTTTGAACAAATACTTGTGATATAATTATCGTAATAGCCAAACAGGGGACCGATATAAGTATCGCAGTAAGTCCTTGCGTCCTCACAAATAGAAGCTGAGATCCTGACAAGATGCTGTTCGTGATCGGAGTCCTGTGCCTAGCGGCCTTTGCAAACGGTATGTTGAAGCTATTATCTAATTTGTTTCCATTTTTTCAAACTTTAGTACGTCTAACATTGATCCATATGCAGGGAATAGACACTTGGTTCTTTTTTGTTGTTGTTCACTGTGCACAACGTTAACACGATGCCATTATGTCGTATCAAGACAGCCAGTCAAGGTCTTGAATGTCATACAGTAAGAAGCCACTAGTCAGAATTCAGGAACAAATTTTTTTTCTGGTATCAAACTTGCTAACCGTAGATCTTTTTTACTATTGCTTGATGTAAATCTATGTTCTGGACGAACATATAATTCAAAATGGCTTCACGCTAGCCTGACTTGGCTCCGTAGCGATGACAAACAAGTTGAACATTCTATGCTATTAACAGAAACGTGATGTATGGCAGCTATGTGGCGGATACTTGCTTCATACTTCACTCATCTTTCTTCCAGGCCAACAATGTGGAGGGAACCTTGTTCAGCCCAGCGGTGATGTGTTCTCCCCGAACTACCCGGGCGAGTACGGCGCGAACCTGGACTGTATGTGGACCATCCCCGCACGCGGGGGCAGTGTTACAGTAGAGTTTAAGGTGAGAAAACAGTCTATTCCACTCCCACATATGTCTTTGATGGCCCGTATTCTAGCACAAAAAGTAAGCACAAACGGACACGTAGAAGGACGAGATGCACTGAATTCTTTCAAACGTTGAAACTTTTGAGACTCCAATTTGTCATCCGGATCCATTATATATATTTCTGCCCAATCGTACGAGCCATGACTTCTTAGAAAGGCCTAGTGGACACTAGCTTAGCAAAGGTCATGGTTAAAAACTGACTTGTAGAAAAGACTGAATTCTATGAGTGACATATTGTGTCTTTGACGATGTACAAGTTTAGGGCTCGGTTGAGAAATTCACTTTACACTTTACCTGCCTAAAGCTGGCACATGGTGCGTTACGCCCAGGTGCGGTTAGCGGTTATGCGAACAAATAGATAGATAACCCACTGATGTTGGACATGTCTCTCGTCTACAGGAATTTGCCATTGAGGATCCGGAATCGTTCCTCTTCTTCAGCCAGTGCAACTTTGACTATGTCGAGGTCCTCGTTGGCGACAGGTCCCGGGGTGAGTATGTTACGTACATTAAACCGTGAATGGTATCATTAGAGCCTATTTTTCTTAAGTACAATGTAAAAGAGACGATTTCCTACAACAGGACGAGTGTCAGACTAATCGGGACTTCAACTGCAACAGGGGATGGCACTATTGTGGAACGGAAACACCGCTAACTATCACCACAAGGAATCACACAAAATGGTGTCAGAGAAGTGGGATAGAACTGCAGCATTGAGACGACACTTCTAGTAACTTCGGAATGAAATGCTATCAGTTGTCCTTGATATGGTGTATCAATATTTTGAATGCTGACCAACACGGTACTATTGTGGAGTGGACATGCCCCTGTTTTGAATACAGGGAACCACAAAAATGGTGTCAGAAGTGGGATACAACAACACAACACTTCTAATAACTTTGGAATGGGATGTTATAAATTGTGGTTGATATTGTGTGCCTATATTTCAATACATGTATTACTGTTACTATTGTGGAACGGACATCCCCCCTGCCATCATTACAATGAATCGCACAAAATGGTGTCAGGAGTATTACACAACTGCAGCATCGAGACCAACCTTCAACTTCTAGTATAACTTCAGAATTTAAGGTTGCTAGTTGTTCTTGTGGTGTGTATTTTGATGTTAACCGACAGGTTACAATTGTAGAGCGGATACGCCCCCTGCTATTACCACAAGGAACCACACAAAATGGTGGCAGAAGTGGGATACAACTGCAGCATCTAGACGAAACTTCTGAATAAAGGTTTCCAGTTTAGCCTCTACCGGGCTTCGGGAGGCGGCTGAAAAGAGTAGAAATCCTCCTTGGGAGCGGCAAACTGTTCTCTCCAACAGAACAGCTGGAGAAAACAGCCGGCATGCTTATCTCTCCATTTAGCCGATTTCTACTCTTTCCAGCCGCCTCCTGAAGCCTGGTAGATGCTATTGCCAGTTGTCCTTATATTGTGTGTATTGAATATTGACCAACAGGCTACTATTGTGGAACCGACATGCCCCCTGCCATCACCGATACCCAGGATATCCACATCAGGTTCGTGACTGACCAGGCCGTGAGCGGACCCGGCTTCCAGTTCTCCTACTCCGTCCAGCACGGTCTGGCTGGCGGCGGCCCTTGCGGAGAGCACCTGCACGGCAGCTACGGCGTGGTCACTTCTCAGGGGTAAGCTGCTCTGTTACCACTTCGACCTCGGACTTTAAACCTGTAGAATCCAGTAAGTTCGTAAGTAAGAAAGTGAATGGTGAAACTGTTGTGTTACGACTAAGGGAGGTTGTACACATGCCTTCAGTATCACAGTTACTATTCAACCAAGAATTGAATTATCCTAGACTGGAACTCGTTGCAACGAAGTACAGTAGAGGCACCTTCACTGGAACAGCTTTAAGCAACGCTTACAGTTAAATATGCAAAGGTTAGATGTGACAGGTATGTCATGCTGTGTAATATAACCAGCTGCCACCTCTTCGGCTGCAGATACAGAGGCTGGTGTGTTACACCGAAGGGTGGTTATACTGGCTGTACAGATATACAATACACAATACCGCTACATCTATAGCCTTATGCTTACTCTGTGAATGTTTTCCTACAGCTTCCCTGACGGCTATGCGAGCGACTCTGACTGCACCTGGACCATCCACGGCAGCGGACACCCCATCACGGTCACCTTCACAGACTTCGCTCTGGAAGATGGCGGCTTCTTCTCCGGATGTCCCTATGACTTCGTCGAGATCTATGACGGACGTACAAAGATTGGTGAGTCGACAATATGATATTCACTCATTCATTGAACATTTACAGGGAAATTTATGTAAGATACTGGCAACAAGATCGCATAAGACTTTTCTATACCACAAGAATTGCTGGCACCTCTAGAATGGCGGTCATAGCTTTGGGTTTTAAAAGAAAACAGAATTGTCAGATTATCTGTGACAATTGAACTAAAAGAAATGCAACAACCATAAAGATCCACGTGTATGGAGTCTAACATATGCTGCATTTGTGGTATAGAGCCTTTTTACGTGATGATGTCATAGGGGATCAGATTGCACTCAAATTTAAATCAAATTTAATTCGATTTCTACAGAAAGATAGGCGTGGTCAAAATCTGGTCGGACTGCTCCCGAAGTTCAGCCAACCTCGTTGGTGGTAGAGAAAGGGTTCTGAATGTGTGACAGCGCCATAATTTACTAGACGCTCTTCCTGTTCCCAGGCACGTACTGTGGATCCGACATGCCGCCCCGTCTGTACACCACCAACGAAGTCAGGATCAAGTTCCAGTCTGACGGCAGCGTGGAGGAGCAGGGCTTCAGGTTCGAGTACCAGATAGACATGCCGCCTACCCCGCCGCCTGCTACACAGAAACCAGTGGAGACCACAACCAAACCAGGTCTGTTTCTTAAAATATTGTGTACACATTCAAACCATGTCTTTAATTCAGTGCCCTTTAGCGCTGCCATGTACTAAAGAAATGTTTGTTTAGTAAGTAGAATTTTAAGATTTAGAATGCTAAAATTAGAAGATTTATGGTTTTATTGTTAGCAAACGCACATTTGTACACAATTTTTCTGATCCATGCTTAGCCCAGTTTGGCGAATTTGCAAACTTTGTCTTCATGATCATTTCGCAGACGGGAGTGGAGAAGGCAGTGGAGAGTTGCCAGAGCAGGACAGCTTCCTGTTCTAGACGGAGAAACAGCAGAGAAACTTTGAAGCAACAATAGAGAACATTTGAAGCAGTTGGATGAAACAAATAAATATTTTATTTGGTTAGCCCTAATAAAGGCTACTTTGGCCATTTTATTGCAAGTAAGGTTTTTGAAATGAAGGCTGCGTCGAGTGTTCACTTATTCAGCCATCTTGTATACAATGATTAGCCAAGAAAGAAATTAAATGCATTTGGCAAACATCACATATTCGCGTCAATCTGTTTCTGAAAAACGTTACTAAAACAAATGGAGACGTTCCAAAAGACGGATGTAGAATACTCTCTGCGTACTTATGGAGGCAAGCATGCATACATGAAAAGATATACCTTTAACATAATACACACTAGAGATGAATATAAGACTTTGCCATATTTCTTACCAGAGTACTCTAGTGACATCAGAGGTTAAAAAAGTTTACCTTATGTCAACGGCCGCGACAAATAGCCTAGGATAGTTACTATGGCAACGATGACGTCAAAGGAAGGACGGTATCGTGTGTCCTAGAAGGGACTTCCCCACAGATGGCAAAATTCTCACGCATCAAGGAGGTTCTGTCCCACCTTAATTCTTGCACGTACTGAAGGGAGCTCCGATGGTTCAAAATAAGATGTTCATACTACCAACGGCCTTCAGCACATTTACAAAATAAAGGTCTTCTTCTATATTCCCTACGTTGAGGATTTCCCACTTCAATAAGGGTCTGCATGCCTTTTTTGTGAGGCGTACATAGGGAGCCATACCTTAATTCACTGTTAATCGTAGCCCATACCCTCTATTAAATTCGACGTTAAGCGTTGTCAGTAAACTATTCGTGAATCGTGATAGGTTGCTATAATTCTAGTGAACATTTTTGTTATTCAGAAACGTTCGTTGATAAATTCTTACTGTAAACGTTGTAACTGCGTTCTGTTCTGGTCACCTAACGACGCACAGCAAAAGTGCAACCACTTTCCTTCTGAACATAAGTTGGCGTCCTGGTAACAGTTCTGTCGTAAATCGCTAGGTGAATACAGAACACATGTATACACGGACACCATAAATGGCGCGTATGATTGTTAGGCGCTTAACAGATTGCAGAAACTACTACGGTAACCATATTTTACCTTAACTTCTGAAAATGGACATGAAACAAAAAAAAACATTATCAAAGGAAGGAACATGATTTGATTCTAAATTATATTTTGCAGCAGTCGTTATCAAATGTGAAAATCGTTCATTTCTTGTCCTCCTAGATTACCTTAAAAGTGGTAGGGCATTCTGCCCTGCCTAAATGTTCCGTCCTGCTGGACGATTTTGTTTTGTACAGGAAAGCCAGCGGGTCGTATCGCCGGTTAGTCTTACTCAGCGGCTTGAACAAACCGTGGGTAAGTGTTTGTGTCTAGAAAAACAAAACCCCATCATTTCCAAACACAGGGCTTAAAAACACACAGAAAAGAGACTCACAGGGCACAGTATGATCTTGTGTGGTTTAGCCTTTGGCCTATTTCAGAAGTATATCAGTATGTTATTACTGCAACATAGATTCAATGAATAAATAAAGGAATAAGAAAATGATTAAGAACGCGACAATACAATTTCCAAATCCATCAAAACTGTATATCTAAGACAAAAGTTATTAATTGGCTTATTTTTACCTTAAAGTTTGTTAATTCATTACTCAAATCGGCCTCCTAGCGGCTTTTGATTGAAGTCATGAGGGAATAGGTCAGGGTCAGACATAACAAGATACAAGTTGCACGGTTGAAATCTCCAAGCAGATTCATTCTGGGCAGGGACAATCAAAAGGCAGCCAAGATAGACTCCCCTTCCCCTGAGAATCTGCTTGTAGATTAACACGATTGAAGTCCTATAAGAAATGTTCTTTAGCCCCTGCCTTTTTCCGGTGACTAAGACTTAAGCTTTGATGTGTAAGTTGAGGTCGGTTCTCATGCCGACGCCCTTCCGCATAGATGAGCTCTTAAGTATAAAGGGCCCATGTCACACATTCAGAACCTTCCCCCGACCAACAACCAACCAGGGTTGGCTGAACGTCGGGAGCAGTCTTACCAGATTTAGGAATATATACGAATCAAATCTAAGTTGAATTTGAGTAAAATCTGACCCCGAAACACCACACAACCAAGAGTAAAAGGCAGGACCGAACTTAACGTCCACACCCCCAACGTTTTGAACATTTTGAAACATTCGCGGCTGACGAAGCCGAACAGCAGCCAACAACAGCCTGCTCACGACCTAGTCCCAACCATTGTCGGAATACTGAATTCGGCTAGTGTTCGGGAGGCCATATTCGGCTTTGTATGACCAAAGAGGTTTGACAAGGGCTTAACAGGACGATTGTAGCCATGCGTAGTCTCTACCAGACTAACTACGCTGGCTATAATATAACATGGAGGATATTTGCCAGGGGAGTTTGGTCGCCTTGTAGGTTTGACTAGCCGCGCAGCCGGACTCTCTTGGTCGATTTTACTCTCTTTTTTGCCGAATTCTACTATCCGTATTCCCGTAGAAAGGCCTGATGGAGGCTAAGCCATGCGTGTCGTTCTCGGATGATGCGGCGCCCTTTGACCCCTAGGGGCGGAGTCACAGCTGGCTAAGCCCCCCTCGTGTGCGCCAGTAACACAGGTGAGCCTCACACAGCCCGTGTGTTGTCTTAAGTCCCTCATTGTACAACCGGGACGCGCTCGGAGTAACGTAACGTACGGGCACTGGCAGAGAACACTGGACAATAGTATAACAGACGGTTTGTCGTTATTTCAAAGCGCCCGTTGGATTTACCTACACACGGACGGAGGTTTCTATTTTCAGAACCGTTGTGAGAGGAGACGGTTTTCTAAATCAACCAGGTAACCTCACGTCTGTAGTGGAGCGTAGTTGGATGTTCAGCACGTCGGGGGACGTAATAAACTGTCCGACTGTTGTGTGAAGGGCCGGACAAACTTGGAGCTATTGCGGACTGGAGTAAGAGGTCACGTTTTGGAGGAGAGAGTCAATGTTTACCGCGGGACAATCGCTACCGGGAACACCTGCACAGATGGTCTTTTGACCTCTGCCAGAGGAGAAGGAAAATATTTCACCTGTGATCCTTACAGCGAAGTCGAGTGAAGTAGGGCGTGGGTTTCGCAAAGAATGCAAGGTGAGTTGTATGTTGTTGTTGTTTTTGTTTGGACATATCTAGGGTTAAGCAAAGGGCGTCAACCTTTTTCAAGCACTAAGCCTAATGAGTCAGAAACCTGTTTTGCACTATTCCATGTTATTAGTACAATACACACATTGTGCGTGTGTAGGGGGGGGGCTGTCTGGAAACAACCCTTTAAAACATTTTATCCTTTCAAACGCCGCTCGTTCAATAATTCATACATCCCGTCGGTCGCTATTTATAAGGTATGTTTCAGTTCCCGACAGGGGCAATCCCCCGGATTTGGGGCGAGTGAAAAGCGTTCAATAGGAGTAATGCGTTTTGACAAGTCTAAGTCTAGACAGTTCTTTATCCGCTCGCATTCAATTATCTGCATAAGAAATCATGTACTATGTGCTGAGCCGTGTGTCCTATATTTGAGGTTTCTGACTTGCGTATGCAAAAGAAAATAAGATGACGAACTATAGGTTACAAGAAATGTCTAGTATTTAGGAAGCCCTAGGCTTAGACTTTCAAGTAGACTTTAGATCGGTCGAGTGATCATCCAAGGGCTAAAAAAGAGGTCAATATTACTCTCCAAGCAGAGGTCGTGGGGGAAGATTGTGACCTTCTTATCATATTCCCCGATTTCTGTTCTATACGACCTACCTAGTACCTACCTACACACATGTACCTATACTACCTACCAACAGAAAAAGGGGTATATGATAGAAAGGTCATAATCTTCCCCAACCAACCTCTGCTTGGATAGTATACAAAATGAAGTCGAGAACGGCTGAGTATGGGACATAGAACTACAAATTGTATGAAGTAGGATTTTGTGGACACTAAAAGCAGTCAGACACAATGACACAGAGACCTTTTGTCCCTGCAACAGCTAAGGTTCCACTGTGAAACCCTCTGACAATCTCGTTATGTATTTACCCCCCGTGTTCACACATGTAAGTTTGTTTACCTGTACAGGTAGCCCACAGGTATAGCGTTACACACCTGTGTGATCGACATACCTGTATGTACCTGTCCACGCAAAACAACGCTAATCACCTCAGGCCCACGTCAATCAACAGTTTTGTTCTCAGATACTAAACATCCAAAACATTTTAACATTTCAAAATAGCAGAACATTGAAAAGCTAGGAAGGCTACAAAAGTCATGTTGGTTTAGTCTAAAACGTTGGAACAAGGAAAAAGGAAAAACGTTACACTATAATATTGCTAGATTTCAATTGTACTTAAAACCTGTAATCAGTAAGTCTGTCTTTTGTTCTACTGAATGTATCATACAGACTAGACAAAAAGTGATTGACATTGGAATGCTCCAGGACACCCTCAAGGATCTAACAAAGCTTACAACAACACACAGTCACCTTACTGTTTACCGAACATCATTAAGTCAATACACAAACATACAATGAACCTAAATCTATAGACAATGTGTAGCTATTTGTTCTTTGTACCGCCTAACAACACAAATATTTCTACTCCTTTGTGACATAATTTTAAATGAATAGGCTATGTGAACCTTATAACGCGTTTTGCGTGGCATTGTGTTTGGCAATTAGATCTACCCCAATTTCATTACCTGCGGGTGCTTGTCAATTTCTCGTTAAGTTTGAAGAGATTGCGTGTCGACCTCATTGATTGTTGAGTCATTGTTATATGGAGGCCACTGGAATAATGACCGTGCTAGTCTACGTAGAAAGCTCTACTACGGTTGCCATATTGAATTTGCAGTTTGTGTGTGTGTGTTTGTGTGTGTGTGTGTGTGTGTGTGTGTGTGTGTGTGTGTGTGTGTGTGTGTGCGTGTGTGTGTGTGCGTTTGTGTCTATGTGTATGTGTGTGTGTGTGCGTGTGTGTGTGTGTGTGTGTGCGTGAAATTAGAAATGCATTGATATTTAGTGGGTGGGTAGGTATGTTTGGGCAAAACAAAGGACAAGTTCGATTATAGGTCCCCTGGCAGCTTTGTATGGTACTGCATTGAGTTTTGTATCTTTTGGGTTGTGCGGTTACCAAATTGCTGTGATAGATAGCTAATAGGTTGACAAGGAAATGGCAAAAGTTTGGATCCCCTAGCAGCCTAGCTAGTGTGGCTACTCACCATCTTATCGTGCCAGGTATTGCGTACTAGGGCGGATTTAAAGCTCAGAGAAGTGCATTCTACTCCCAGTCTTATGCTGGCAGCACATTATTAACTCTTCTAGCCAGATTCTATCATTTCCAGTCCCAGTGTATCCTAGTTTGGTTGATCGCTGTCCTCGCGTACAAAAAGGCAGGCTTCAAGCCCAGAGAATTGCATTCTGCCCCCAGCTCTCCACTGGCAGCGAATTATTCACTCATTTTAGTCGAATTTTATTATGTTTAGCCCAAAAAAGAGTCCAGTGTAACCTAGTTTGACTGCTAGCCTTTCTCCGTTCCGCGTATTGCGTACAAAGAGGCGGGCTTCACGCCAATCTAAACAGTGGGTTGTGAAGCGTTCTGAGTGAGCGCAGGTTCCCATGCCTGCACCTGTAACGGTACACCCGCTCAACTCTTTAGAACGATGTTTTTCTGAACTGTAGGTTTAATACCCTGACGAAAGGTCAGCAAGGTGTGTTGAAAACGTTTTCAGGGGCGGGGTGGGGTGGGAGGGGTAGTATAGTGTGGGGTTGTGAGAATGAAAGGAAATTACTTAAATACAAATGAAAATTGCACCAGATTGACACATGATATGCACACAAATACAAACACGCACACACACATACATATGCACACACACACACACACACATATATGTACACGTACACAACACACACACACACACACACACATATACACACTCACAGAAAGACTTATACATTGCACAATAGCATACACAATGCACTCACACAAACGCACGTACACACAGACACACACACACACACACATACAAGCACACAATCGTTTAATATAGTCGTATATTCTAAAATCCTCCAAATGCAAAGCATATTCACACCTAGCTCTATTTCACCCATAATTAAATGCTCCATCAGCCTATAAACCCAGCCATTGCTATCTATACATGGTATAAGGCGTATAATGCTCCAACCGTTGGCATAAAATATTTATTTCCATCGCTGCTTTGTTACCAGATTTGTCCCGTTCGAAAGAGACGATTCATCAAAGATGTCAGAATGCCTATTCGGTATTATCCACCTCAAAATTATGACACACAACTTCCCGAATGCTGTGCCATTCCCTCTCCTCTAAACGACCTGATACGATTGAAAGATAATTAGCTCTATTGGTTCCCCCAGTGCGTCGCTAAATAGACCGTCCCATTTCACAGTTCTGTGATTCTTCACGCCTCCTCTCTTCGCCAGGGTTTCTTTTGTCGCGGTGAATTTGAGAGGTACGACGATAATCATGCCGCAATTTCGGTGTCAGGAAAATTTAGACAAATGTAGAGCGATTCTAGCGTCTATATTGTGTTGTTCCGGCTTCTAGGTACTTCTCGATATCAACCTGAGTGTTAAAGTCCATACAAATACTGAACAGCAAATTAAGAACAGACGAACAGATAAGGACCCAGTCACATACGTCGTGCGATCGTCTTACGATTGTCGTACGGTCTGAGAGCATTCGTGGGACAGTTGTGCGTGTGTCCTGTAAAATTCAACTGTCTTGTTAGTAAACGGAAAATGCTATCTTAGATCCTAGTCGGTGGTTGTTAACGTCACAGCCTGATCTAACATTCTTAGGCACCAAAATCGTGCGAAGGCCTACGGGGAATGCAACTGCTGAATTTCGTATGACAAATATCCACGACTGTTTCTAGAATACCCCCGGTTGTGTGATCGTACCACAACCGTTCGAAGGATTTAATACCGAGCCCTACATGTTAAAGTCCATGCACACACTGCACAACGAGGAACCGCAGAAAAGATAAGAGACAGATAAGGCCGTGTTTTCATTCTTCCCGTGATGTGCACTCATAGACAATGTTTAACACCTTATCTACCTGTATACGGCAGGTGAAAAAACGCAGGTGTCACAACATCGCGATACCCTAGCCTCCGTAGCAGGCTTATAGAACTGGGGGTTTGGTGGTCTTCGGCTGTTTTCTGATTAGCCCAGTCCAAAAAACGGGGGTAATTCAACCAGGCCGGCTATGTTGTCTGTATGCAGTCAGAAAATAGCACATAAAAGCTCCCAAAGACCCTGAAGAATCCCAAACCCCCCAGTTTTTGGCGTGCTATGGAGGCTAGTGATACCCTCTGAGCTTTACAGAGGTCACAGGGTCAAGAGCCCTGGGATGTCGTATCTCTAAACCGCGCCAAAAATTCTACTCGACTCATCGATCAAACGATAAATCATGGATGTCATCGATAATAATAGAGATCGGCTTCGCTTATTGACACCTTGGGACTTATGAGGCCCCTAAGTATACAGCTATAAGATAGATGTGACAGAGAAACGACGCTATCGTTCCACAAAAGAAATTATATACTAGTATCTATTGCTTCGTCTTCTTCATAAGCCATAATTAGTACGGCGAAAATGGAGATACGTTGAAAGAAATTGAAGAGTTATTGTGGGGTGCAAATTTTTAGAAGATGATACGTGCATGCCTATGTTGTCGAAATATATAATATTAAGGTTTCATAATGGAATCAAACCTTAATAATTGTTCAGATATGTTAACACTAGTGCATAAAATTCCCACTTTTTCCATTTATTTCCTTCGATAAAGTAGTAGAAGGATAGAAAATGTCCTTAAAACGGACAAATACAAAATGTACATTTTAAGTACAGGTGCATTCTCTGTGCCCCTCCCCCTTTTCTCGGCATATTTTCCGTCCTGCCCATTTACGAGAAAGTTTCGGTCCGTCGCTCCTAACATCTCAATCACCGAAACGCCATGGTAGACCTGTAGGGATCGCATGGCGTAATGACAAGCACCGGAATGTGACCAATATACCACCCATTCTCCTCCATCCAGTGCGTCCACAAACCCCAAACGCGCTTTGTTCTGTGCACAGACCTCGTCTTTTGGCAGGCTTAAGTCGGGGTGTAGGCGTCAATGTTGCGGCGCTACAGAGGAAGGCGGGGTGTTCTAGTTAAGGTACACATGTAGTCTGTCTATTTTGCTACCTGTTTACATGCCCCGGACATGCTAGAGCGGCGCTGAAAGGCGGGGATAAAATAGACCCAAGCATTCCGGGTCCTCCGCAGGCATGTGTACCGCCGTTGTCGGGCTAAGCCGCCGGTATTCACTTGGAACAAAGCCGGCCTGTTCGAGAGTTGACATGACTGAACGGTCCGCTGTCTTGGATTACAGAAACCGCCGTCACAAGTTCCCAAGCCAGTAGGGTGACAGCGTCAGGACCCGGGCTGCACACTGTTCCCGTGAACCGGGCGACTAGCTTCGTCATCGACCAGACTCGAGCGGTCAGTGGGAAGGTCGACGTCACTATCACAGGTATGTGTCTGTGTCTCTTGTCTTTTACAAACAAAACGCAGGTGTCAACATTACCTGGTCGTTGTTTACCTGCTGTACCTGCATACTTCACCACTTTGTTCTCATCTGGTGGCCCCGTCGACCCTCTCACCTGCATGCGTGTGAACACACCTTTCATCTCTTTAAATGTTTAATTGCTGAACAGGTTTTATTGATGGCGGTCATCCGCCATGACCACCACAGGGGGCAAGCCCGTTGTCATTAGCTGTGTTTAGAAGCTGTTACACACATATATCATTGTCTGATTCTTTCCCCTCGCCCTATACAAGGCGTCTTATGCCATCTTAACGCTAGTGGTCTTCGGCAAAGTCTTTAAGTAAATATGTGTCTTGTGTGCACCTGCCGGCAACCGTAAGAACATTAAAGACGGTTGAAGCCCCTCCTTTTGGGTCTCTAAGAGGGTAGGTTCGACCTAGTTTCTTTAAGCTTCGCTCTTTGCTATTTTTCTTGTTAGAAGGTTAAGTACTTCATCCTCCTTACCTTTGTAGTGTTCGGAGATGTATTTTTTGTGGCCAAAACCTAGTTTTTCTGCTAATGCTAACCGGACGGTAACTGGTCCACTTCCACAAAAAGAGATTACACTTTAGATTATGAAAAAGGAAGTTGCTGTTTCTGGCAAGATTACTTCTTGAACCATGACTGAAATCCGAAAATTCTCAATCCTTGACACACAAAAACACTTTTATGGATTTGCGTAAACCGTGCAATCTTTCAGAAGAGCCTTCGTAGAACTTTGTCCTTGCACTTGGAGTGCTGAAGTGCTTTTTCTACTAAGTAGCTCTTCAGTGAACCTTAAAAAAGAAAACACACCTTTTCCGGACCTAGAAAACTACACCTTGATGCCCACATGTCTGTGTTTATCTGTTTGTTTCTGTCTTTGTTTATTTCCGGAATACGTTAAGAAAACTGATGCTATCGTCGTTGTAAGGACACTATTTCCTTGTATTTGGAAACGTACTTTCCAATGGTTAAAACAGATACTGACGAATTGAAGGTTTCTATTATCTCCTTTAATTTTGATCATAGTTGGTCCCCCCGAAAAACATTAGGTTATGGTGTAATAATACTAACGTTAGTAGACCTATAAGATTATAGTACCAATTGTTATATTGTAGGTCACAATGGCTCGTAAGTCAAAAATATAATCAGTATGAAATTTCGAAAGTTAGGGAAACAAACCCCTGACATCTTGCTTTGGTTCTTCTTAATCTGTTCGGATTAATCAAACAAATACGACCCCTTCCCAAGAGGGTACTGAAGAGACTTTAAGACGTTAGTTCTCGGGTGGGCATCTAAGACGAAAGGTAAACACACGCCTCCATTTTTCTTCAGCTGACCTCCTTGTCCAGAATCTTGAGACGTTCCCCCTGTCAACTTCCCTCTTGTCTGCTTAATGCCTAGGTCACATTTCCAAACCAGGGCCCGGCCGGGCTGTTTGTATGAACGAAAAATTAGCAATTCACAATGCACATGATTATCATTAAAAATTTTCTGTGTTTTGTTGTCTTTAATATCGTACTTTTTTTCCTAGCCTAAAATCTGCCCGGCTGGGCCCCGTGTGGGAATTGTGACCTCAGCTTAATAAGATGACTTGTTGTACCCAAAGGGGGACAGGTTTACCAAATAAGGACAGGTTTACCAAATAAGGGTTTAACTTCCCCTTTCTATCAATCACACTTATTTACTGAACACAAAGCTGACACAATGGCTTCCTCTAAAATACGTCCTAAAATACCACCTGCTGTTTTGTTTTCCCTATTTTCTCTCGACTGTAAATGAAATTTTCGATTGTCTGAAACGTCGATATATCCTTAGGCCATTTTTTTCAATATTTCGAGACAATGCGATTGATTTCTGAAACATTTGTAATACTTTGTTGAATCAATGACATTATTTTGGTTGAATTCTTGCATAGATCGACATGATGGGACAAGTTAGAGACCCGGCCCCTTTTAAAATTCGTACATTCGTCCATTCTTTCTCCAGCTCACAATAATATCATTCATACTTCATGCATCAGTATATTCGGTTGGTTGTTGCATAGCGTTATATGACTAAAACATTATATCGTTATTTGGCTTAACAATCCGCAAAGACTTTGCCCCAATTATGTTCTCGTTATGCTATCACCACCCCATTGACCAAGATAATTCTTTTATAATTATTCTCAAGCGGTGCCTATCAGACAACAAAAGAGTGTTGGTTCGCTACCGTTATGTGTGCAGAAATAACTCAGCCATAGCGTGAATTGGTCTTGTCAAATTGACACCGTAAATACAGAAATGTCGAATCAATAGACACGCCATCTTGTTTACGTCGCGATAGCTTTAATCCGGGATATCGTTTATGCAAATTAGCTCATTGTCAACATCCGGGTCATCTTCAAAGTAAATACTAGTAGACATCTTCTGTGTAGGTTGGGCACTTACCAATGTAAATACAACGGGTGGCTGACTGTAACAGTAGGGGGGGGGGGGGTTATAGGCACTACCAACTGACTGCCGAGGGGTCTAGAGCTTTTAGCCGAATCGTTAGAGCGTCGGGGTTTGAACTGGTGGCCGGGTATGGCGTGGGTTCGATCCCCGGTCCGGGACTAGGAATGTCTTTCTGTTTCTACTCTCCCAATTCTTACGGCTTTTTTTACTTCAGGAAACCAGTATCCCTCTTTAGGGTATACATAGACACGTGCACTATAATACGGGTACCATTTCTGACAGATATCAAAATATTTCTTCATTGTGGCCAGTTGTGGCATCTTTTGGATGCGTTTGGATGAGCTAAGGCAGGGTGTTATAGATGAGTAAATCTGACTATGACAGCTAAACACCCATCACTATAGGAACCTAAGCATTCGTGTTTACACACTTTAGGAGATGCGCTGTGCTTTTATCTGTCTCGTTTGATCTGCCTAAGCCGAGCCTATAGACACGTCAAACCTGGCAAACTTCCACAATGTGTGGTCCAGTGACTTTTGTGAATGGTTTAAGTCTTGCAGAATAGCAAGGATTTACTAATTATAGTACGTAAAGACAGTCTTTCTTTCATGTCAAAAGAAATGGCTTTTTCAACATTTCAAAAATATTTACAAATGTGAGAATGAAATTATGCAGTTGCATTTAACGCCTGTTTTGCTATCTAATTTATTTACTGTGAATGTTAAGATGTGGCAAATCTAGAAGATCAAACATCTCTAACATCATTATAGTAGGCTAGCCTCTACCAGGCTTCGGGAGGCGGCTGGAAAGAGTAGAAATTGGCCAAATAGAGAGATAACATTCTGGTGGAGTTTGCACCCGAACTGCACTCTCTAGCGGACCAACTTCTCTGGCATGTTATCTCTCTTTTGACCCAATTACTACTCTTTCCAGCCGCCTCCCGAAGCCTGGTAGAGGCTAATAATTGGTCTGAGTTTCCTACGCATGCCCTTACGACTGATTTCCTTTCCTGTCTCCTAGGCCCGTCTGCAGAGATCGTCCCGTGCCACTACCCCGGAAACCAGCCTCGACTTCTGGTTCAGTATACGCCTAAAGAAGTGGGTGAGTAAACGCAACTATAAGAGCATTTTGGACGAGCTCTTCTCTGTAACTAGGAGCAACTTTTAAGGCCAATCTCCGGCTTTTCCGGAAGTTGTGTGGAGAAAGGGGAAGTCCTGATTATAATCTTTAGCGATGATGCATGTCATTGCATACTGAGAGAACACAACAAAACAACCAGATAGAGGCCTGGAAAATCCCCATATCGTTTCTGATTAACATCATCACCCTTGTGGACTCCAGAAAGAATAGTCACTGTGGTACTCGTACATCCATGTAACACTGATGGAGATCCTTTACTTATAAAACAGTCAAACATAGTACTTTCCAACACTAAAAAACATAATTTTAAGACCATCCTTAATCATGAAAACAGCTACCTACCTACGTACCTACCTACCTACCTAGTACGTATATCTAGCTACCTACCTACAGCTAATGTATTTAAATATAACAATCAGCGTATTTCTTGACATGTCGTTTTAACACAAAAGAGCCATCTGCTTTCTCCAAGCACGAAGAAAAGGAGACTCTGGTATTGATCTGCGGTTTCCGATGTCTGACCAGTTCCTCTTCATTACGGTGTGCGTAATTAAACATCTGTGCGATAACATTAACCACCTTGCGTTTATTGATCGACCTGAGTCTGTAGCCTCCATAGCATACCAAAAACTGGGGGTTTGGGGGTCTTCATGGTCTTTGGGATCTTTCATGTGCTATTTTCTGATTGCATATAGACAACATAGCCGGCCTGGTTGAATTACCCCCGTTTTCAGAACTGGGCTAACCAGAAAACAGCCGAAGACCACCAAACCCCAGTTCTATAAGCCTGCTACAAAGTGTGTCTATTGACCGCCATGTCTTCACGACTGTTTACGGCGTAGTTTGGCCCCGTTCCCGAAATATGACCGCGGTTATTTAAAATCGATGACAGAGAATCGCACTCCAGATGCACAAAAGAGTTAAGGTCCGCGTCAATATCGAAAGAAATTGCTTTGTGTATGTGGCTATGTTTGTCTACACAAATATGTTACTTGAGGATTTTCCCTCAACAATTGTGCTTGGAGGTTTAATACAGTCCACATAGGGCCACAACCCTAGCCTCTACCAGCTTATACCAGGCTTTAGAAGTGGCTGCAAAGAGTAGAAATTGATGGAGCAACTAGACAGGTAACATGCATGCCTGGGGAGTCGGTCTACTGAATTAAAGGGGTACAGTTTTCAGCTCTGAAGCCTTTAGCTGGCTAACTCCCCTGGCATGTTATCTGTTTATTTGCCAATGGGTATTTCAGAATCTACCCTTTCCAACCGGGTCTGAAGCCCCCATGGCAGAATTGCTTTCCACATACAGCAACAGCCCTCTAAATGGCCCTGCTTGTGGAAGACGACATGGCCTGTGTCATGGACAATAACATCATTCAGACCTGGTCGGAAGTTCCGGGGGACACGGAGATGGGAACAAACACACAGACACAGAAGCACAGATATGTTACAGAGGGCGGGCTGGTACACCTGTATGGCGTGAAGTGTAGAGGAATGTCATGGGTCACGGGTAGTCAATGGTAGAGAGCTTGTTGCCTTCTATTTTCGACTTCTTGTATAAAGTCTAGCAAAAGGGTAATGGCTTTCAAAAGGTTAACGTCTTTCTGGAATTTTTCGGCGCATTTTGAAGCTAATGCAGAATATAATACGTTTTGCTAGCCTCCAAGCAGATTTTTCGTAGGCAAGTAGTTCCTAGCTGACTCGTTACTGTAATAAAAGTTAGGACGTTGTTTTATTACTCACTTCGATTTTCACCTCAAAACAAGGCCCATACGAACCATTAATACATGTTTTGGGTTACATTAGCATAGGCAACTGTAAAGACAGATGTTTTTTTACCTTCGACTTTAAAAGTTTAAGGTTGTACCCATTTTGGAAACATTCACACGGAAACCTGTTCCTTTGTGATATAGTTCTAGGAAAGATGCTTTCTGCGTGGAAAAAAACAGACAGATAGGAAAACAATTTTGTTTCCAAACGTCTGCTTGGAAAAAAAAGTGGTTTGCGTAGTTTTATTGTAAGCCTCGTATATGTCAGCTGAGCTAGTACAGCGTCTGTGTCGGTTACCATGGTGATATATTGTTTTATTGCTGTTTGGCCTTTCGGGCCAATAATTGAGGTCAAACAGAGGTGGGTGGCACAGGCGAGGATATAATCACTGAGTACACATCTCGAGTGTGCCTTCTTAGTAATCGGTCAGGACATAATTAGTTACTCAAGTATCAGTCTTGTGCCTGGCTTGGTTTATGTGTATCGTTGTGTGGTGGAAATACGTCGAGCGTGTCTGCTACTAATGGTGCATTCTGTGCAGGGCCGGTTGTGTTCTTACGTGTTTTAAAACAGTTCTCATGTACAGGGCACCCGAGCATTAAGAGCACGAAATAACGGGAATGCCGTCCTTTATTTATGCATACGTGGTACATATTCATTACACATGTCCCTTTTAGTGACCTGTTCGTAAGTTGTTTATCTAAGAATATCATTCATTGTAAAGAAATCTAACAACATGAAAAACATGACAGAAGAATGTTGGGGATTTGCGGAACGGGAATTCTGCTGGTAGACATAATGTCGATGTTTGTAGGTTTAGACAACAAACTTCTGTCGCTCCTGTGCATTTTGAAAAGACAGGTCCACAATGCCAAATATGCGTAGCCCGGAGCCAAGAGTCTAAAAAGAACATTCCTGTCTTTCAAGGAACAAGAGTTTAGGAGATTCTGGTGCCCCAAAACGTCTGCTATGTTTTAGTAAAATATTCTGTTCATTGTTGTGGCTGTACAGTTGTAATGAGTTTGCATTATTTTGTGCCACCTTGAAAAGTCATAATTTCTCTTCTTTTATCTAACAGCTAGTCCCTGTCTCTGTCTCTCTCTGTCTCTCTCTCTCTGTCTCTCTCTCTCTTTCACTTTGTCTCTCTTTCTCTCTATCTCTCTCTCAGCTGTCTCCCCGTCTCTCTCTGTCTCTCTCTCTCTGTCGCTCTCTCTCTGTCGCTCTCTCTGTCTCTATCTGCCTCTCTCTCTCTCTCTCTCTCTCTCTCTCTTTCTACCTCTCCTCTTTTGCTCCTTTGTATCTTCCTTCTATTTTCCTGGGACATTGACCAAAATAAAAATATAATATCTAATTTCTTGACTATAATTTCCCCACCTTTCTGCCCAACAGGTGACTATGACATCGAGGTCAAGCTCTCTGGTATGCAAATTTTCGGCAGTCCCTTCACCAGCCATGCTTATGACGTCAGCGGTGTGAAACTGAACATCCCCAGAGGAAAACTCGGACAGCAAGTCGTCGTGCCAAGTGAGTTGTCAAGTCAAGTCAAGTTTTTAAGTTTATGTTGTTTAAGCTTTGTAGTCATTTTCACGGGCAATAAACTTCAACAATAGAGGATCGTACAATTCATAATAGTGATGTACTTAGCGATTTGTAACCCATTGGTGAATGAATACTGAAACTGATTGGCATACATTTTGCATGAGCAAGTCATTTAGTGCACTACATAGTTTGGTATGAGCAACAGCACAAGTGTATGAGTCCCTATTTGTGTGCTAACACCCCCATTCCAATATAAGCGTTCTTGGATACGTAAAGGCTATCCAGAACCGTGCCTGATCCTAACCATAACATATTCAGGAAAAGAACTAGATAGGCACAGTTCTGGATACAATAGGGGCCTAATACTAGGTTAGTGACCTGTGCACAATAGGTTCTTAGTGCCATTAGTGTCCTGTTGGTCCAGCTAATGTGCTCCATTACGTGACTTTTGTCCATTACTTCCGACCCATTTCACTCTTCGGGGGGCTCTAAAGTCACGATATCAATAAAACACACGTACTAAGTGGATGTTTATGATTCAGTGTTTGGATATACACTTTGTTATGATGTACATGACATTGGCACAGCGTAAATCTAATCTTAACATCGTACAGATCATATTTCTAGAGACATAGAGGAGAAACTACGTTTAAAGTCATGGTTAGGGACAGGCAGCTAAAAGTCTTCCTGGTAGCTTAAAGAGCATCCTTAAACAACAAATCGAGGTTTTGCGCTCGCGTATTTCTTGGTATATTTATCATTACAAATTCCTCGTTGAGTCTGCCTGTGCATTTTCCCACTTTGACTTAAAAAGAACTCATCTTCATTTGATTCCACAATAAGCTTGACACTGCCTCACATAAGGCAAGATATTATTAAATCGAAGAAATGAGATAACCTTTTCTGGGATCTAAGTGAGACTTTTGACCTAGCTTCCTTTAAAACCTTAACACTATATATTCTATTTTGTATGTGCATTTCATTGTGGATTTCTGGCATAGTTTCCAAGTGCATGGTCAATAACATTTGACTGTTCTCTTATTTTAGTTGACACGAGTTCGGCCGGTAGCGGTACGCTGGAGGTGGAGGTCCGGGCGCGCGGAGCGGAGGTGGCGAGTAGGCTGGTGCAGCACGCCCCCGGGAAACACCAGCTCATGTTCCGCCCGGGGACGGCAGACCCGCACGACATCATGGTCAGATACAACAACGAGCTCACCCCAGGTACGTTACAGTTAACTGATGTGTCACGCTGAGGGGGGGGGGTTATACCGGCTATATAGTAACAAAACAGAAGCTGATACAGGTACCAGGACAGTTCTAGGAGTTTCAAAGACACTAGACTGTTGAGAGACCATGCATCAAGCATTTGAAAGTTTGGCAAATCTTTCAACAGTCTTTAAGAGAGCGGTCAATAGTAGTCTTCAAGGTCTTCCAGTGATCGCTCAAAATAGTGATCTCAATAACCAACGAAGTTTGGACGCACATCGGCTGCCCTAAGTCCTATGGAAGTGATCGAATGATTGATTAATCAAAGCTACTCCCTTTCTGCTAATTTCTCTTACCCAAGCATTTTCCTTTGCATGGTTTTCATACTAATAATATCGTACAAAATATCAATAGGTAGAGAGAGTCATTGTCGATAACGAAAGTAAAACCTTTCGTATACCATTTATGACTTGATGACTGTAAAGTTAACAACTTGAAACGTCAACTCATCAGTCAAAGGTATGGGAGTTGACCTTAAATTCCCCCCTGAAAAAAATATTTCGTATAAAGTCATTTTTACACCTATCACTTTTCCCAGGGAGCCCGCACCAGTGTATAATCATGGACGCCGGACAGGCCCCGTCCCGGACTGGCGGGCTGGGCGCAGTGCCTGTCGGGATGCCGACCACGTTCTGGGTGGACCCGGGAAACTTCGGATCCGCCAAGTGTGACATCACCGTCACCAGTAAGTACCACTTTGTTAGAGCTGACGATGATTTGGGGCATATCACACATGGCCTCTACTAGGCTTCAGAGGCGATAGAAATTGGCCAAATATACAGATTCTACGACTTGCCAAAAGAGCAGGTCCGCTAAAGAGTAAGAGCGACAGATGTGACATCACCGTCACCGGTAAGTCTCTCTTTGTTAGAGCCGATACTGATAAAGGGGCTGGTCGACATGATATAGCCTCTAACAGGCTTCAGAGGGGACTGGAAAGAGTAGGAATTGGCCATATACTATATGACAGATAATATGCCAGGGGAGTTTGTCCGCTAAAGGAGTACAGTTTGCCGTTCTACTCTTTTAGCGGGCTGACTCCCTGGCATGTTATCTGTCTATTTCGATAACTTCTTACCGAGTCTTTGCAGCCGTTTCCGAAGCCTGCCTGAGGCTAGGTCAGATACATGTACGCCGTACGATCGTCGTACCACTGAATGCATTCTTGGGATAGTCGTGGGTGCGTCCTGCAAAATTCAACTGCCTTGTTACGAAAAAGGCTGCCTTGAAGATCCTTGTCGGTAGCTGGTTCTGTCACAGCTGCTTGAAAACCGTACGACGACCTACGACGATTGTGACCGCGCCGTTAGCGTCATGTTTAACGGTGTGGTTTGCAGTCAGCCGCTAGGCGGAGAAGCTAGATTAGTCAGGCAGAAAGTTTTGGCTGTCGACTGATTACCTGCAGCGACCTCTCGGTCAGTCGAAGAACATTTCGAATCTATGATTTGAGAAATGCTTGAGAATCTTGCGTAAATTTGTACTGGGTGCCCTGATTTCTTTGCAGGTATGTTTGTATGTTAAGATATTATTATAGTGACTTAACATTAAGGTCACAATTGACTGCCTCACAATCATGACGTGCAAACATAGTCAACAGCCAGCCAGCAAGTCGAATTTTATAGCATCTTTACCCCCAATATCATTTAACCAAACATAATAATAATCTATCAACAAACCACCAAACTGTAACTTGACCGCCTGTAAACTTATGCCTGTTAATGCGTCAGACTTTATTTATATCTGTTGGTTACACCCATGGTATTTGACAGGTAAGAGGGCGGAAAACTATCATTACGATCGCCTTTGTTCATTTGCATATTCTGGGACACCTCTGGAGGCCTTGTCAGAAGTTGATTTGCGTCCGGTCATTAGTTAGTTCGTCTACTACTGCCGTGAATAGAATGGCCTTGTGAAGAAAGATCGCCTCAAGATTTCGCACAAAAGACTGCGAGGGACGTGCCTTGGGGCAAGACATTCCTACGATCATTCTTGAGTTCCCTCCCGAATGCGTGCTCGATGATATCATAGGACCGATAGGACGTACGATACAATCTGGTCTAATACAAGCCTTGGAATTTCTGTAATTGTTTTGGAAGACGTCCGTTGACATTTGTGAGTATAAGGTCTTTATTTATGTTTGTTAGAGACAGGCTAGGTCAAAGGAAACATTCCTTAACATATGTTAACATTATACTACTGATTTAGTAGCGGTAAGAAGGTCATAGGTCACTTTTCACAGGTTATAGGTCAACACGGTGCCATTGGATTGTAACGCTTTGGTTTAACTCTTCATATTACTAGACTATATAGATCGTTTTTCCTCTATCTTTCTGAATTTAGGAATTTCTTACTGTCCCTATTGGAAATGACATATGAAACTTGATACAGTGCCAAATGCAGACAAAAATATTCTACTGTCTCCTTGAAAAATTATTCGCGTTCGATGAACTGTCCTCAAGGTCGCTTGTGTAAAGTAAAATTATTTTTCTCCTTTTACGTGCAAAAAGCTTTAAAAGGGTTCATATACAAGGGGTTTTGCAACTTGTCTTCAAATTTTATGATTGTGAGCCTCCACCACTTAGACAACACAGACAACAACTCAACGAACCCTGTAGTAATATAATTTTCCCACGAGTGTAGATATCAGGTCGAACTGGTTATTACACATGGCTGTTAGGTCAGGCTGACACTCCCTGTGTTATTGTTCCCGTGATTCCGGCATAATCTGCTCTTTATTCAAACTGGATCAGACCACACTATCAGCGAAGCTACATAATCGTTTTGACTACCCTATTAGAAACATTATATCATGAAATTAAGTAAGAGCATGGCAGGGCAATGCCACTAGCTTTACTTCAAAGATTCTCCCTGTCATCTTGCACTGATTTTGGAGACTGAAATAGATAGTCTTACTCAACACTACGTCATTGTTGCCATTATTGTCAGGTAGTTATGTCTGTATAAAAAGGTCAACAACACCTCACCGGCAGCCATTTTGTTTTCTGTAGGGCGTCGAACAAACACTGTGTCGTTAACTTTATCAAGCTTATGAAAGTAATATGTTTTATACAAATAATTCCTCATCCAAGATGACTTAACTGGCTGTGGAGAGGTGAACTAACGTACCACAGAGATTTCAGGTTTTGTAGAAATAATTGTAGAAGTATGTCTGCTTTGAATTGCCAGGCTTGTTGCTTTTAGACTAATAATTGGTCGAGTGCAGTTGTTATTTTGCTACTGTACATACGATACAACATTGATGGGCTTAAAACTATACAGCAATTTACTTGTCTTTGAAAGAAAATATCTATGTGATCACGTTTGAATTTCTTATGTATAACATCCCTTCGTGACGACGATACGATTCAGATTTGTGAGCGGGGTCAAATTTTTACTGTGCCACATGCCAATCTTATTACTATAAATAAAGTTGACTATGAAATTATGAATCTATCTAATGTCATACATTCATATCTCGAATCCAATAACAAAGTGAATAAGGTAATTTAAATTCAAAATGTTGACAAAAAACATTCCATAGAATGTCATAACATAGGGACAGGGATGTCACAACAGGGATGCGTAGTACTTAATAAGGATAGGATTACCATTGAATTACATGGTATATTCAATTTGGTAAGAATGTATATATCCTGGTTACCTTTCCACGAAACTATTTTGTCAACACGTACGGTAAATCCGCATCTGTACGTAATTACGCTTATAACTAATCATTGTGTGTAATTTTCCTGAAATCATCCTGTTGTCCGACAGGTCCTTCCGGTCTGAACGTCCCATGTGGCTTCACCGGATCACGTGACAAGCTCGTCATACAGTACACACCAGAGGAAGTCGGTAAGACCTCACTTTGGGATCTTTTTTGTCAAATTTACCAAACTGACAATGTTGACAAAAAACTTCGCGATGCCACTCTGATTGATTTTATCTAGATGACATCCCTAAACTAAACTTACCTCAACCAAACCTAACCAACCCGATACAAGGTAACAGAAACTGCAAGCTCTAGTAATTCTTGATGGAATTACTACTATCAGTTTTAATTGCTGATCAATAGGTCTTACATACAGAGCAAAACAAGCGATGCAATACCAAAACATTTACTCAAGCAACTGGATATGATTTTGGATATGCTTCCAAAATCATAGCCAGTTACTTGAGTAACTGTTTCTTGGCGTATCTTATTACCTAGATGTCTAACCTTCACCGACGTAAGCGATGCAATTTTCTTACACATTTCTTATATATTTAATATAAAGGGTCCCACAGTATCAGCATCATGGCGGATGGAGTATCCCTTCCCGGCAGCCCTTTCGCCACGAATGTCTATGACCCCACGCGAGTCACCGTCGATGTTCCAAGTTACGGGAGGGTCGGACAAGAAGTCACCAGCACAGGTAAGGTTTACTAATCATGATCAATATATCAATACTCCACTTACTATAATTGCAGATTTTGCCCAGTCAGTTGTTCCTTGGCAAAAACTGTTTTCCACTGCAAGAATTCCTTTCCGGATGTCTAGTCTTCTCAAAATAATCTTTTCTTGAATAGACATTGTCTTGTCTTTGAAATAGCTCTTTTTTTTACTTTGATAGACCATGGAAGTCTCCTTCTAACTCCATGGATAGAAGTACTGAAATTGGTGTTTGATTGGTGAATAAGCCATCTGACTTTGGCGTAAAAGTTATCTATACCCTGTCTAGATCTTGGTTCAATTTGGAGCCGCCCTCTTTCTGCTTCCTTTAAAATTGCATCGTGCCTTTTTGTGTTGTTGCGAGGGAATATTTTGTGTTTACTGATTCTATCGTTCTATCGCAGTGATGACGACGTACGCCGGAGAAGGTGACGTAGAAGCTGAGGTGTCTAGCGGTGACGGCACCACGCCCTGTGACGTGTACAGGCAGGGGGAGGACAAGTTTCTCGTGACCTTCACGCCAAAGTCAATGTCACCGCATGACGTCGTCGTCAAGTTCAACGGTTCCTTGGTACCAGGTAATAAGTGTTCTCTTAGTTTTTCTGGTAATAGCAGAAAGAGACTTAGGTTTTCTTCCATCTCTATGAGGAAAATGCCCTTGTCTCATATCTTTACCCTCTTCAGGAAAAATAGCCCACTACGTCCGGCACGTGATCAAAAGAACACGTGATTCGAACAGCGATTTAATTTTACGACTTACTTTTCTTCCATTGCTCTGTAGTCTGGTCTTTGCCTCCCTAAGAATGCATGTTTTATTAATCCAAACAGGAAACCCGTTTCGCTGCGTCGTGACGTTTGTTGACGTCAGCAAGGTCACCGTTTCCGGTGACGGCATCGAGGACCACCGTCCACTTCCGGTGGGCAAGCCCACGAGTTTCTTCGTCAACACCGATGACGCAGGGGTGGCCATGCTGCAGGTTGACGTCACAGGCCCAGGTTTCGATGACGTAGAGGCGGCAGTTTCTCCACAAGACGATTTTCACATTGTAGAATACACCCCTGTGGATGTGGGTGAGTTTATACTCAAATCATTCCTGTCATTGACGAAAGACTGACAGCTTGTCATGTAACAAATCACTGTATAAACGTACGCGTATATGACATATAAATTGATACTAGCCAACCGCCTTGCATTAATACAAGTGCTCTACCAGACTTCAGAAGCAACTGTCAAGAGTAAAACTTGGCCACATAGACAGATAACATACCGGGGGAATTGGGCCCCGGAAAACGTACAGTTTGTCTCTCCTGACATGAAGCCTGTCTGTAGTTGCCATGATGAAACGATATAAAAGCAAGCCACTTATTATTCTGACAAAAGTATCTCATCAGTAACACTTTGTCATTTTCCACACTTCTCCTAGTGCTATAAGGGAGACATACATGAATCTTGTATTACCTGTACACAGGTGAACATAGGATCAAGATCACTTACGACGGTAAGGAGATCGAGGGAAGCCCCTTCAAGACATGGGCGTATGACGTCAGCAAAATCAACGTTCTCCTTGGAGGAGACAAGAAAGCCAAGCTGAACGAGAAGATGTCATTTCTCGGTAAGACTCGAAATGTTTTTGAAAATAGGTGTAGAAATCAAGCGTCGTTGGTGAGTTGGGTAGCTGGTGAGTTGGGCCACCATGGCCTCCGATCATACGAAATTGGCAATTGGGCCTACTTATCGACTGTACAACTCTTTGTCAGTGAATGAGCAATCCAACCCTTCTATTACGTTATGCAGATGGCACAATGTGACTCGGTGAGTAGTGATTCACGGGTAGCAGCAAGTCTGTGGCGCCCCCCGTCTTTGTTGAAGGATGGTTGCAACTAGCCTCTTTGATAAACAAAGATGAACTTTGAAGATAAGATTAAGGGATTGTAATATTTGATTCCACTCTTCCAGTCGACACCAGTCATGCAGGTGGAGGTAAACTGGAGTGCATCATCCGGGACCCTCCCACAGAAACCCAGATGATGGACCGGGGCCTGGGACGGTATCTGGTCTCCTTCCTACCCGTCACTCCTCAGCCACACGGCGTCACGCTCAGCTTCAACAGAGTCGTCGTACCTGGTGAGAACATCCAAATCTTTTTCCCATTTCATGTCTATAATCATGACTTTGTATCTGTAGACAGCCCAAGAAGATGCCTTTGTTAGTTTATTGTCGAATATACAGCTATTGTTGATGTCTTACCCAAGACGAGTACATACTATAGACATTCAGTCTATTTGTGTCATGTCCTTACTCTATGTAGGCCAATATACAGCTAGCGCTCTGCACAAACTTGTTCAGTAGACAATGTCTCCTGTACATTTCGATCGTCATACTAATTATGTAGTTCCTTTTGCTATGTAAAGATAATAGTGTAGATAGCAGACTCCTTAAATAGTACTGTTACCATATATTTTGTCGGTCAAAATTGTTGATCAGTCATTCTTAGTGTATTACGACAATATGCTCCATCATACGTGCTAATGATAACTGTCCACAGCTATTTGTATCTTTATCAATATATGCACGGATATGCAGCAACACTGTTATTTGCATGTTACCCACAGGGAGTCCGTTTAAGATCCAGGTGGTTGACGCGCGGAGAGCCACAGCATCAGGAGACGGTCTGCAGCTGGCTCCCATCAACACAGAGGCCGTGTTCGTGGTGGATACCGCCCGGGCAGGAGGGGCCAGCGCTAAGGATATAGAGGCCAGAGTTACCAGTAAGTGATTGGCATTTCTCGTGGTTTTCTCAGAAAGTCCCTGTCTACCTATGTGCTCAGGCCAAGCGTCAGTATCCAACTGCTGGCACAGCTTTTATTTATCTGTTTGGATGGATGAGAACATACAGCTAGAGCTACCCAAAGGCTATAAAGGGTACTGGCAACTGAATAATATAGTATTCGATGCAAATGATGCACATGATAAAGGTGTTAAAGAATCACAAGATTGAGGCGCTATATGCCTTTTTATGTGTCGTTTGTATGTATGTGGTTTACAAAACTTTGCTCCCTTTATCATTTTTTTCTGTAGTATTCTCCCTGTATTTCTTCACAGTAGTTATACCATTCAAAGGTAGGCCTGTAAGTCTTACTCTGATTCGCTTGCAATCCACACAGGTCCCAGCCGAGCATCAGTGCCATGTAAAGTACGTGACAGCGGTGTGGGGGACTTCACGTGCCACTTCACGCCAACAGAAATAGGTAATTAATTATAAGTATGCTATATAATAATAAACCTTTTTAATATGTAATATCCAGCTCTTCTTGTGACTTGTAAACGTCATTGCAGTAGACGGATAGCATGTTAAGAGTTAATTTTAGTCTACATAATAATGTCAGTTTACATTAACAACTTTCTGCAAAAGCGACGTAATGTTATATATTTCTGACGCATTATACAGTAACTGTTATAACATACTGTTTACGAGTTATCATTACTAGAGTATCAAATGTAGATCAGTCTGTTAGGATCAATATTAGCAATAGTTTGACTTCCAAATCTTTACAATTTGACACACCTTGATCCTGCTGGAATTTCCATGCAATAAAGTTCTTCTGCTGCATTGTGAATGTTTATGTTTCATCCCATTATCAGGTCCACATATCATCGTCGTCACCGTACTGAGGGAGAGCATCGACGGCAGTCCCTTCACCTGTCAGACCTTTGACCTGTCAAAGGTCAAGGTGGGGCCCGTCCAGGATACAACCGTGGGGCAGGAGATGAGCTTCTGGAGTAAGGGACATTCCATTAACTATTCATATTCATATCCATTGTTTCATCTACCATGTTGTTTCTTTCTTCTTGTTGACTTGTCTGTGTTGGCACTGTTATTAACAGTTTGTGTCTCTAACTTTAACTTCGGACGAACAGGTTATCCTTAAGCTTCATAAGACGGACGTCTGTCTTATGGATCTTAAGGTTATGAGTTTGAATCCCACCCGTTGTGCGTCACCTAAAATTCACGCTACTGGAAAGATTGGCAATCCTTTGAACAGGACGGTAAAGTTTGATCAACTGAAAAGAGCAAGGGACTTTCCATAGACTACAATAGACATGACTGTACTGCACATGTACCAATTGTCTGTCTTTTCCTTGCAACAGACAATGGAAGTACTACATTTTTGTAAGCCAACGTATATTTACATACATGTTTTTTCTCCCTGTCCCCAGTTCAGACCGCTGCTGTAGGTAAAGGCACCCCGACAGTTGAGATAAACTGTGCGGGAAGAACGTTCCCATGTCACGTGAAGGGTCCCCCTGGCGGCACGAAACATAACTGCCATTTCCAGCCCAAAGTAGCCGGGTCACACGAGGCCGTGGTCAGGTTCAACGGCTTCGATGTTGAAGGTAACGCCTTCTATCTGTTAGAATAGCGACGGTAGATGTAGACAACTGTATTGAAGAATCTTAGATCTGTGTGTGTTACGCGTTAGATTATCCTGGGTTCTTAACCAAACAACAAAACGGATTTTCTCTCCCGACGTTTTGATAACTTCATCAGTACTAAATGAAAATTTCTTTGCAAGTTTGTGCCGGAAGGCAAGTTTGTGGACATAGGAAACATGCATGTAGCAAAGACAGTGATTGTAACAATATACAGAGTCAAACACTGGTAATTATAACAATAGACTAATTCAAGGGACTAAACTTGAGCTCTAATATGCATCATCATCACAAGACTACTGTCTCGTTATTTCTAGGAAGCCCATTTGCGTTCCAAGTCCGACCAGGCCAAAGCTACAACACCACCATAGAAGTCCAGAGCCCGACGATATACCCACAAGACGACACAGTCCTGCCAAACAGACCCAAATCTCTCCAGATGCGGCCCCCCGACCACCCGCCTCTCGGCCGAAGACAGTCCGAACCCGTGAGCCCGACACGATACGAGCCGAACAGCCCGACACGAAATGAGCCGAACAGTCCACGGAGACCTCCTCAGCCCCTTAGCCCGAGGAGATCTGACCCTATTGCGGCGCTCTACGCCGCTAGAAGCCCCGGACCTCGCACGCCGCCAAGCCCTGGAGGATTCACTATACCAGAACCTGACTACTGGAGAGGTAAGAACTGACTGCATATTAATTTTATAAGTCATGGCCATAATCTTAATAACTTTCCATCCAGCATAAGTGATCAATTTACCGACGTTACAACCGATCTGTTATGCTTCACGGATAGACTTACATAAATACAATTAACGTCGTAAACAGTTTGAAGACCTGGTTAAAATTCTTTATTATGTAAGTAATTGAATTGAACTAGAAAGAACGTTTCAATCTTTAGACCTTTTTATTTATCATGGTAGCTACAGGCTTGTTCTAGCCTCGCTATTGTCAAAACGCTCAAAAATGATTGCAGTCAATGTTGACTAGGAACTTGATCCGTGTTTGGACCGACTAGATCACATCTAACATTCTTTCTCCATCCCTGTTCCAGACCAGGACATCCAGCCCAAAGAAAAGATCGCGGCGTACGGACAGGGGCTGAAGAGGGCAGTGGAGGGGAAGATATCAGAGTTTGTTGTCGACACGACAGGCCATCCGAGGTCTTCTCTAGAAATCCAAGTGTTCGGTAAGGATTTTCGTCCACTCATTTTTCTATCCCAGTGTCTAAATGTGCCTTGCACAGTTTCTCAAAGGCTATGAAGGACTTTTCTATCTTATGGCTCACTCAATACCCCAGGGTAGGGAAAGAGCGCTCTGGGTTGCTGAGCTGTGCGTTTTTGTGTATGTTTATACGAACAAAGGAGATTGACAGCTCGTAGGAGGGTACGTATAACAGGCAAAAAGTCAGACACAGGAAATAGGATGAACTTCAAACCCCAAAATACTTCCGGGATTCTGAAAGTTCTTGTTCGTTCATTCATTCCTTCATGAATTCATTCATTCATCCTTTTCTCGTTGATCCCCCAGGTCCCAGTACTATGATCCCGTGCACAGTAGACCGGCGCGGAGACAAGCACTACGCCTCCTACACTCCCCGCCAGGTCGGCGCCTACAAAATACACGCCAAGTACGGCGGGCACGAAATAGAAGGTAAACTAAACTAATATCATTTCATCAGCATTACCTTTCTACAGTCAATGATTTGATACGAATGAAAGTATTATGGTCAGTAGCTATCGTGGTTCAAAATCAAATGTAATACTGAAGTACGTCTCCTCTGTTTTGTAATGTTAGCATTTTTAATACAATGCCAACAATACCATGGTAATCTATGTATTGAAAAGAATTCAGGTCAAAAGTCGACTATAGGGTCGTTTGAACATTTGTCTCCTTTTATTTTCCCCCACAAAGCTGTTAAGTACACCATCGATTAAGATTAGACATCCAGGTAACGAAATACACTAAAAAAACTGTTACTCAAGCAACTGGATGGATTTTGAAACTCAGTTTTGAATGACAGCCTTTTCAAAATCTATCCAGTAACAGTTTTAGTGTTAAGTGCACCAATTCTTTTCTTCTTTCCCACTACAGGTAGTCCATTCCAAGTGACCGTGGTGAACCCTAAGAAAGTGGAGCTCCTAGGTGACTGGCGGGCGCTGATGGGGAACACCAACCGCCTGTCTCTCACCGTGGATGAACAGTTCACTTTTCCGTTTAACGTGCAAGATGCAGGACCTGGAGGTAAGAATCCTTCATAGAAGTTCTTTTGGAGAGGGTCACAACTTTCACCCATTCCAACACGTTTAGGCCATGTTGATTTGATTATATGGATGACATCCGCGCGCGCATGAATTTTCGGCCGTTTCCAAAAAAAAAAAAAGTTTTCAACCATACTGTAAATCGTACAAAATAGTTGCAAAATGAGCAAACATATACCGTAAGTTACAAAAAAATAAGTAAAAACTATACCAATGTCGTAGAATGCCAAAATCAAACGAAAAAAGACGAAATTGTAAGGAAATGAACTTGAAGATTAGATTATTCGCCAAACCATATTCTGTCCCATTTGTTCAACCCTCATGACCACGTAGATTTCATAATGAAAACAACTTTTTTTTTTTTGCAAAACTTTTTTTTTATTCGCACGCGCGCATCAGTTTTGGGGCTCCCGGAGGATGTCATCCATATAATCAAATCAACATGGCCTTAATGTAACTTTTATTTTGGAGTTTAACAAGGTCTTGCGATTTCCATCGCCAAGTGGTGAGACACAAATCTGATCACTCCATAATCAATTTTGCCCAGGTTGTCCTGATACACTTTTATCCGTAACGTAACTGATGTAGCGTGAACGTTACTCATATCTTCATCATCAGGCTCAAATTGCTCAGATATAATACCGTCCTATATTGATTGTCGATGCTGCTTTAGGGTAATACATTTGACTTGATCTTTTACCATTTTGTTATCTGCTTACTTACAGGTATCTTAGATGCAATAGTCCAGGGTCCTTCTCGAGACATCAGGGCCAAAACAGTACAGAAAAACAACGGGAGACAATACGTCACCTTTATTCCAAAAGAAGAAGGTAAGAACATTAATTACACTTACAAACATTCTTCAGTCAATGCATTGTATATGGGATTTGCGATGTATAAAATATATCTTAAAGATCTTCTCTTCAGTTGGCTTGTGTTTTATTGCGAGTTACAGGTAGCTTCGTAAGTCTCTCTTCTTCCAGGGAGGTCCTTGCTTCTTCTGAGTGTTTTCTATGGACATAAGAATACATTGCAATATCACATTTTATTCAGAAGTATACAAGTAGTATACAAGTAGCAATCAGCTGATAATATCTTGCTGTGTGTTTTAGGTGAACATTTTATACAACTCCGATGGCTGGACTTCGAGCTGCCCTGTAGCCCCATATATGGAGACGCGAGGGGATACCGATCCGACCCGAACAAGGTCGTCGTGAGTGGTTCGGGCATTCGGGAGGCCTTCGTCAACGAAGTGGCCGAGTTCGTTCTAGATGGAAGCGACGCCGGGCCAGGTACATTGCTGATATTGTTGATGCTTTTTATTACATTTGAAAGAGGTTGAGTGAGGGAAGAAGTTTATGGTTTGGGGAGGGTATGTCCTGACGGTGTGTTCGTGTGAGTGTCTGTGTGAATGCGATAACTCGAGAAGGATTGAATTGATATTTGTAAGATGGGTAGATCTTCAAGACCTCGATATGATCAGATTTTGGTCGCCTGGCAGATTGTTTGAATTCAGTTGAGGTACCTCAGCCAAAAACGACATTGAAAAGTAAGTATTCGACTTCAAGTGGATTCATAATTACACATGATATTAAAATATTGTTTCTACTATAGGTGAACCAATGTGTGTGTTGAGAGGACGAGAGGAGGAGGTGGAAGTCACTCTCATGCCCTTCCCTCAGAAAAGGGACAAGTACAGAGCTTTGTACTGTGCAGAAAAACAAGGTAAGCCACTCTTACTTATCACAATGTGCCGTTACCTTGTCTATTACTACTTGCGACCTAATGCATGCATGTAACGATGATGTCTTGGGAAAGGTTCTAAAACGACAAAAAAAATGCAAAATTAAGGAAATATCCATGATATTACGAATACTGTCAGATGTTACATAGTACCGATCTTCATGATCGATAAATGTGGAATCTAAGAATTTGTCATTGCACCTTCTCACATTAGGCACGTACCGACTCAAAGTAACCTGGGACGATGCGGAGGTCCGCGGTTCTCCCTTTAAGATCACGGTGAAGAAGACGATAGACGTGAGCAGGGTCCGGTTCTCAGGGATCACAGGAGCCGTGCTGGGCAGCACCATCCGCGCTAACATAGACCCACGGGACGCCGGCGCGGGGGGTAGGGACACGGCTTGTACTGGTCTTTCAGTAGTCTCCACCAGACTTTTTTGCAGGCGCTGCAGGCCTATTTGATCGTCGATGACCGGCTACCTTCTCTCGCCAATTAATACCCTTTTTAGACCGATTTCTACGATTTATTTAGCCTGCAAAAGAAGTCTGATGGATACTAGTGTTTCAGTGTTTCTTAAACCTTATTAATAATTAGAACATTTATGGGACAAAAATAGATCAAAGCGTTGTCTTTCATCCATGAAATAAAACCTTAATAATTAAAATCTTTATGTGACCAAAATAGGCTAAAAGGTTGCATTGCGTCCATGAAATAGAACAGTCGAACATCATGGAACATCGTTCTAAGAAACATAGAACAGAAGTTCTAAGGAACATAAATCAAGGGTTCTAAGAACAATAGAACTGGTGTTCTAAGAAACATATAGAACAGGAGTTCTAAGAAATTTATTAGAACAAGCTACTAGCCACAGGTACTACTGTACTCTGTCCTTTTAGCTATTTAGTTAACTGGGTCATACTTTTCCCTGGAGACCGAGAGCATGAAGCAAAGGTGCTTTCAGACATGGTCGGCCTCCGCACAGGCAAGATTGATGCGTCACAGGGCTAAACATTATCCTCACGCAAACTTTCCATCCACAACCGTCAGAATACCCCTGGCACCTCTGCAGGTGTAAAAATGACCCCATTCTAGGATTTTTTTTTCTTTATTAAAACATTTAGGAGCAAAGTGGACAGGATGACGACACACTCAAGCCGGAGCTTATGTTCATGTCGCCATCTAACATTACAAAAATACAGAAGCAAATTCTAGGATTTACCTTTACCACTTACAGCACCTTAGTCCTAAACTGGACCGAAATCGTTCACAAACCTATACAAACTGGCCATGGCAATAGAGATATAAATAAAAGTAAAAGTTGGAATATACGTAAGTTTTAATCTGTCATAATTGTATATTTTACCAGGTCTGCTCCAGGCGCGCTGCCTGGGGCCGAACGGGAAGGCTGACGTGCAGCTGACTGAGAAGGAAGACGGGATCTACTTGATGAAGATCCGCGCAAAGGAGGCCGGGAAGCATGAACTGGACATCAAGTATAACGGAGAGAAAATTGAAGGTAAAACGACTGCCATGTTTAAATGCGAACGCTTGTGTCAGTGTGTGTGTGTGTGTGTGTGTGTGTGTGTGTGTGTGTGTGTGTGTGTATGTGTATGTTCACAGGGAAGGGAATATGATGTCTCCTAGCACTTTCGTTTGGAACTGCAGTTGTTTGTGTCTTTCTTTCCAAATGAGACTTTGGTTATGAGTTTTCTTGATGATTTTTACATTTCTTGTGTACAACAGGCAGCCCATTTATAGTGGACATCGCACCGGTCCCGACCAGTTCTGGAGGACCCGACGCTAAGAAGGTGACGGCGTTCGGGCCGGGTCTGAAGCACGGCGTGCTCAGCGCCTGGAGGGGGAACTTCCTGGTGCACACGGCCGGGGCGGGGCCAGGCAAGCTGCAGATTAAGGTGGACGGGCCAAAACCGGGTAAGGAAGGGAACTTGATTATAATTCATATTCATTCATAGGAAGAGAGGGGTGATGTAAAAATAGGAGTAAGAGATGATACATGGTGAATCTATTCGAGGTCATGTTGGTATTCTTAGAACTCTTGTTCTATGTTTCTTAGAACACCTGTTCTATAGTTCTTAGAACTTCTGCTCTATTATTCTTAGAACACCTGTTCTATGATTCTTAGAACTCCTGTTCTATATTTCGTGCAAGAGCAAAACGCATTTTTGTGGCTATTGCAAGTCTTCATGGCAACAATGTGTTAGTACAAAACAAACAGAAAATGTTTGACGCTAGCAACCAAGGTATACATATCAGGAAAAGATGGTGTATACATAGACCCTTTGAAAACAAAGAGGATGTCTTTGAATATATGACAGGTTGACATGGGGAAAATTGCGCCTCCTTGCGTCCCCCACAAACGCACACACATTGTACACTGAGCAGTTCCTTTTCAACTACAGTAGTTTCCTACCTGTCCCACGTCGACATCAGTGTTTGTGTTGTCCGCTGCACATCGCAGGTGGCTAATGCACCTCACAAAGGGGGAGATCAAAGATTCAACAAACATTCGCCAGCCATCTTGTTTCCCATCTGTTTTGAATGTGATCTGCAACAATAGCAAATCCATCTATTAACCAGAAACACAGGGCGCATTGTCACACCTGATTACGTACCAAATCCTACTACAGAAGCTTTTCACCTGTGTCGGGCACTGTGTCCTATGCCTTTGTTCGCACAAGTGGCTTTTTGACGGTGCGCTACTTTGATTTCGAGAACCAAATTTAAAGATTATTAACTTATTCTCCACATCAAAGGCATAATTACTATGCTTATTGACTGTGGGTTCAAAAGAGTGTATATTTTAGCAGTTTCCGTGTTTTTATTCTAAAATGTTTGAACTTTTTTTCTCAGGGTCATTCAAGTTAGAGTCAAGGCCGTTGCCGGACAAGGACCGCGCAGTCGCGGTGAACTTTACCCCCAAGATGGTGGGCAAATACGTCATCGCCATCAAATGGTCGGACGAGAATATCAACGAGAGTCCGTTCGAGGTCATCGTCTTCGGGTCTTCGGACGAGGCGAAGTCTTACGACAAATCCCGACAGAGAAGACGGTCGACCAGGTCGAGTTTCGACAAGTCAAGATAATATGGGGAAGATAGAATTCGTGATAGTCGCCGAATTAGTATATATATAGTTGTATGAAGTATGATAAACTTCAGTGACATTATCCTTGTTAAACATTTGTACAAACTTTAAATATGCAGTAATTCTAGAGTTATTTGCCGTACTGTCAAGCGTTGAACCAAAAAAATGTCCAGAATGGTGTATGAATTGTTTTTACACAGCAGGGTATTGAGACTGATATGTTAAAGAAAACGGCATTAGCCAGTATTTTATTTACCATTGCTACATGTTGTATTTATTTTATTTTTTACCTATTTATGTAGATACCTTGCAATAACCACATACGAAGTCAGTCATTTTATGTACCAAACTAACTCCAAACCTACCAGTAAAAACTGTCATTTATATGTTGAATTTTCGCTTACATCTAGATGGAACACATTGTAAAAATTGAATATCATAATTCGTATGTAATTTGGAGTTGCTTTTATCATTGCGCCCACAATGTTAGTCATTATTTATTCCAGTCCGTATACGGCGTACCATATTTTTAGACATCATTTTCTCCATATTTAGGTTAAGAGGAGTGTAAAAATCACCAACAGAATAGAAAATGTGTAAAAGTTGTTTGTTGTATGTATCCCTGTAGAATTCTACAACCGGCCTCTTTCCTGCTCAGTTTAATACGATAAATTGACGTGTCAGTTTTCAGAATGTCGCTACAATATTTTGATGTTTACATTTTGTAATCATACTTACCTACTTCGTAAGTGTGATCGTCCCTAATGATATGCCTTGAGTGTAATTCGTGTAAAACGTCGCCCGAGGGCGTGCCTGCAAAGTGACATAAAGCGCATTCGTGCAAAGCGCATATTTCATACCAATTAAGCATTCGTACCTACAAACAACAAAATACATGGATACACCAATAAAGCCCGAGGACCAATGTTAAAGAACACTCGTGCTCTGGACAGCTTTGTAACGTAATGCCATCTCGTCTTATCTAACTATGCAAAGATACTAGAAATGTATCAAAACTGTAGTGAAGAGGTAAGAAAATAAAGAAAATTCTATACCCGACGTGTATGTCAATTCTTGAAAATGAATCAATTGAACTTCCTTTTTTACTCTCAAATAATGTTGGAATAAATGAAATTATATTAGTTGAATTGTAGCAGGAACAACAAGTGCATCATCCTCTAATGCGACGAAAGCAAGAACACAACAAGTCACAACTGATACAGACAATGTATGACTATAGAAGATAATTACTTTTATTGTGAATAAAATTTATATTGACTATAATCTCCCATGCACATGCAAGACACTTCGAAAAAATAAAGAGGCGTATGTAAAGTGTAAACATAAATCGGCAATGGCAGTTTGACAACAGAGACTCATCAAATAAGGTTGATCATAGAATTCCATGTTGGTAAAATATATTTTATATCAACATTTTTTTTAATACTGAAATGTGAAACGATTGTTATTGCTATATAATTGTACGCAAAAGAAACGCCTCAAAATAGCGAACAAAATACATATCAGCCTACCAAGGTGTTCAAGGGCGCGTAGTTCTCGCCCGCACTGTATTCACTGGGTAGTTATTAATAAGTAATGACAGACGAGCGATCAAAAGTGATTCTTTTGACATTTCCGTGACCTCTAGAGCCGACCTCTGAGCTTCGAACATCTCGCAACCTCTCGCGAGACCAGGCGGTGACAATAAAGGCTACCTGTGCGAGAATCAGATGGCTAGGTGGTAGCATTAGGCTTTAACTACGGAGGGCAGGTCTTCTAGTGTCAATGGGCGTCGGCGCGGTTGTTTCCTAACGTATTGTCAGAAAATAACAAAGCAGGACGTTGTAGGCTGTTGATTTTTGAAGCCGGGAAAAATCTGTGACAGCAGGGAGCATTGGGGGCGACGCCAACGCGAGGAGTGTCGGTGTGTTTTTGTCGGACGATACGAGGGGAGGTCACCCAACTGCTCTCACCTAGAGGATGTCTACGCAAGGTGGGTTTTAACTCGCGTTTTTACATCACTGAGTCTCTGACTTGACATTTTTTAAGAAGTACACATAGTTTTGTGATCAAGATGGGATAAAACTGTGTCAGACAAGGGAAAAGGAAACGTATTTTTTACGATTTTCGGGCAGATGTGTCAGTCGAAGGCGCGCAGACAACCCGTCAAACGACATTCCAATGAGCGGACAGCTTTAGTCCCATTCATATGTACTCAACCACACAGCATTGCTAATCATCAAGGGGGAGGGGAGACCAAATATTTGCGGGGTTTTTACTATCCTTTCTGATGTTTTTGTCAACATATCGCACCAAAAAATCCAGCATATCACACCAAAATATCTTTGCGATTCTGCGTTCAACGTCCCTATCATAGAACCTGTGTTACCAAATGATTCATTGAGGGTTTCAGCTGCATTGTTTACATACAATATAAGGGCTTGCGTGTCGACATACTATCCATATGTCACTCACAGTGTCCAGTGCTTCAAAATGCCTTACATAAACTGTACACGACATGGCTTATAATCACTAGAACAATTGATAGTTGGACACTCCAAAATTTGCACGTACTACTTGGACATTAGTACATTTTTGTGGCATCTTTAAAAGCTATAATTGCTTCTAGGAAGCAGCTGATTAACCTAAAAGCGAAGATACAAATGTGAAAACATTGTACAAAATTTGGCGTTCAAATAACTAAAAATTCGTGTATATTTTGTAACCAGTGACTGTCGCACGGTTATAGATGGTTCATTGCTGTACAAGGAAGCAAAACAGGTCAGCTGATTTAAGTCCCATAGCTAGGGTGTGTCTCTTTTAAGACTATCGGTTGAATAGTCTGAGAGTTTTGTCCGTGATACGTTGTAATTTTCTACATCATGTCACTTTATGATAAACTGTTAGTCGTAAACCAAAACTGTTTGAGCTACCGACAACAAAACCATCTCTGAAAGAGTCGATTGATGTTCGTATAAGTATTGGTATTATCATCCTAGCAACTAGATCGTCGAGATATGAGATGATGATGAGTATCACCATTTTCTATTGTTACCGAAGAAATGCATCATTATAAGACCAAATGATTGCATAATTTCAAATCTTTGTAAGTATGTATTCTAACTGTTGTTACACGTACATGTAACAAGTCAATTTAGAATCTTGTAGTCGATGTCAAAGATTTGACTACGGTAATCACGAGTTTCTTGATATAATATTGCTAATGTCACATCCATATACCAACATGCAAAAGAACCTTATATTAGTGCGGGTATTGTGTGGGGTTCACACGTTCACATACTTTACAGAGTTACACTTTTAGAGTAAATCTTGCAGTCATTGGGGCATAGGATTGTTTTTGTCTTCTCAAATCCAAGGTATCCTCTCCATAAGATGTTAAAGCAGGTGAAACGAGGAAGATCTCTTTGCTTGTTTTCACTTCCCCCGAGCTTTGTAGCGCGGATTTTACGGTGTTGTTGGCAAGTATCTTTGTCACCAAGTGTTTCAAAAAACCGCGAGGTCCTGTGAATAGACAGTTATATCTATACATCAACAGTGGCATTACGTAGTCCACACATTTTCCTCCAAACAAAGCAGATACAAAACATGTCGTATGTCGATGAAGGCTAGACATCCATACATCCACGTAATAAGATACACAAGAAAACTGTTACTAAAGCAATTGGATAGCTTTTTGATAACTGTCAGACGTTTCAAGTAGCATCCGCTACACAGTGACTGACGAAACGTAGTGGATGTTGCTCAAAGCAGGTATGGATCCAGTTTTCACAAACAAGCACCGTGTCATTAGCCAATTATAGATGTTGCTGCATGATACGTTTCTTCTCCACATATTTGATGTGTATCATAGCTATGTATTTGTCGCGTTAGTCAACCGTACGTTATATCTAAGTAGGGATCGAACAGGTTTTCCAACTTAACCCCCTCTGGGCTGACAGATGACTTGTCCTGCGCTCGGAAACATGTCATTAACTCACGGAGCTCTTTCCGTCCATTTCGGGACGATTCTCTGATCATTGGCAACGTTTACGCTGAAATACGATCGTGATTCAACTAAGAAGCATGTCCTTTATCTCATTGAAGCATTCCAGAAGTGGAATGGTATGTAAATTGCAGGGAAGGGATCATCGGCCATTTTTCTTCCCTCCTCAGGGGAGTCAACCTTTCACCCCTGAAATATTTTGTTTACCAATTATATGCGGGTGAACATCCGATGTAACTGTTGTGATACCGTCTGTTTTCGTTAATTGATTTCAATCACAATTGGTGTGTTTATCCTCAAATTTGTCTTCGGTGGCTCTTCATACAGTTTACGACAGGTACTTACAGTGAAGGCCCACCTTTTTGTGCCTTCTAAATTATTCAGTCGACATGATGTCGGGGACAAAGGCAGTGCAGAGGAATTTCATCTCACTAATTGCGGTGTTGGTGAATCATAACTGCGACCTCACCCCCAATAAGGTGGCGCCCGGTTTGATAAATCACCAAAAGTCAAGTGTTAACATAGTATTGCACTCATGAGGTGAAGAGGCAGCTAAAAGGCAACTTATCATATAACCGCACCAAATGGTCGTTGTCTTAAGGGTTTTCTCAACAGCAATACGAATATGCAAACGAAGATCTGATAATGAAAAAATTCTGATATGGCCTTTCAAAAGCTTAGCTCCAATATTTTTTCCATACATACTGTATTACAGCATTAGACACATACCATACAAATGCGACTATGATGCTTCTGTCTATCCATACAGCATTAGGCTCACCACATAATACAATAAGTTGGGGTAAATAAGGTAAGAAAGCAGTCATTCTCAACTGAGTGAAGCATGATCATGGTTTTTCAAGTAGCTAGTAGTGCACTGCGGCTTTGCTACAACTTTATAACCCTACTATTTATTCTCGACAAGTGTGTTGGCTTACAAGTATAACGTCATCTCAAAATGTATAAAGAAAAGAAAGGTTGTGACACAACCATTATGATTCAGGTCCCATGCACTATAAAAGTGTCCTGTCAAATTTAAATTTAAATGTGGTTAGCGTGACGTGGCGTGGAATCTTAGTTGATTTATTCTCTAAGCTTTGTGACGTAGCGAAGTTTAAAAGAAGTCTAAGGCTGATCGGAGGTATAAAAGGGAAAGTAACGTTTCATACATATAAAACGAAACGTCAGTAACTATATGGAATTTTCAAGATTTCTTTTATCAATGAATGTCACTGCAGTTGGATATCGAATTGGCATCGACAATTTATCGTGTTTTGCGGGCAACCAGGATTTAGGAACTAACCAGAGTGCAAACTCGTCCTACAGTTACCACTCAAAAGACTCGAAAAAGATGGCTACTGTAGACATGCAGCTGGGCACTATAGACAGGATTCTTCATGCTTGAATCAGTGGAAAATATACGATCTAAGGGACTGCAATGTAAAGGTTACGATGACCGGGTGGCTCTTATGCAAAGATAGTCACTTGTAGACTGCAAGTTCTTCGAGTGCCATTAAGAGTGGGAGACCCTGCATATATATCATACTCACATGTTGGCTATTATTAGAAATATTTTGTAGATTGGAGCACATTTTTTGCCATTGAACGCAGTAAAATGTTTGAGAATCAGAACCTTGCCCCATGGCCAACACCTCAGGGCAATGTAACATCCTTGGAATCTCAAAGGTCAACTTCCAGCCATAATTGTTTGTAATGTATAGGCTTAACTATAGTCTCTTCGTGCGCACTTATTTCTCTGTTGCGTAAGAGAAGACTAAACGGCTTAATAGATCATTGTTAAGGAGTAATTTGTGTTGGGGAGAAGGCTATGATTAGTAAGGATACTATGTCAGAGGTTAACTCCATTGAGATAACGATCTTAGCTATAGGCAGGGTGGAAGCGCGTCGTTAGCGGTAAATATGCATGTCATTGTTATCTTATAGGGCATTCTTTGGGGTGGAGTTGCATGCTATTGACGTTTAGTTGGATATGTGAACACACAAAAATGTTACACATTTAAAAACTGCTATAATACTAAATGCCCACTCGCACTGGACTGATCTTTGCCATAACGCTAGCCTCTACCAGGCTTTTGAAGCGGTTGGAAAGAGTAGAAATTGGCCAGATAGACAGATAACATGCCAAGGGAGTTGGTCCGCTAAAGGAGTATATACTGTAGTCTTAGCGGACCAACTCCCCTGGTATGTTATCTCTTTGGCCATTTTGTACTCTTTCCAGTCACTTTATAATCCTGGTAGAGACTACCGTAACACAAGTGCAGAAAATGACTGCCACCCTCACACTTAACGCACTTCCAACTCTTCGCCATTGTGCATGATTATTATGACAAGCATTACGCCGTTTCCTAAAAGGTGAAAGGTGCGCTGACAGAGAATACTGCACACGCGGGATTATTGTATCGGGGAGATCAGCTGTAGATCTACGTCACAGCAGGCGAACACAAATAAAGGGGGCACTCGTGCAGACAAAGTTGATCCAAGGCTTAGACTCTTTTGAAAACAGAGATGCATGCATCGTAGATATGACCGTATTCCGGAGGCAATGGCAGGGAAACACCCGTAAGATGTAGTCTTCATCGGACAACCAACTGTAAAATTTAGCCAAATCGGGAGAATGAATGGACAGGGTAGTTTGGCCACTGTAAAGTTCATTCGGATGAGAGGAAAATTAACCTCTACGCGGACTGACCCTTATGACCAATTATACATCCTTTTTTGCTGAATTCCACCATCCGTAACCCCGTAAGAAGGCCTGATGGAGGCTACGTAAGAAGAACATTTGTGGTCTTGTTCTTCGTTGGGCGTGGGTTACGAGGAAATATGTTCTATTCTTGATTGGTCATTTAGTCAACGCCCTAACATGTATTGTGTTCTTTATGTGAAGAGTTTAGGGTGTGGTGGGTGGGTTTGCTCTGTAGGACATTCACAAGGTTATTCACATCACCTTATCTCAAGGGTGGTTCACTAAAACTGATGAAAAAGTGTTCACGTGCTAATGTGCGTATTATAATCCGCAAACATAACTATACAACAGATGGATGAACCCGCTTATAAAGCTTAGTATGAATTGCAAAATAGCACCCAACATTATACAGTCATCAAGAGAGCCAGTCAATGCTTTTGGATGTTTGCAACTATATGCATTTTTGTGAATAAAAAAGCTTTCTTATTTACAGCAAGGATATATTCAAGCTGCACTGAACTGAGTCTCACGGAAAAGAGTACATACGGGGACTTTAACTATAAAAAAACTATCAGTATACGCAGTTCCGAAGAAACTAGGATAATTAGGGCCATGGACGCATCTTCACATAGTATAACAAAGACAGCATTGTGCAGGACATGTCATTTCTGCCTTCTAATGTCCAAATGATTACCTATTCAATTCACACATGAAAGAAAGCCTAACAGATGACCAGTTGTTTCTGTCAGTGGGTGGCCATCTCAGCATATTACTCACTACCGTCCTTCACTCAAATACATGTATGTGCAGGGGTGGGCTTTATCAGGTATAGCCTGTACTTACACTCGTCCTTCAGTCATACATGTGTACTTACATACAGGTACAGGGGTAGTCATTACAAGTCTAAGTAAGGGACCTCCTTGGTCTAAGCTGCCTTTAGTCTCGGCATTCAGTCATGTGTCTACTTACATACAGGTACAAGGACGTCCATTATCAATATCATCAGTCCCGTCCTTCAGCCTTACATGTACTTAGTACATTCAAGTGTCCCTAACCAACAAACACCGTTGGAGGTCACACGAATACTGGCGTTTCATTTTGTACTGCCCTAATTATGATGACCATAGCTTTATGTTAAGCTACATCACCTTGGTAAACTGGAAGTACTGACCATCTGTTGCTGTGTTAAGATACATTTATTTCTTCAAAGACTATTTAACATGGCGCAAGTACTTAATGAAACAAAATGGAAGAAAACATTCACTTATTGTTTGTGGCTTGAAATTGTTACTATATACAATAAAGTTCCAATATGTCTGTACGTTTCAACTCACCAGGTGTCTAATGGTTTTATTCACATTTCACATGTATGTAACTTAATGTGGTAACGCTAACTCTATTCACTCTGCACTTGATATGCAGTCTCCACCAGACTAACACCGAGGGTTCAGCAACAATTAACTTTATTCAAATAGGAAGAATGATTGACCAGGCCATCGTAGAGTTTTTGACTATCCTGGCCAATTATTCTAACCTTTTTTGCCCAATTCTACGAATCCTGTAACCCGCAGGAAGGCCTGGTGGAGACTACCATTTACTACTACACTGCATTAACTAACTGACTAACCCAATGTTCCGTATAGGGGACCCCTTGATAACGATGAATGGTCCTAACGGCCCGGTCCCCAGCCGGCTGACCAAGGCGGGTGACGGGAAATACTTACTGACTTTTGTCCCAAACGCTCCGACACCTCACAACATCGACGTGCAGTTCGGGGACCAAGACGTGGGCGGTAGGTCTAATCATGTGCAAGGTACCTCTTTTTGTTTGTCTGTTTGTTTGTTTGTTTGTTTGTTTGGTGTATTTTCGTGTGTTACATACCCAATTTAATGGATCACTTTTTGTATGGTCCTCGCACAACGTAATATTTAAGATGTAACTCTTGGTTGATACAAGTGGCACTAATCCATGTTTGTTTGTTTGTTTGTTTGTTTGTTTGTTTGTTTGTTGGTTCATAACCAGCTTGCACCACCGTTTCTGGATTCGTTCCTCTGCAATATTCAAAGCGTACATCACATCCTTTATTACTAATCGATCATGCATGTCATGTACCATATGATTTGGTTGGCCTTGGTAAACAAAGCTTTACTACCAGATGGTAGCATATAGCCTCTACCAGTCTCCAGAAGCGGCTAGAAAAATTGGCCAAATGGACAGATAACATGTTCGGGTCCGGCACACTATATTTTTTTTGCGGACCAACTCCCTTGATATGTTATCTGTCTTTTCGGGTTTCTATTCTTCCCAACCGCTTCTGATGCCTGCATGGTAGAGGCTAGGTAGCGTGCACATAACCCAAGTGTTTTGACCCCAAGCCTGATTGTGTGAGCCGAGCCGTAAGTGACGATATAACCGCAGGGCATCCTGGCCACTTATCGAGTGCACGGAATAATTGTGCGAGGTGTGAAGCTGCAATATCCGCCGGACAAATTGTTGTGTACAGGTTCGGGGACAGAAAGAATGTAGTACAACCCAGTCTCAAGGTTTAGTACTTATAAATTTAGGCCAAGGTCGAATGTCAACCCCCTACTTTGTCCTTTTTTGGCGTAAAACAAAATGACCGTGTACCAAACAATGCGTGCTTGCTTAAAATGCTATGTTCAATCAACATGATATGGGCCTGCTACATGATCCCTACATTTTAAAAAAAACCCTTATTCTTGCGAAAGGCAGTTCATAGTATGAGTAATACGACTTTATACCGTTATTTTGCATACCCCATTGCTTTTGGAAGTTGGTATTTTGCATTTTTTTTGTTAAAAGACTTGCTGGTCAGTGAATTAGTGGGTTGCCAGTTCTGATGTTCTCAAATGGCCTCAAAGTGATTTCGCGTAGTGTTTACAGTCAACAAACGGACAACGTTGGGTTTTATGTGTGGCTAATTGTTGGCAGTTCTGAGTCAGCTTACAGATGTACCCCATGTTTCTTTGTTTGTTTCGTATAACCTGTAAACCGCCTTTAGACGTAACACACCAGTTGTGTACATGTACGTGCATGTACAAGCTGCGTAAGACCGGACTGTAATGTTTGAACCACTCAGACTTGTGGTAGAGACTGTAATTCTCGTATAGGACTATTCACCCATACAGCTTTGGCTATGGCTGTTAACAATTAGGATGTTACCATGACCAATATTGACTAAAGCAGGTCATAGCTAACTGTCGGCATGTGCTCCACAGGTAACCCATTCCTATGTGGCAAAGACTGTCGTTCTCGTATAGGACTGTTCAGCCATGGTCAAAGCTGTAGATTAAGATTTACCATGATCATATAGACTGAAGGAGGCCATAGCTAACTGTCGGCATGTGCTCCACAGGTAACCCGTTCCTATGTGGCAAAGACTGTCGTTCTCGTATAGGACTGTTCAGCCATGGTCAAAGCTGTAGATTAAGGTTTACCATGGTAAACATAGACTGAAGGAGGCCATAGCTAATCGCCAGCATGTGCTCCACAGGTAACCCGTTCGTGGTGAAGGTGATTGACGGCGGGCAGGTGACTGCGCAGGGGCGGGGGCTGAGCGGACTCCTGCCCGTCGACAATGTCACCGACTTCACGGTGGACACTTCACGGGCTGGACAGGGTGGCATCCTCGGCATCAACATTACAAGTGAGTTTGTTTCTTTGTTTGTTTGTTTGTTTGTTTGTTTGTTTGTTTGCTTGCTTGTTTGTTTGTTTGTTTGTTTATTTGGTCGATCTCCATTAGTGCGTACAAATCAATGATACAACACTAGTCTTCCTGGAGTCGCATTGAATACTAGACAAACATACATACATACATATACAAGAAGCATAACGTAACTTAAATACAACATGGCAAATAAAATGCAACATAGCAAATGAAATACAACATGGGAAATAAGAATACAACATAGGGTATAAAACTGCTGAGAGGTCAGAGGTCTCAATACGGTTAAGAGCAAGTAATTCTATACGTCAGTCGTCGATTACCACCATGATTACAGAGGTTGGGAAGTGTCCACTTTAGTTTTCAGCCAATCCCTGACAAGTGAGTTGAGTTTGATTTTATTGAGATACCCTCTAGCCCCTATAACATGTAGTATATGGGGCATGGCCTGCTATTAGCGATACAAATACATAAGACAGACATACACATAAGTACAGGTTTACATACAAGTACAGAGTTTAAAACTTGGGAATTAAGGTCAGAGATAGGATCAGATAACTAACTATGACTGAAATAATGAAATCAACAAATTATCTGTTAGTATGAGGAAATTTCATGTTTATGATAACCGATATTGAATAGATTAATCGATCAATCAATCAACTTATGTTCAAAATCAACATAACAGCAAGTATGCTAGTATTTGATTTTTTTACTAAATTGCATTTTTTTGCTAAATTGTTATCTATATTTTGGAAAGCGATGCAAATAAAATACTTACACATGGGTTGTTTCTTTGACACTGTCTAGAGACCAACATGCGATTAGAGTATCATGTAATTATCTCAGCCACTTGTTCTACCCTGCAGGGTTTTTTGTTTTATGAGTACAACAGGACAATGTTGTCTTTTGTCCACAGGTCCCACTTTACAGGCGATACCATGCAAGGTGACGGGGTCCGGGGTCTATGATTGTTCTTACATACCATCTGAAGTGGGTACGTATGGGTTTATGTGAGGTCAAATTTATTGGTGTTTTTGTTCTGAAGGTGTGTCGTGTCAACAAATATATTAGTATTACATCAGAGCACTTTAGTAGCACATCAGGTTACTCCATGAGAGTACCTTAAAATCACTTTTGCTATCATTTTCCATGAGAAAAACATAAAATAACTGGCAGTCTACTACATGGGTATTATTCCTCAAATCATGGGATGTTAACTTTCTGCTTGCATAAAAGATGTCCAATAGATAATTTTAAAACTAAACAGACTTTCAGTTGAACTTTATGTTTATATGAACCCATAGTTTGTCGCTTGTGGTAAGCATTTGTCCCTAAATTTACCGTTCTGTTGTTTATTATATAAACATCAATTTACATAGTTTACAATGCTGACAGAATTTCTCTCACTTCCCAGGACCGCACACCATCACCATCAACTTCTCTGGAGACCCCGTTCCCGGCAGCCCTTTCACCGCCTACGTGTTCGACGCAAGCGCAGTGCGGGTCGGCCCCATCGACGACCCAGTCGACATCGGACAGGAAGTAGCCGTCCCGAGTGAGTGACGTCATTTTCTGGAACCGACCACTCGCGTGCAAATTAAGCCACCAATTTACTAGAACCTATGATTATCGTAGTCAGTGAGTGAGATAGCGTGACTACAACCACTAAAATGTTACCTACTTGTCAACAGCGACCCAAATTCATAATTTACCTCCACCAGTGACTTTATTTTGGCCGAATAGAGTTGCTTGTTGCTTTGTTAAACGGCATACCTAAATAATCTGTAGATAGATTTCACTGATATTTGGTTTAATATTTAATCTAATGTGAAAATGGTTTTGGACATCCTAGTGACTGTATTTGGACCTGCAATATATTTATTCTTTTGCAATCTATCACATAGAATGATTGTAAACACATTCACAAAATGACATCTAATATTCCAATGATATTTAGTTTATTGGAATAGCTATAGACATCCAAGCGAGTTTCTTTGGGCCCACAGTATTTCTTTGTTGCAATTTACCATGTAAATGGATACAGTTGGTATGGTACATGAAAAAATGCAAAAACAATTGGACGCCATATCTTGATTTCTTTTCCCCCTCAGTCGATGCCACTAAAGCAAGTAAGGGCACGCTGTCCGCGGCTGTGGCCTGTGCCCGTAAGGAGGTGCCGTGTTACCTGTAGTCTACCATGCAAATGGATACAGTTGTTACACCTTAGATTAAAAGTTGTATAAATAATTGGATTTTTTTCCTCCCCAGTCGATGCTACTAAAGCCGGTAAGGGCACGCTGTCGGCTGCGGTGGCCTGTGCCCGTAAGGAGGTGCCGTGTTACCTGCAGTCTACAGACAAGGACCGGTACCTGCTCAGGTTCACTCCACAGGAGGGACGCCCGCACGAGATCTTCGTCAAGCACAACGATATACTCGTACCTGGTGATTACAACTACTCTTCTGTCTCTTAGATTGTGTTACCCCAGTGGCTACATAGTAGTTACAACTGTGTAGGACAGAAACGTAAAAGAAAGAGAACGAATTAAGATATTTGGATCACACTCTGTTTCTTTTATTCTTTGACACAGAACAAAAGTGGGTAAATCTATGATGCCAAAGTACATCCCATATGAGAAATTTGAATGTGAATTTAGAAATAGTATGTCATAATAAATGTAGGTATTTTCGTTACTCTGTACACATACTATGCAATGCACACACAACCATGCTGTTGTAGGTCATATAAATCTAACATTCTACAACAGCTATAATATAGATCTAGGCACATTGTGAAATTTTAGGGTAGCTAGGGATCTATTAACAATCTATTCAGTTGCTAGTAGGAATCTATCAGATAGATTTATAGATGTGCTATTCTAACATAATGTCTTATTTATCTGTCTATCTATTGAGCTTTTCAATACATTGGGGGATGGACAAAGACAGGTGAAGGCTTCACCTCCTGTTAGCTATAGTGCCGTGGTGTAGTTAGTCCAGCTAGTCTGTGGTGTTGTGTTAATAACGGTATGGCAAACGTAGAGGCATAGACTTCTTTGTTAGTCGTATTAGTTAGAAGAAGGCACAGAAAGGCCTAGGATCTTCGAGCCATAGAACAAAACATATCTTCAAGAAAAGGAACTTACCTTAGACCTTCGGTTCTCCTAGAAACACACAAGACACTCCAAAAGCTAAGGATGCACGCAATGAGTAAGATACTGTAGATTCATCGTAGCTGTAGGATGTAGTAGTTACTACCATACTTGCAGAATTTGGTAATTGACAGAATGATAAAACACGTTGATCTTGTTCGATACAGGTAACCCGTTCAGGTGTAACGTCATTGACGGTCGGCAGGTGAGCGTGTACGGAGACGGCGTCAAACGCGTACCTGTCGGTAACGTCGCGACGTTCAACGTGGATACTACCAGGGCAGGGGGTGATCAGGTCGAGCTGCTCGTATCAGGTAACACAAAGAAACTACCATATGCATCTCATCACCTCAAATTTTCTATGTGTAATGATGTCTTATGCTTTGATGACAGCAACAATGACAGTGATCTGATCTGAAATGAAACAAATATACAATCTTTTAAATGTCGATATAAGTTTTATGTGGACATCATCGTGTGCTCTTGTACCCTTTGTGCAGTTTTGGATCCAACAATGAAGACAGTGCCTTCCAAGCTAAAGGGCTCTGGGGTCTACACAGGAGAATACATTCCAGAGGATGTCGGTAAGTAGAAAGACATCCCATATATACTATGAGCTACGTGCAGAGTTTGTGCAGATTTACGTTAGGGTAAGCAAGACTTGTCATTTAATTTGGCATTTATTTTACACCATGTGCAACTGTCGAGCAACAATGTTCCTTCCTTCCTTCATTCATTCCTCCTTCTTCCTTCATTCACTCACTCATTCCTTCACCCATTCATTCATTCATTCATTCATTCATTCATTCATTCATTCATTCATTCATTCATTCATTCATTCATTCATTCATCTTGCCTGTACAGGACCCCATAACGTAGTGGTAACGTACGGTAAGAACCAGGTGCAGGGCAGTCCGTTCGTGTGCCAGGTGTACGACGCCAGGAAGGTGGAGGTGGGCCGGATCCCGATGGGAGAGATAGACGCAGAGACAGCCTTTAACGGTACGGCAACTGTAGACATCTTTATTTTCCTGTTTTTCTGCCTTTGATTATTATATCAACCAAAGAAGCATATTGTAGGTTCTTTCATATCACATGAATGCAGTTTTGGTCCTATTAATACACTACAGATGTTTAACATTCAGAACCTTCCCCGTAGACCATCCGACCAAGTTTAGCCAAAAATATGGAGCAGTCTGACCAACTTTGGGTCAGGCCTACCTTTCTATACGAATCAACTCGAATTTGAGTTAAATCTGAGTTGAATTTCACTGTCAACTACGCCCGAACTACTCCCAAACACCAGCCAAACAACGGCCAACAAAAGACGAACAGTTTTACATGACAATAATCTAAATGTATATACTTGTGCTTTTCATCTACCCAATACACTAAAAAGTTTTATCTAAATGACTTGCCATCCCAGTGAACACGACCCGTGCCGGAGAGGGCACGCTGACGTCAGAAGTGACGTGTAACCACCGGCGTGTACACAGCACGGTGGAGGAGATGGGTCCGGGGTACCACACAGTCAAGTTCATCCCGCAGGAGGCAGAGACGCACCACGTGTCACTCAACTACAACGGCGATGTCGTACCAGGTGAGGAAGACATGAAACAACATCGTGATCATTTATATATTTTCCTTCCTGTTTAGATTTTAAACGAAGTTAGTCTTTATAGAAATCTAGAAGATTATTTTGTGCGTTTCTTGAAGTTTGCAGCGAACACTGCAAAGATTTTCTACCCTTAACCTTGAAGATATTAACGAACATCAAGTCTTGTTTGAGTACGCGTCTTTTCCCACTACCAAGTTACTGAGCATGATGTCAAGGCTTGGAGTAGGACACTTCAACTCTTACCTTGTGTATGGCCAAAGGTTTGAATATGACTGACAGCCTAATGTCAAGTGTTTAGAACTTTTATAGTAACATTGCCATTGCAAGCCGAAGTTCGATGTTTCCATTCCTTGCATGACACATGACGTAACATTTACCCTTATGTAAATCACAGGTAGCCCATTTCCGGCGGAAGTGAACCCTCCAGGCAAGCCCCGAGCCATGGGACTGGGTCTGCTGAAGGGCATCGAGGGGAAGTCGTCTGAGTTCGTGGTGGACACGACCAACTGCAAGACTGGGCCACTGGAAGTTGCAATTCAAGGTCTGTATTCTCAACCATTAGAGTCTATTTTTTATGCCTAAGCGTAGCCTATACCAAGCTTCAGAAGCGTCTGGACAGAGTAGAAATTGGTTGAATATACAGATAACAATTGCCAGGGGAGTTGGGCAGCTAAAGGAGTACAGTTTACTGGACCTACTCCCCTGGCATGTTATCTCTATATTTGGTCATATTCTACTCATCACAATCATTTCTAACGCCAGGTAAAGGCAAGGTGCAAAGTACAGTGTGTAAAGTCGCTATCACAATGCATTAGACATATATAGCAGTTGTTGTCAAAGTAATCAGACTTGTGACTCTTTTGAGTTTTTTTCCCGGTACCATAAGAAACTTGATGACATTTGATCACGTGACTTTGATTGACAGGTCCCCGGTACCCCGCCACCTACACGGTGGACACGAAGGGTAACCAGCACGTGGTGACGTATGTACCTATGGAGGTCGGCAAGTACGACATCAACCTGGCACACGCGGGGAAGGACGTAGAAGGTAAAACACATTCTCAGCATTTCTACCATAATTTACAAATTACCAAAAGGAAAGAAAACAGATTTTGGGTACCGTCGTCAATGCATCAATTATGAACAATCTTATGTAACTTATGTAACATTGATACAGTTTTTTACTTGGCTTGACGTTGTCTGTATACTTAAATTCATACGTTGAATTTTACGATTCGGTTACCACTTCGTTGAACCGTCATCCATTATTAGAACAATGACTACTGTCAGAACATAGCAAAGCTATCTTCTTCTGCAATTGTTTTCGTGCATAAAAACTATATTCACGCTAGAAGGCCATTAATCGATCGAAGTCTAGCAAATGATGATTACAGGGAGCCTATTCCATCCTAATCTCAAGTTCAATTTCAAAATCGAGTGTGTGAATGTCTGTATGCATTTGAATGTATACCAACACTAGCAGGGTAGTAATCAAAATGTACACATTGATGATTACAGGTAGCCCCTTCCATCCCGTCATCTGTAACCCTGCCAAAGTGCACATCGTGGGAGGAGCCAACAGCCTGAAGAACGACAACGGCAGGATCCCGCTCATGGTGGACGATATGTACACTCTGCCTGTGGACGCTAACGGCGCCGGGCCAGGTCAGGAGAAACTATGCTTTCTACCTTCCCTTCTTCTCTTGCCCTTCCCTCAGTTGTTATAGTTTTAGGGGCATTGTTGTTACAGAGAAATCTAAAACCAAACGTACGGCAACTTTCGTAAGGTCCTCTACAGCCTCACCTACAAACAAGATACATACCTCTTCAGATAGATATTTTTTGAGAGCCCCACAATATCTTTTCAATGATGAACCTTAAATCAAATATAAGAGGTTTTCGTACAAACTTGACCTTTCTTCTACTTGGAATGAGATTCAAGAAAAAAGGATCCGGATCTCTGCTTCAAAGGTACTAGGTATAGGCCATTGTGATAAAGAGACCATGGTAAGAGTTGTGTTTCTTGCCTTGTTTCTGTCTGCAGGAAAGATGACAGCCCGTGTTGTCGGTCCCAGTAGAGAAATCCCAGCAGACGTGGAGAGGAGATCAGGGGACCGCCATGACGTCACCTTCACACCCGAAGAAATAGGTAACCATGGTGATACTCAACCTACGTAGATGCTAGTTTTTCCTAAAGGACATTTAGTCTATAGATACTAGGTTTAGTGTACTTTCTCCGTGCATTTGAGGATTCGCAGATACTAAGTCTAACAGGTGCAGTTGATACCTTCTACATGGGAACCACTTGGTCAATGTGGCCAAGCATTAAGAGTCATGTCTATACTAACCACCTGTCCACATAGATGAGATTCTCTCATTTCCATGATCGTCTTTTGTCTTCTCTGGCAGTGTTGACTGTTCTGTATCACAGAATATGAAAGCAAACGGTAGTTTCACGGGTGAAGCATTTTGCGTCGTTTTCAATGTTTTACAAAATAAGTGTGGTGTAGAGCATTGGCCCCTTGACTAGGCTTGGCCTCCTCATAACGTTTTGACATTGTCTTACCATCTTTTCACTGCCATTTTAGGAGAACACTCCATCTCGGTGTTCTGGTCGGAGCACCACATCACGGACTCTCCTCTGTACGGGGACGCGGGGCCGAAGATAGACGCCAGGAGAGTGGTGCTGAGCGGGAAGGGACTGAAGGAGGCCAAGGTGGACGAGGTGGCCGAGTTTCTGATAGACGGGTCGGAAGCTGGGAACGGTACGTGGCAATTGTAGAATCTGTTGAAATGAATTTGTACATATGAATAACAATATCTTATATGAGCATCTTTCATAGTTACTATTACCTGATGTCTATATGTTTGTTTGTTTGCCTGATTGTTTGTTTGAGCCTTTGTTTAATCGTAAAATACTCAAATCGATCTACTGTCCACTTTTCATTGAGGTCATGAGGGAAGAGGTATGGGTCAGACAAAACATAACAAGGCACAGGTTACATATAGCAAATGGGCCATTTTAATGGTATGTCTATGGTACATTCATATCATCCATACCTTTATCATTGTGATCTAAACATACAATTCGCTATTGCAGGTGTTCCTGAGAGTAAGCTTGTGGGGCAAAGAGGGAACTTGGACGTGACCTTGGTGCCTGACCCCAGGAGAAAGAACAGCTACAGGGCGCTGTACTGTCCAGCTGAACCAGGTACGACTTACTTCACATCTATCGCTTAACATACAGATATGGTAGAAAAGACAATGTAAATGTTATAACAAGAAATTGGACCAAAATATTCAGTACCTTTAACCAGCTATTGCAAAGTGTCTGCTATCGAGGTACAATGTAACATTCAAGTTGTTGCCAGGTAATGGAAAAGAGCAGGGGTCCTGCTCGGTGTGAGTGCTTCAAACCTTACAGTCCGGTTTCAGGTTTGACATCTTTGAAGAGGCGATATTCACCTGTTATATCAACCCTTCCACAAATATGGTAAATCACCAGAAATAAATAGTCAGTGTTAACAGAGTTTGGGTCGAGACACGTGGGGACTGGTGATGAACATGGTGACATCTTAACGATGATTGATTAAGGAACTTCAATGTCCCAATACAAACATACATTAAACCTTGCTTCTCGTACTCGTAGGCCATTACAAGCTGAACGTGCACTGGTCAGATAAGGAAGTGAAGGGCTCGCCGTTTGATGTGAAGATCACCCAGGCTGCAGACGCTAACCAGATCGCCTACACCGGCGCTAAAAAGGGCGAGCTGGGACAGAGTGTCAAGGGCATCCTGGATCCCAGGAAGGCTGGATCTGGTAAGGAGATTTCGAATCTTCAACTCTACTCTTCATGTACAGTGTGGTTTATGGGGGGGGGGAGGTAAAGTGCGATTGTGGATATCCTACAAAAAAACAACCATTGCAGGCTATGAAATCACAGCAATAATGATACTTCTGCAACCAATGCAGTTGCTCAATGTAATCTCCAAGCAGAAACCATTGGCTAACCAGTCACCATTAGTCACTGAAGATTTTCTGTGCTTCATGTTTACTTGTCCACTATCCATATTATCAGTTTGTCAAAACCTAACAAAAGGAGGGCATTCTATAAGAAGTTGTCTCTCTTGGTCGGTCAATACGAGATTTCTCTGTCACAGGCAAGTTGACTGCTAAATGCGTGGGTCCGACCCGGAACGCAGACGTGTCCCTGTCTGAGAACGCCAACAAGACCATCAACGTGTCCATGAGGCCGAAGGAGACGGGACTTCACAAGCTACACATCAAATGTAACGGGCAACACATACCAGGTATGGAAAATTCCCTTCTGAGAGACTGAGTTATCCTTGATTGTACGTGTAGCTTTACTCTAGTTGCTGATATACTAATCACTGTCTTAGTTACCACCTTCTGGCAAAGTCATATGCGACCAAGTTCTTCTTCCTCGTAATGCCCACGTACATCTTGTGTTGAACATTATGGCATGTTGAGTTATGGCTAAGTTTCCTAGCAACTCATACATTTGCTACTGCGATATGATCTAATACTTTGGAATGTTGCGGGTGTCATTTTAGCACTACCTCAAATTGTCATAAAAGAAGTAAAAAAAGAAAGTACGGCATTTAAAAGTTCTTAAACTTTAGGTCTTATAATCTCATTTAGGCTGCTCGTGAATGAAACAAGGCAAAGAAATAGTCATTCACTCATTCATTCATTCCTCCATTCAGCCACTCATTCTTTCATTCGCTCATTCATCCAGCCAGCCATTCACTCATTCATTCAATCACTCGTTCCAGGGAGTCCATTCGAAATCAACGTAGACAAGCCTCCCGACCCCAGCAAGGTGAAGGTGTTCGGTCCCGGTCTCACGGACGGAAAGTTTTCCAGTTTCGACGGGACGTTCCTGTGTGACACGAGAGAGGCCGGACCTGGGCAGCTCAAAGTACGGATCGAAGGACCACAGAAAGGTATACTAACATTTTATGTATATAGCTGTATATCAGATTGGATGTCAGGCTATTGCCAGCGCCTACACAGCTCCTTGGCTCCAGGGCCAACATGTACCCAAGGGACACCCCACAGTTGCACCCTAACCGACAGCCAGGCTATATTCTGCATGCACGAACATATTAGATACTCGAAATCCTAAGAATGAATATACATACGTACGTACATACATTAGTAAGGTCATTACACACAATCTACTGATTTATTTGACATCCCTGTCCTTCACCTGAAGAGGGCAAATTCATCAATAATTTACAGCTAACCATGTGAACGCTACATAGCCACTGGACAAAAAGTACTGAGCCATAATGTCACCATTATATCTTATTCAGTTTTATGCTTCTATACCATTTTTTATTTGTTTAACACTATATTATTTATATGTTTGTTAAATTGTCGTTGCACATTCGTGTAAAGAAAAGACAAACCCAAAACTGGGTGTTACCCCGGCACACCCGCAGCTAGCCTATTGTGATGTCTCAGTCTCGTGAAAGTATTGGGCGTTGTAAAATTTGGTCAGTTAAGTAGTAGTTAACTATACTGGACTAACTGACATCAGCATTGATATCGAAGAAACTTCATACCTGCTTCCTGTATAGATGCCTTCCGGATGACGTCAGATGTCCTAAATGACGTAGAGCGCACAGTGCGGATGAATGAGCGTTGTTAAAGTTGGTCAGCTAAGTAGTAGTTTGCCATACTGGAATAACAGACATCAGCATTGACATCGAAGAAATTTGATGATTTCTTCTTTCCGTACAGATGCCTTCCGTATGACGTCAGACGTCCTGAATGACGTAGAGCGCACAGTGCGGGTGGTGTACACCCCCCACATTCCCGGAGACTATGACGTCGAGGTCAAGTGGTCGGACGTGCACGTTCCTGGAAGCCCCTTCCACGTCAAGGTCCTCGATGACACGTAAGAAAATGCTCATTCTTTTCTAGATATTTGTGTAGAGACTTAGTTTCATAAAGACGTTAAAATGTAGTTGGGGCAATAACCTTGCTTTAAGGCTAGGAGGTAGATGCTGATTTGTCTCATCCAAATAGCTAGGGATATCTTTCATGATTTTCTTTCTAAGGTAAACCTTGGTGTTTTTCACAGTTTAGAACAAATAGAAGTTTAACTTATGTTTTATTCTTTGCTTTGTCGCTTCCTATGGAATAATAGCAACACAAAAAATCAGCAATAGACAATGATAAAGGTAATACGAATAACATAGAATCTTCAGTTGCTTTGTTACTTAAAATATTTTATTAAAACCTAAAACATGATAACACATGTGTACAAGCAAGCAATAAACATCATCAAACAACATAGCAATTACTAGTCTTATAGTATCACTGTAAGCGGCGCGGTCTCATTCGTTATAGGGCGTTGTACGATTTGGATGCCATAGAACTTTCTAGCATGCTGTAATAATGACTTTGTTTTGTATGAAACAATGGCCCAACAATGCCTTCACTCAGTGTGTGATCGTATGATTATCGTGCGACGAATCTGACCGAGCCTAAACCCGATTCTGACATTGTGTTGACTTTTTTTACCACTTTTGTCATCCAACAGTCCGCCGCCGCAGCCTCCACCCCAGCCCCAACAGAGGACGCGACCGTCCAACCTAGTCTACGAAGGTCCCCTAGCCGCCAACCCGGTAACCTACATCGAGCCACCGCAGTCCCCTGTCCTCTCCGTCGGAAGACCAGTACCCAACCAGATCGGAGGCCGGATGGCCTTCCCTCGCGACCAAACAGTCATGTATGACTACCCTGTACCAGAGTACGCCGCCAGAATGCCCGAGTTTATCCCTAGAAGTGGTTCGGATTATCGCTTAGCTCTTGTCCCCGATCAGAACCCCGCCATGCCACACGGGGATAAGATAATCCAGTACAACTCTGCCCCGGTCCATCCGCAAGCTTTAGCCAGTAACTACGCCGTCTTACCCCCTCCCAAACCGGCCCTGCCCGAGAGAATACCCGCCCGACGAATGTCGTCTGTAGAGTCGTACTACCACGTCAACGGGTTCCCTAACGGACCTCGTCGTTATTGACCATGAATAGTAACAACTAGACCCCTTTCCACTAGACCACGATCCCTGAGCGACCGTACAGCGACCGTACAGCGACTGCACAGCAACCGTACAGCGACCAAAATTGTGTCTATTCGTATGACCAGTGATTTTTTTTACTTGAAATATGATGTAAAAGTGTGTTGACACACAGCAAAACACACGTGCACAGAACTTATGAAAACTTCATTCTGTATCTATGAAATTCGTGGACAGAGCTTTGAAATCTTTTGTCGTTCAGCGATCACATCCCGTAGTGGAAAGAGGGTATTGCTGCAAGATTAGTATGAAAGTACGCCTGTGTTGGTCATCAAACGCCCAAGACATTAAAACTTAGAAGCACAAAGGCTGGATTTTCTTGTTTTGTAAGAATTTAAAACTCTGTAATAACATATCGAGATCGAGAAGAATTGACTCTAGATTCAAATCCAACTTTCTACCTGAAGTTTAATATCAAACATTTTCTAAACGACGTTTTCTTCGTTGTAGTCTTAATAAAACTAAACTAGTTTTGTCATATCTGTTTTCATTGAAGACGAGGAACAATTCTTAGACCCTGGTGAACTTCATCAATTAATCAACTTGACTGGTTAATGATAACTTGAAAGGTTAATGATAACTTGACTAGTTAATAATAACTTGACTGGTTAACGATAAACAGCGACTTTTTGTAAGGGTATTTAAAGCAATAGACTGTTGTACATTTTTCAAAGACAGTGGTTAGGTTTACCACCATTTGGTCAGTAAAACATGTAGTTTTGTAGATTTTAACCTGTTCGTTTTCTATACTATAGTAGATTGTCTTTAGTGCCATCATAGATACGTTATGCAATAGACATTTGGTTGATGGGATATCTATAAATACTGTGAACATCGAAAAGCCATAGCTCTCTACAGTATTATGACAGCAAACCTCAAAACGTTGGTGCGCATTTTCTGTGATAACTTGTACTAATCTAAACTAAAGCAACACAATTCAAAATGTACACGTGTGTTGCAAGGGAGCAGGCAGCTACTGTTACTTACTGTACTTGTAAAAAAACAGCCTTTCATAAAATATGCCGCCTGGGTGTTATTCTCCAGCTTGATGACTCTGCATGTTGCCTTTTTGTACATAAATATACGGTATACATGATGCCTTGTACATCACATCACAATACTACAACAAAACCATTTATTTCATATCATTAAAAAGTAGCTGCTTCGCTTATATACGTTTGCTTTTCATCATTCATAACGTATTTAATCATAATTACCTTTTTATAATAACATATTTAATTTTACTATGACAGACATGTAACCAATCTTATGCATTTTTCTTGACTAATCCCACTGTATGAACAAACCTGTTGTCAATAAACTAAACCTGTGCTTTCAGAACCTGTTGTGTCTTTGTGATGGCTTTGTTAGAATCTATGCTAAAATTTAACTACTGGAACATCATATAAAAGTTATGATCCTTCTACATATCTCGTCACTCTATATCTAGCTAAAACAAAAAGACAAGATTATAGGCCACACAAATTTTGAAAATTGATATGTAATATTGTATACTAGTAATCATGTAGGTCATATCATTCTGGTTGCAGCGACACCTACCTGCAATACTAGTGGACATCGTACGGACAGGAACCTACATGTATGTAACATTAGGGACAGGTTCAATAATGCTTCTTCATCCATTAACATCTTTCTACAAAGCTAATGATTAGATGGCGGTGAAGAATAAGACATCCAGGTAATAAGATAGATACGAAAAAAACAGTTATTGACAAGCAGCTGGATATGATTTTGGAAATGGTCAGACGTTTCAGGTAGCATACACTACCTTTCGTCAGTGACACTAGAGACCTTCAGGAGAAAGACAGGTTTATAAGCACAAACTGTTGATTGATCATTAGTTCGTGCTTGTAAGCCCAACGATGAGAGTTTCGATAGCGGAATCTAAGTAAGAGACAGTCTGTTTACTGTAGCAAGAAGCTAACAAGACAGAAGGAGACATTCCAAGTATTTTACCCCACATGGTCATAGCCTCAAGCCTAGTCTAATCAATGGCTATCTGAATGACATCTTCTAAGCCCCCTTCTCCCCAGGTCCCTTTAGACCGTGGGAACTGATAGCATCTCCCGGCAGCTGTCGAGTCGAGAAGACTGCGGCCTTTGTCTTGTGTCTTAAATCAATCAGTTCTTAGATTTGCATAACCACGCGTGAGAAACATGAAAAACCTGCCTGAAGACAGATACTTACAGATCTAGCCCCGGGACAAGACAAGAAGAGTTCAACGAGAGGATACGGTCGGCATACAGGCCAAGTGCAAGGGACTGGTGGGGGGCGTACTTACTTGTATTGTATGTTAATGTTTTCTCTGAGAGACTTGTGCCAGTGGTTTTTCGTCTCTTTCTCGACATCCTGCATGCTAGGCACGTTGGGGACACTGAAAATTAGTTAGGCCTAAGGTCACAGAAAGGTCCCATGATCATGAAAGGTTGTTTCATTTTCTGTTCTCAGTTTCCTTGCCTTATGAGGCAGTGGGGAAAATTCATAGACACAATCAGCAAGAAATTCGCAATAATTGGTAAGTGTGCTAAAGAATGAAGAAAATGGGTGTAGATTCTTTTCGATGTTAAGTTCTTAGTGTTTGAATGAATGTACAGTTACACTAAAAATGACGACAGTTTGCAAGAACAGGTTGAGTGTCATACACCGTTTTATTAATAATCAAAGGATTGTCCAAATAACTACAGAAAAGGTGTATCAATATCACAATTACATCTCATTTATAGGAACTTATCTCTACAAGGTTGTGTTCAAGTTATAAAATACGAAGTAAGTCATTTAAGTCACAGCACAGAAAACTTGTCCACTATATATATATATATATAGATACAAAGCAAAAGTATTACTTCAGCTAACCAAGCTTTTTACGTGGGGAAAACTATAAAATTGCATTGTAAATGCCCAGACCCGACCCTAAGCTAGTTACAGCTTGCGATACGCCACTATGCAACACCAAGTTAAGGACATAAGTAAAAATAATCTATGGCGTCCTAAAGTTGTTTCTGAACAAAAACGTATCATTAAGGGTTTATATCAATTTGGGGAAATGATTTCTAGATTTTTAACACATACATGGGCTTAAATAAAGTTTAGTGCACTAGTGAATCTAAGACAAGGCACTTGACTAGATATAAGACATTGTAGTGCTGTATATAACATTAACATATGTATATAGATATAGATATCAAAAAATAAAAGATAATATTGATACTTTAAACTGTCCCCAAAGAAGACATTTTCAGGAACACAGAGGTACAGTCAGTGACAAATAACACCACGTACATTTAGTTATAGGATACAAGTCAAGGCGCGGTTCTCATTTCCCAACCCGGGGCCCGGCCAGGCAGTCTTTTAGAACGAAAATTATGATATAAGACAGCAAAATACAAAAAAAGTTTTAAAAAATTAACCATGAGCACTATTTGTGTATACTATTAATACAAATTGTTTATTTTTCGTTCACGCAAACAACCCGGCCGGGCCCCGGCTTGGAAATGTGACCGTGCCCTAAGGAAACATATATTCATGTATACTGATATGATATTATGGCTCATAATATTAAGAAATATTGAAATGAAACACTTGAAATAAAACAATACATACAACTTGAAAATACACATGTATAACTTGAATATTTCTCTTAGGTAATGTAGTTTTCAATAGCATATGTATATGTATATCAGATTAGCTGTCGAGGTTTAACTCAGAAGTAAGATTCTGCACCAGAAGTTATTGATACGATAATCAACCCCATTTGCTGTTCATCATATTGTTGTGGTCATTATGTATAGTCATGTCGCGTTAGTTTGTGGAGGAAGGCACAGAAATCTGGACACAACGATAATATACGTGATGTCAGAATGTCAGAATACATACATGTATTACTGGATTATGAACATAATCATATGTTCAACTGTTTCACAGAGTTTAAGGAGTTGATTTTAAACCAATCCCAATGAGAAGTCTCTGCTTGATAAGGCAGTAGTTGAAATGAAACCTGTACAAATTGGAGGTCAAAGCCTTTGTTTTTGTTTTTTTTTCTTTTTTCCCATTTTCTTTTGTTTTAGACACGTCACCAAGAAATCTTCGAAATTGCCAGTGATGACATACTACTTTTCTCGGATATGTGATAGCGTTATATCATCTCGATAAACGTTTTTTTTTTACAAAATGCGGAGTTTCTAGTATGTTATCGCTGGCAGTTTTCTGGCCTTCCTCCCTTCACGCGCGTCTGTTGGGATGTAAAAATCAGACCTCTTGTCGATGTCGTCTAAGTCAGACCTGGGGTTCAGCGGGTAATACCTACTGGCTGGTTCGTACCCCTCGTACCGTGGATGGTAGTAGTACTGGTCCTTGCGTAACTCGAGGTAGTCCCTTGGTGGGAACTTGTCGTATGGCTCGTAGTAGCGATCGTAGACGGGGTTGGAGTAGGACGGTCGCTCGTACCCCTCTGGTGGCATCGGGTACGGGTATGGATCGACGTAGTAACCGTTGGCCGGCCTGCGGGGCTCGTAGGAGGGTTGCCGACGGATGGGGGGTGCAGGGGGCCGGTAGATCGGGTCGTCGAAGTCGCGGTTGCCTTGAGGAAGGTAGTCGTAGTCTCGTGGAGGGGGTAGTGCTGGGAGAGGAGGAGGTTCGACCATGGGAGGAGCGGAGTTGACCATGTCTTGGCCCTCCGCCATGACGTCTTGACGCCCGTGTACGATGACAGGGAACGGACTGCCAGGGACGTGTTCTCCGGACCAGTTGACGGCGATCTCGTACCGACCCTCTTCCTTGGGGATGAAGGACATGGCCACTTTCCTGTCTTCTTCGTTCAACACTTTGGATTCCAACCTGAAGGAATCTGTAAAACAATCAAGTTTCATTGAATTAACTTTACATAAGTCACATAACATTTAAGTCCTCAAGATTAAATGATGTGTAGTTTTGAGTTTCCGTAGCTTTACGACATGAGCAATTTAGATCTATTATGTAGAATTAGAACAGTTATTGCCAATGAGTATTTTATATTATTTAAAAAGGCAAATGTTGTCTCAGCCTTTTTGAGGAGCATGGTATTTGAAAGACTATAGCCCATCCATCTCCTTTCAATGCCTTTTACCTCCCCAACCGATGTCTGGTACCCATTTTACACCTGGATACAGTGAGGAGAGTCGCATAAAGTGCATTTACCTAGGACACAACGTCTAGCAAAGCAGCGCAAGGAAACCACGCACATTTGCCTTAGAACAGTGTATACTCCAGCCTACCTCTGGAAGGTCCGTAGACGCGGATCTTCAGCTCCCCAGGCCCGGCCTCGCTGCCGTCCACCAGGAAGTTTCCCTTGAAGCCGTCCAGCTGGCCGCTCTGCAGCCCCGGGCCGAACACTCGCACCTTGCTGGCGTCGGGCTGGTCCTCAATCTCTATGATGAAAGGAGAACCTGGAGGAAAAACAACGATTATGCCATTGTCATTATGATTCCCATACAGAATGCGAAAGGCGATACAGTGCTAAGGATTACAGTAAGACATATGGCACTTCAATATACCCATTTCCAATACATGGTCTTTGTACGTGACTTTACAACCTAATGAAGTATAGAATACAGCTGGTGTTACAACGTTACAACAGACATATACAGAACATATCTAGATATTCCCACTACGCGCACGGACAAGCGTTCAAAGACAAGAAATATCCATAGTCTCTCCAAATGAAGACATAGAAATCGAGGCTGAATGGCGTATTGAATACTGCCTGGCCAATTTGATACTGCATTGCAGCCTCAAAAAGGTCTTCCAGATCACAGACGACCTACCGGCGATGGGCTCGTCGTTGCAGCGGATCTCCAGGTTGTGCGGCCCCGCCTCGTGAGGCAGGATCTCCACCCCGATCGTCCCGTCCCACACACACAACCACACCCTCCCCCAACCCGACCCTAACACACACACACACACACACACACACACACACACACACACACACACACACACACAGATAACATACCGGCGATGGGTTCGTCGTTACAGCGGATCTCCAGGTTGTGCGGGCCGGCCTCGTGAGGCAGGATCTCCACCCCGATCGTCCCGTCCCCGTTCTCAGCCAGGCTGACGTCAGCACGCTTCGACGGGCCAGAGCAGCGCACTTTCATGTTACCTTGGTAACGACATTAACAACATGTTATTACATATCCGGATCAAGGTATTCAAAGCTATTCCTACACTAACAAGTCATAGGAGAATGATATTTGCAACTACATATTGTAGTCCATTCAAATGTTCACTATCTAAATATCCTCTAGAATATCTAAAGTACGCAGATACATATGATAATATTGTTCAATTTTGGAACAAAAGCTATTAAGGAATGCATGCAGTCAATTGCAATACCAAAGGGAATTGCTAGGGGACTTTCCCTTGTTTTACCTTCATAATACCATAGATCCATTGATAACTTCAAGGTATAAACCAAGAAAGTCATAATCTTAAACCAAGGCGGAGTTGAATGTGATCCCTTTGTAGAATGTAAAATGCCCTCTCACCTTGTTTTCCCGCCCTTCTCGGGTCGATGATGCCCTTGACCGTCCTGCCCAGGTTGCCGACGTCAGGCCCTGCATACGTCACCCGCCTGCTGTCGTAAACCTGGATGTCGAACGGGGAGCCAGGAACCTCCTTGTGAGACCACAGGCAGTTCATCTGGTACTGGCCTGGAAATAAGACAGTTCATACGTTTTAGAAACAACCTATCATACTTAGAACCCTCTGGAAGTACGGCATTTTACGGCGTTTGCTATAAGTACCGAGTGATCTCTCTCTATATATATATATATGTGGCTATTTTATTGTTGAAATGTTTCTCCAAGCAGATCCTACATTGGCATGACTGTAAGCACTGACCAAAGGAGTGACCATCGGCCACCTAAGATCTGCTGACGCTTCGAATTCGGTGGCCAATGGTCACTCCTTTAATCAATAGTTTTATCCTTGCCACCATAGTATCTGCTTCTAGGTTAGCTGAAACAGCTAGCCTCTACCAGGCTTGAGGGCGCTCTGGGCCGGCAAACTGTAAACTGGATGGCTAAACTCCCTCTGCGTGTTATCTCTCTATTTGGCCAATTTCTACTATTTCCAGCCGCGCCCTCAAGCCTGGTGGAGGCTACATTAGAATGGCCAATTTGTTGATCTACACAGTGTTCTGCTCACTCTTAGTCATGAATAATTCAATATACAGTAATATAGACAGTAAAAGGACACAGGACATACCTGGCTCGACGGCCTCGTACTTTGCCTTGTAGACGTTCTTCTTGCCAAGGATGGGCTCCAGGGCCACGTCCACAGGCTGTGGACCGTTCATGGTGACATGGGGAGAACCTGCATGAGAACAGATCAAATCTTTGTGATGCAGTTATGTGCCCAGTATGTTGGCTCTAATATTGTAGTAATTTGTGAGGGCCCAACCTGGCTCACAAGGGTATCAAAATATAACTATTAACGAGGATGAATTTTCGGTTTTAACCGTTAGATTTGTTTTATATATAAATACACATATAAATATACATTGCCATCCATGAAATCCGCTGTGTAGTTTTCCTGATTCGTGATACGAATACCAATAGAAAAAGGATACAAATATGTGATATTTTGCCATTCACAAATGCCTCACCAACATGGCGGACACCAAATGACATCACAGTCACGTGAGTACAAACAGCCAATAGCGTGCCGTACCTCTCCCCGCTCTGCTGCCGTCGATGATGAACTCCTGCATGGTGCTGCCCTTGACCTCCGGCCCCAGCCCGGGCCCGCTCAGCTCCACACGCCGCGCGTCAACAGCGTACTGGTCAGCGTCGCCGATCAGCGGGGACCTGTTGATGTGGTGGTCGTTCCACTTAATGTCTATGTTGTGCTCACCTGGAAACAATGGCAAAAATGTTGGGACTAAGAATAGAACGTGTAGTTATGATTCAGACAGCTCTTGATATGTTGCACAACTGAAAACACCGAAAATGAATTTACAAAAAATAAAGGTTTAGAGACATTTGTGACACTAAGTTGCCATTATTTCCTGATTGATAAGATGCGATAAGATGTAACTGCGTATGCGTTTATGATGAATATGAAGAAAGACAAGATTTCAAATTGATCACTGGCCATTGATGTTTTGACCTCTGTGGGCGAAGGAAGGAAGGAAGGAAGGACGAAAGGAAGGAAGGGATGAAGGAAGGAAGAGATGAAGAAATGAATGAGGTTTATCATAAGAGAAGTAATATACCCTCTTCTTCTGGAACGAAGCTGACGTAATGCTTCCCGTCAGGCTTCACGTCCACGTCCACGGGGAGGTCACGTGACGCGCTCCTGACGCGTGACGTCATCCTGCCCGGGCCGGCCTGGCTGGTCGTCAGCGGGATCGTGCACCGCTCGCTCACCACCAGGGGAAGGCGCCCATTGGCCGCCAGGATGCTGTCCATCCCACCAATCACAGACACGCGGTGGGGGTTCACGATCACTGGTTGGAAGGGGCTCCCTAATTTACATAAAGACGGTGAAAGTGAATATTTGTTTTGAACAGGTGGCAATTGGTTGAAGCTATAGCCCACCAGAGACACGCAGTGAGTCCCTAATTTGCATAAAGCGATAGTCGCTTAGACACAATAACGCAACATATACTTGTTTAATTTTGTCCATTGTGCATGGAGTCCAAGGAAAGACATTATAAAAATTGGATGTGGAACACTCGCGAGTGTATTTTCCGCTGAATCGTGCTTTAAAATTCAAAAAAGGCCAAGAGGAAAACGTTTTAAGCGAGAGGAGGGGGAGAAAGGGAAAAACTTACCTGGTATTTCTTTCCCACCGTGCGTGATGTCCACCACGTGCACACCAGTCTCCTTCGGTACGTAAGAACACTCCACCCTGTCTGCATGCTGAACCACACTCACGTTGTTACACTCCGCGTTCGGGCCTATATGCAGAATAAAAAAATATGTCAGCAATTTTGAGTTTGTGTGTTAGGGCCTTTGTTAACTAATTAAGTACTCAAATCGGCCTGCTGGACACTTTATTTTCACTGAGGTCACCAGGGTCAGGATCGGACAAGACTCAAGATACCAATCTGCTACGTGTATACTTCCTACTTTTTTTTGCTTTCTTCACGAAAATGCTACCTTAATATGCAAATGCCTTAAGGTGCAACTTGCAACAGTTCATACATCATACATAATGATGTCACACGCGTCTTTAAATCACCAACATGGCCGACGCTGAAGTACGTCATTATCACATGACGGAAAATGCCCTATAGAACTACTTACCAAAGACTTGCACGTCAATCTTGTCCTTCTTGCAGCCGGCCGTGTCCACCGTGAAGTCGCAGGCCCGTCCTTCCAGCCCTTCCCTCAGGCCGTTCCCGCTAGCTATGGGGGACCGCTCCGGCCTCACGTCCGCAAGCAGGGGGCAGCCTGGGAGAAGACAAAATGCAACGTCAATATATACTTTACATGGCAAGGAAGAGTGGTATGGAAGAGAAGGCACGTTGAATAGCGTCCCTCAAAGCCAGGTAGAATAGTTCATATGTCGTTTGGTGTACCCTTAATCTTAAGAGTCAACTATCGTATGGTCTTAAGAGCAAATGTCTGTAAGGATCAAACAATGGTGGCAGGGGTCAAAAAATCGATTTGGTTCACATTTTGCACAGTGATAGTACTTGGCCCACAACCCCTCAAAATAGCTTTTTTTCTGCTCCACACGGATCGTTGCCATGGAAACAGCCCAAACATGTTTTGGGGCCATTTTCCATGATTTGGGCATGCCAGAAACATGAATATTGCCAAAGTTTAGGACGCGATTACAAACAAATGCTTGAATATATCGGAAAGACAAAAACTGTGCTGAAATGTCCAACTTATCTGCTTTTCTAAAATAGCTTTAAAATTTTCAAGAGGTCCGTTTAAAGGGTCTGGGCATCCCTAAGACAATACAGTGTTTTGGGCTTTTGAAATATCCCTATTTCTGCCCATCTTTGAAGCGCCGTAACTCCAAAGATGGTGATTTTTTTTCTTTCAAAATGTGATAACAGATACATAATGATATTTGCTACAAAATGCATGTTTGTAAAGTTTGGCCAATTGTTTGGTTCTCACGTGGTTGTCCTCGGAAGTAGGTCATATTTTACATTTCAAGAAAAATACAATTTTTTGTCATATTTAAGATACAATATATACAATACAAAAACAGCAATCTAATACTACCTTAAGTAATAAGTAATCCTATTGATTGTCTATCAAATGAATGCTTGTGGAGGTTGGAGTCTTGTTTCGTTGCTGTGTACTTGTCCCTGAAAATAGGCCATGTTTTGGACATGTGTTAAAATTATCATTTTGGGCTAACTTTGAAGCTTTACAACTGACAAAGTAGGATGTTTTTGGATCCAATCTTTGTAGGGTAGTACATACATGTATTGTGTATCAAATGATATCTTGTTGAGGTTGGAGTCTTGTTTCGTTGCTGTGTACTTGTCCTAGAAAGTAGGCCATACTTGGGACATGTGCGGAAATTATCATTTTTAGCTATTTTTGAAGCTCTATAACTGACAAAGTAGGATGTTATTTGAATCCAATCTTTGTAGGGTAGTACATACATTTATTGTATATCAAGTGATATCTTGTGGAGGTTGGAGTCCTGTTTCGTTGCTGTGTAATTGTCCCAGAAAGTCGGCCATAGTTTGGACATGTGCGGAAATTATCATTTTTGGCTAACTTTGAAGCTCTATAACTGACAAAGTAGGGTGTTTTTTGGATCTAATCTTTGTAGGGTAGTACAGACATTTATTGTGTATTAAATGATATCTGGTTGAGGTTGGAGTCTTGTTTCATTGTTGTGTAATTGCCCCTGAAAGTAGGCCATAGTTTGGACATGTGCGGAAATTATCATTTTTGGCTAACTTCGAAGCTCTATAACTGACAAAGTAGGGTGTTTTTTGGATCTAATCTTTGTAGGGTAGTACATACATTTATTGTGTATTAAATGATATCTTGTTGAGGTTGGAGTCTTGTTTCATTGTTGTGTAATTGCCCCTGAAAGTAGGCCATAGTTTGGACATGTGCGGAATATTATCATTTTTGGCTAACTTCGAAGCTCTATAACTGACAAAGTAGGGTGTTATTTGAATCCAATCTTTGTAGGGTAGTACATACATGTATTGTGTATCGAATGGATTCTTGTTGAGGTTGGAGTCTTGTTTCGTTGCTGTGTAATTGTCCCTGAAAGTAGGCCATATTATGGACATCTGCGGAAATTATTATTTTTAGCTATTTTTGAAGCTCTATAACTGACAAAGTAGGGTGTGTTTTCAATTCAATCTTTCAAGGAAAGTACAATATAATTTATTGTCAAAGAAATGAATGCTTGTGGAGGTTATAGTCTTGTTTTGTCCTTGTTCAAATTAATTCTGTAGAGGTACATGTACATGTAGGTGATGATGGTAAGAAAGCATTAGTTGCTCAGACGTTGATAGGCTGTTTCATAAGATCCTCGGGTTTTAGCCAGAATCAACAATGATTTTAGCTTCATCATATTTTGAGGATGTAGCGTTGTAAATATGGTACTTGAAACATTGCTATCCTAACGACTGCAGTTAAGATACAGTGTAGATGCAAATGTACATGACCACAATCTGCAAATGACAACTTGAACAACTTCTTTGAATAGCCCTTCTTTGTTCTGTTAGTTACTATACTGTAATAATGAGTAACACAGGAACAATGAAGTATCAGCTTACTGGAACCTTTTTCACAAAATGATGTGTCTTTGGCGTTTCATTATTTTCAACTCAATTGACGCTAGTGTGGTTGCTTACATTCTTGAAACTTTACAGAAATGTCAAAGGAATTAAGACAATGCTTTGGTTTTGAATAAAAGACATTTTTTCAAATATTCAAATGACACATAACTATTAATATATCGAAACGTGAGCAATGTTTCCTACTTTCGGGGACAGTTACAAGAAAACAATAGAATATGTCCTAATTATGACTTACTTTTAGGGAAAAGTAAAGAGCAACTAAGCAAGAACCCACCTTCTATAGGCCTTCATTTCATAGACAATAGATTAAGTTACTTCTGCTAGAGAATTGAATTTGAATAACGTCCTACCTTGGCGTTTATAGGGCTTCAAGTACGGAAGTGCACATGTGCTAATATCTTTATATGTTTAAATCTGGGGACAAGTGCACAATAACGACACAAGACCCGAACCTCCATAAGTATTCATTTGATACAAAATGCATATGATTATGTGCTTCCCTTAAAAGATTGAATTCAAATAAAATACTACTTTGTCATATTTACTGCTTCAAAAACAGACGTATATTATGCAATTTCTGTAATGTCCAACAATATATGGCCTACTTTAAGGGACAATTACACAACAACGAAACAAGACTCCAACCTCAACAAGAATTCATTCGATACACAATACATGTATGTACTACCCTACAAAGATTGGATTCAAATAACACCCTACTTTGTCAGTTATAGAGCTTCAAAGTTAGCCAAAAATGAAAATTTCCGCACATGTCCAAACTATGGCCTACTTTCAGGGACAAGTACACAACAACGAAACAAGACTCCAACCTCAACAAGATATCATTTAATACACAATAAATGTATGTACTACCCTACAAAGATTAGATCCAAAAAACACCCTACTTTGTCAGTTATAGAGCTTCAAAGATAGACCAAAATGTTAATTTAAGCACAAGTCCAAAATATGGCCTACTTTCTGGGACAATTACACAGCAACGAAACAGGACTCCAACCTCAACAAGAATTCATTTGATACACAATAGACGTATTTACTACTCTACAAAGATTGAATTCAAATAACATCCTACTTTGTCAGTTATAAAGCTCCAAAGCTAGCCAAACATGATAATATTCCGCACATGTCCAAACTACGGCCTACTTTCTGGGACAATAACACAACAACGAAACAAGACTCCAACCTCAACAAGATATCATTTGATACACAATACATGTATGTACTACCCTACAAAGATTGGATCCAAAAAGCATCCTACTTTGTCAGTTGTAAAGCTTCAAAGATAGCCCAAAATGATAATTTTAACACATGTCCAAAACATGGCCTATTTTCAGGGACAAGTACACAGCAACGAAACAAGACTCCAACCTCAACAAGCATTCATTTGATAGACCATCAGTAGGATTACTTATTATCTAAAGTAGTATTAGATTGCTGTTTTCGTATTGTATATATTGTATCTTAAATATGACAAAAATTTGAATTTTTCTTGAAATGTAAAATATGACCTACTCTCGAGGACAACCACGTGAGAACCAAACAATTGGCCAAACTTTACAAACATGCATTTTATAGCACATATGATTATGTATCTGTTATTACAATTTGAAAGAAAAAAATCACCATCTTTGGAGTTACGGCGCTTCAAAGATGGGCAGAAATAGGGATATTTTAAAAGCCCAAAACACTGTATTGTCTTAGGGATGCCCAGACCCTTTAAACGGACCTCTTGAAAATTTTAAAGCTATTTTAGAAAAGCAGATAAGTTGGAAATTTCAGCACAGTTTTTGTCTTTCCGATATATTCAAGCATTTGTTTGTAATCGCGTCCTAAACTTTGGCAATATTCATGTTTCTGGCATGCCCAAATCATGGAAAATGGCCCCAAAACATGTTTGGGCTGTTACCATGGCAACGATCAGTGTGGAGCAGAAAGAAAGCTATTTTGAGGGGTTGTGGGCCAAGTACTATCACTGTGCAAAATTTGAGCCAAATCGATTTTTTGACCCCTGCCACCATTGTTTGATCCTTACAGACATTTGCTCTTAACTACTCATGTTTCGTTGTTCTTCCATCAAAAAGGAACCGATTGCAATATGTTGTTACCTTGGGCCGTAAACAAACTCGAAAGACCAAAAAAAGGGAAACGATGCTGTGGTCTAGTCTATATTGTACTAATTGTGAGATAAGAGCTAGTACATACTGTAAAATTACATAGCTTTTGTGTTTCTTCAACGAAAAGTGTAAAAATTAGTGTTCTAGACAGTCACCTAAACTCAAGAGGGATACAATTTCCTACGAACCTTAACCTTTTTATCAGATTGTCTCACCTGGAACGATTTCGTTGTTGAAGTAGACCATGACGTCATGTTGTTCGGGAACCTTGGGCGTGAAGTTGACGTCATACCTGCCGCTGTCACGTGGTGACTCCTTCATGTCGCTGTAGATCTGACGACCCTGGCAGCTGACCTCTGACCTCAGGGTGCCCTTCCCGGCTTCACTTGCGTTTACTATGAAAAACGGCGAATTGAACAGGACTGTATTTCTAATCTGATTTGATTTTGTTTTGCATATGCAATAAAATCAAAACTAGAAATGTAAAATTTTCAAAGGAAATGTATAATGTTTTCCTTTATGTGGTCTAGCCTAGCAAACTACTGCTTATTCTTACTCAAACACATTCATATACTAGTATAGGGTGACCAGCCCCTCTATCTCAGTCCTGCTACATAAATGTAATCCAACACCACAGGGTGTCTCCTACAGCTACAGCACCAGTTACCATGATGACAGACGTTTGGTCCGAGTCATAGAGAAGATGAAGACAGGGGTTTGAAAAACCCAACACTACAGGGTGTCTGCTAAAGCACCAGTTACCATGGTGACAGACGTCTGGTCCACGTCATTGATCTTATGTGTTTGGAGAAGATGAAAAGTTTGAATTAGAAGACAAAAAATTGACCTACACCATGGTGACAGACGTCTGGTACAAGTCATTGACCTTATGTGTTTGGAGAAGATGAAAAGTTAGACCTACTCTGGAAGCCCATGGGTTTTCCGACTTCTCCTACTCCGATGTCACTGACGTTTACCCTCGTCAGGTCGTACGCACGCGCAGTGAAGGGACTGCCCCTCACCTGCTCCGCTCCATACGTCACGGAAATGGTGTGGTTGCCTAGGTAACACAAACAACGGATGGTTCATGTAACAGGTAACGTTGAACTACAGTCTGTATACGAGTACCAATGCGAACCTAGGCAAAGATCGAGGTGTCTGTAATGTGTTTCATTGATATTGGAAAAAGGCCTGGAGATGCAGTCGAAATATTAGTAAGTCATTACAATGTTAAGTTGAAAGAAAAATTTATTTTCTATGGTATTTGTTTGGCTGTACTTACCCACTAAGTTGGGTACATATTCACAAGTGTAGGCACCGGATCCAGAGATGTTGACAGGGACCTCTCGTAGGTCAGGTCCTAATGCTGAAAACAGAATGAAAATAGAGAATATAATATTATATACATGCATTTAGTTTACTGATACTTAAGTTTATGTTCGCTCTTATACAGGCTCACTCCGATTAGTCAATATAACATTTGCAAGTACAATATATTTAACTTCACATAGTCTAGCTGTTGACTTATCTACCGATGAAAAACAAACATATCAATTATGCAAGCCAAGGATAATGTTGGGCAAATTTCTGCAAACGACAAAATCGCCTATCGTGTTGCCATGGTTACCTGTGAGGTGCAGTCGACAGAATAGCGTTACTATGGTTACCTGTGACGTGCAGTTGGCAGAATAGCGTTGCCATGGTTACTTGTGACGTGCATACGACAGAATAGCGTTACTATGGTTACCTGTGACGTGCAGACGACAGAATAGCGTTGCCATGGTTACCTGTGACATGCAGACGACTGTCCGGTTCCCCCGCGTGAGTAGCGTCGACGCTGAAGACGGCTGGTTTCCCCACAGGCACGTAGTTCAGCCCGTGTCCCGACACCGCCACTTGTGACACGTCTGTCACTTTTACACGGTGGGGACACCCTGTAGTAGTAAATAACAATCAATTAATCAATGGATCTATCTATCTATCTTTCTATCGACTAATTGATCCATTCTAAAGACGGCGGTCTTCTCTACGGGTACGTAGTTCAGCCCGTGGCCCGACACGGACACCTGGGACACGTCTGTCACTTTTACACGGTGGGGACATCCTGTAGTAGACAATAACAATCAATTAATCATTTAATCAATCTATCAATTAATCAGCCCATTCTAAAGACGGCAGGTTTCCCCACGGGGACATAGTTCAGCCCGTGTCCCGACACAGCAACTTGGGACACGTCCGTCACTTTTACACGGTGGGGACATCCTGTAGTAGTCAATAACAACCAATCAATAAACCAATCGATCGATCGATCAATAAATCAATCGAGCGATCCAATGATCCATTAATTTCATAAAGTTGCCCTAATATATAACATTCCTGTAGCTAAACCCTTTGAAATTCAATAATAATCAACCAATCGATCATTCGATAAATTGATACATTGATTTTCACAGTTGACGAGCCATCACATTGCGTTAGTTATACATGTAGCTATGATTAATACTGAAGGCTTGAAAGAGTGCCATGTATTCATAGTCGATATATATCTTAATTTGGAGCCAAGATAAACTACCTGACAAAAGAAGTCATTAAATCATGCAAAATCCAAATGGATATACTTAGTGATAAAGACCAAAATGTTACGTTTTATTCATAATGTTGAATAAGATACGGCCTTTGCCACTCTACGCATTTGAGAAAATAAACTAACCAGGGACGACGTATCCGTTGAACTTGACGTTGACGTCATGCGTCTTGCACATCTTGGGCACGAAGGAGACGTTGTAGTTGCGGCTTCCGCGGGGGTTTTCCGTCATGTTCGTGTGGATGCGGTGCCCCATGCACGTCACTTCCGGTTCGACGTCACCAGCCCCGGCTGCTTGGGCGTTCACTGTGAAACCAAGGTCAAATGTTTTCAATAGAATTTCTCTGCACAATTACACAAGAAAACTGTTACTCAAGCTTAAGCAACTGGATAGATTGAGTCAGTTGCTTGAGTAACAGTTTTCTGGTGTATCTCGTTACCTGGATGTCTAAACATAATCGACAGCTTTGCACAATTGTTCATTTCACTCGCAATTAAACAACTTACAACGTTGGTGATGATGATACAATTGTGATTCAATAGAATAGGGTGTTAGTACTGACGTGATTATGACGCAATTTAGTGAATAAAACAAGAACACAATACACCTTGTATTCACAAAACATGTTTCACTGAGGCTTTGAAGTCTCCAATTCCTTTTTAAAAAGAAAAAAAATTCTGCCCCGTGTGAGGATCGAACTCACGACCTTCAGATTATGAGACTGACGCGCTGCCTACTGCGCTAACGAGGCTGATGGGTATTGCAGGCAACAACGCAATAAACCCAGAAATGACTGGGCCATTAGAGCAGTCCTTGCCGAACTTTGACCCAATGCTCACCTGTCTACAGCAATAGGGCCAGATAGCTGGTGAAAACCGCGATATTCGGTCAGAAATTCCGGAAAATTCTTCTAAGTTGAAGAACAGTATATTTCTCATTGTGACCCTCTTACTAAAAGAGATTTATAATAAATAAGCAACCCAAAAGCAAATCTCACCGGTGAAGTTGACCTCCCTGTCCACCATGACAGAGTCCGGTACGTTGTGCACCTTGACGTTGTGAGTGTGGTAGGCGTGGCTGGTGAAGGGACTGCCCACGATGGCAGAGGTCCCGTAGTTCACGTTAATGCTGTAGTCGCCAACCTCCCGCGGCAGGTACTCGCAGTTGTACAGGCCGGAGCCGTTAGTGTTCACGTTGCAAGGCACATCTATATAGCTTGGGCTGAGCACTGAGGATTGAAATGGTTCAAAAGTTAGCTATGGGTTTTACATTGTGTTAATCGTGTCTCTTGTATCTACAAAGTTCATCTGTGTTAGGAGAAGTCATTATGATCAAGATTTTTTGTTCTGTTGGAAATAATCTTGATCACAACATATCTCTTTTATTTTATGGTCTTTTTCTTCAGAGCGTAACTATTATATCTTCAAACAAGTAGGAAGCAAAATCATAGCCACCAATAAATGTCAAATTCAGAATTCTATAACAAGTTTATCAACTGAAACAAGTTACTTATCATCAGATGTCACCTGTAATGCTGTTAGGCAATACACCATCATTTTTTTTTACAAATAAGAAAAGAGAATATTAGAGGCTATCAAAATACAAAACATTAGAGGCTATCAAAAAATACAAAACATCAGCGGCTATCAAAATACAAAACTGAAGTCAAAACTTGCTCACTACTCATCGACAGTCTCCTGTCAATTGCAGACAACTAACTGTACAAAATGAGGAAGGACTGTTGTAGGAAAAATGCATCTAGACTAACCTTTGGCTGTGACGCCGAGGTTGGGGTCCCCAGCCCTGGTGGCGTCCACGGTAAAACTGGCAGGTCTGTCCACGGGGACGCGCCCGAGACCCTCACCCGAGGCAAACACGTTCTGTAGGTTTGATACCTTCACCTTGTATGGGCTCCCTGTATTTGATTAACGAAACAACGGTTTGTTACCGGGACAATATTGTGAAAACACACCATCTCAACTGTTTATGTAGCCCCTACCAGGCTTCAAAAGCGGTTGGAGAGAGCAGAAATTGGCCAAATAGACTGATGACAAGGGGATTTGGTCCGGTAAAGGAGTACAGTTCGGGAACAGACACTGATTGTACTCTGTACTGCAGACTAACTTCCCTGGTATGTTATCTGTCTGGCCAATTTCTACTCGATCTTTCCAGTCGCTTCCGAAGCCTGGTACGGGTTACTGTTTTGGTATAAATCCGGGCAGCTATGAGATGGCAGACTAAATGCTGACCTCAGAGAAGAAACTGTGCGGCTGTGCTGGCGGTTACGACGTGCGCTATATAATGTAGGATCTCCTTCGTTTGTGCTGTGCGTATAAGGTTTTCTGAAATTATTAAATCAACACGACACACAGGGGAAAAAGAAGCACATATTGATGAAAACCAAGGATGGAAAATAAGGTCCACGACACTGTTAAAGGAAGGGAAAGAAAAGGTTTGTGGTTAAGAAACACAAAACGTCAAACAAGGGCCACGACACTGGGTTGTTGGGGGGAGGGGATGAGATGGGGCACCGCACATCACATCACCAAAGATAGGTCCCCAACAACCGTACACCATCCTCACTCTCTCAGGTCCCTACATCTCTTGCTGTATATGGTCCTGACAATCTGACTCATGCTAAGGTCACAGTTCCAAGCCCGGGGGTCGGACCGGCTGGCCAGTTCCCAGGAAAAGTATGATAGGTGGATATAAAGGGCAACAAACACAAAGAGGTTGACAACCCGGCCGGGCACCTGTTTGGAAATGTAATCTAAGCATTACTTTCGGCCATTTTGCGTAGTTCTCTTTCCCTGCAGGCGTAGCCGAAAATGCCTTCAGAAAGCCGGATATGTTACGTCTCTTCCGAATTTTATGGACCCAAACAGAGTGAGGATGCGGTACACTCTGACGTTGTTTACCGGGCAGAAGCGCCTCGTTGTACTTGATCTTGACCTCGTGCGGCATGCAGACCTTGGGAACGAACTTAATCTGGTATTTCATATTCGGCTCCTCCAGAACCCTGCAGGGCACCCTGTGGCCCGACGTCAGGACTTCCGCCTCCAGCCTGCCTCTTCCTGCCGCCTCTGCGTTAACTGTGGGGAGGGAGGGTTAAGGGAAAGCAGGACACCTTTATGATCATAATCTGAAACTCAAAAAACTAAATCTCATAGATGCGTAAAATGTTATATAGAGTGATTTTGAAGTACAGTACTTGGCGTCCTTAATACTAGAGTTGTGTGGCCCATAAATTTCTTCATACATGTACATAAGCTAGTAGCCAGCAGCATCATATGCATTCCAGTTCATCTTATACTCTTTCTTTTTTTCCCTACCTCCCGCCCTCTTTTTTCTTATCTTCTCTCTTCTGTTTTCTTGCTTTCTCCTTTACTCTATTTTTCTTTACTCTATCCTCTCTTCTCGTCGTCGTATTATTATACAATATCATCAAATAGGGCATAATGTTTAAACCCAGATAAATTCCAAAACGTGTATCTTAGGTCTTAGTTATTGTGACGTTAAAGATGAGGTAAGATTGTATAAGACATACCCTGTACTGTCGCCTCATCCTCCAGTTGCACCACCTCCGGCGCCTTGACTTTGACGTGGCCGGAGTCGTACACGTTGGCTTGGTACGGGCTGCCGTGGATGTGCTCGTTCGCAAACTTCACGCCGACCTGATGGGCTCCTAAGGCAAAATGAAAAGTATTTCGCGGCAATAAATTAAATCCCTCAAGAGATCCTACTTCACGTGTGCTTAACGGCAAGCATAACATATATGTGGTAAACTCCAATGGCAAAAAATTACAAACCATTTGTTGGAAAATTACGAAAATATCAGGTTGGTAGAACATAGGATATTGGGGTTTTCTTTTACACAACCAGTAAACACTATCACCTACTTTGGCCACACATAGCGACGAGAAATGTCTGATAGGCATCGAAACGTAAAGAAGTTGTGACTTACCCACTTCTGTTGGAGTGTACCGGCACCTGAAAACACCGTCTCCGGTCACGTGACATGGCACATTTCTTCCGCTTGGGCCTGCAATGAAGAATACGTCAGATTTGAAGAATTAAAACGCCAGGACTTCTTTCCTTTTATTTGATACGTTTTGTCAATTACATGCACCATATTTCAATCAATTACAATATCTGCATTGTTGCAAGTACAATAGAACGTCAGTAGCTACGATTCGAATGGTTGTGTTCCAAGGAACAGGTGGGCGGCCATCTTGGTCGTGACCTTGACGACTCGCTTACCCCGGATGTCGACGTCTATCCCGGCATCCCCTGCCCTGGTGGTGTCCACAGTGAACTGAGCCTCCTTCCCGACAGGCACGTTGCCGATGCCCTCCCCCTGCGCGAAGGCCTGGTTAGGGTACATCACCTTCGCCTTCAGTATGGTGGCTGGAAAAAACAACGACTGGTCATGACTTGGTTTTCTGATACAATCACATAGTGACACATATCATCATTGCTTACATTTACAAGATATTTCATTTCTTGAAATTTGTAAGCAATCGATTGTCACAGTTATCAATTTTGTAACAACAAATTTGTCAGTATATGTCATGTACTTAGAGTTTTTCCAATTATCTAGCTTACGTATCACATCACTTCTAATTTCTGCTGGCTCCCGGCCACATTCTTACACCTTCAAGTTCATCACATTTCCTGTTCCTTACCTTTAGACTTGTCACTATTCCCCATCCACGTGCTGTCAACCTACTCAGCCCTAACAAGCACTCCTACAAACCACACCCAAAACAATACTTAGATACCCGGAAGTAATGACTGTGGAGTCTCCTTACTTGGGAGACCGTTGAATGTGACGAGGCTCCTGTCATCCTTCGCAGCGTAGGTTGACGAGGCCGGCTGGATGTAGCGTGTCTTCGGCTGGGAGTACACCGAGTCTGTGTCATGGTTGGCCGGGTAGGTCGGCGTGCTGAAGGAGTAGACTGGACCTCTGGGCCGGTCCGTACTTCTGGTAGATTGTCTGAAGATGAGAAGGTGGTATGTATAACTGATAATGCGTACAATAAGGTGTTAAAAAGTAGTCTCGAACCAGATTAGCTCGATGGACTCAATGGGCAGTTGAGCTACTCATCCACTGGTCGTGACAGAGTATTTAGTAAATACTACATGCTGGAGCATTTCGATGCAGCGGAAAATTCCTTTTGGTCTTTTTCACATACAAATGTACAAAAATTTAAAGCAACTTCAAGGTGGGACCATCCAATATGGCTGGCAATATACTTACGTAATGATCACATGAGTACAAACACCTTAATAGGAAGCATATACATTTGTGTCATATTCACTGACAGATTGAATGCTAGTGTTTAGTTCGTGTGTTACGCCGAAGGGCAGTTATAACATTTATACAGATACAGATACAGAAGTATAGTGCAGAGTTGATACATGTGGAAAAGTGATGGTTATCATTGATAGCACTCACCGCCGGAAATCAACGTACATGTAAGCCACACCTCTTTAGGATAGAACAGGGGGAGTAAGTACACCAATGTGCAGGGTGAAGGAGGCACCAATGTGCATTTGAATGATGGTGGAGTACAGTGTAGTTCTAATCTAACATTTTCAGAGGTGTAACATTCATTATCATTACACGTGACAAGATGCAGCAGTGGTGAAGTGCATTTGGTGCTGCCTGTAAAAATAGTACGTGTTGCATATATGGTGCTAGATATTGCACACATTTCATGTAGGTGGAAACGGGGAGCACAAATGCCTCTCGTAACATTGATGTCACCAGTTGGCAGGCAATGATTCTCCATGCTAGGTTGTGGTTGAATTTTATACGTGACTTTATGTGCCGTGTTCGTTATTACTGTTTGCACAGTCTTATATCTTTGTGCTGAAACCGCAACATCAGGCTTTTCTTATTGCTTTCTGTCGAATCTACCTCTTAGGGGGTTCAGGGGACTCTTTGTGGTCAGTTTGCAGCTCTTGTGGTGGCGGAGGGGGATCTTCTGGTTTAGCGGGCACGAACACTCTGTGAGACAGCAGGCTGGAGAGTATTCCCACAGGACAAGACATTAGCTGGGTGACTAAGAGGATTAATCTACAGGCAGATCCTTCGATTACAAAATTGTAACCAAACTGCATGACATTACAATTACAAGCAGATCTTTCGGTGGGGGAAAGACAGTATCAAATTGGCCGGTCTGTAACCAAGGAGGTTTCAACCTTATAGCTATAGCCATTTCCCCACCGAAATGGTTAAAGACTGGCCATTTGATACCCCCCCCCCCCACCGTAAGATCTGCTTGGAGATTAATTACAATATTATTCAACAGGCAGGACACTATCCAATTGCTCACCGAAGCATTTTGGACAGTGCCTAAACGCCTATCGGATACTGCTCTGGGCTCAGGGACCATGCTCTGCTGGTTTGTTGCGATTTTGCCATCGAGAGACCTGCTTGGAGATGCTAAAAGATAAGATGTTGTTTACCAACGTCTAGAAAGGGGAACGCCCTGACCATATTATAATGTGTAATTGCTTTTTATACGAAACCGCACCCATCTTCAGTAGTACTGGCTAAGGAAATAAATGAGATCAGATATGGTAACAGTAAAGGTAATGTCATATCCCCTTATATCACGAGAGTTCCAATCTCGTGACTTCCAGGACGAGGTCTTCCCTTAGGCTGGTTGTTATTGCGGCATTTCTGTTGCCCTCTTCTTGGACAGACCCTGTATTTTTGCCCGTGTTGTCATAGATTGTGGACAGATGTCAAGGCTGGTTAATGTCCCAACACACAAACAGGTTGTTGGGAATACTGGATTTGTTCAGTCGTAAAATTGTTGAGCATTACATACAGACTGGAAGTAAGTACAGGTCTGCATCTATGTCACAAGACAACCGAGAATTAGAATTTTTTGGTCTGCATTTATCGTGTTGGGTACATGCAGCCCTGGGTTTTACAGGATTCAGCTGAGCAGGATCTGCTAACCCTGGTATGAACGGGACCTTATTTTCTCACCTATCGTCGTCCAGTTCCACGATCCTCCTGGTGTCCGGCAGGCCTGCAGTCATCCAGTCTCCACCATTCCTGTCATCCCAACGCCTCCCGTTATACACTGGGAAACGAAAATGTCCAGTTGTAAGAAATGGAATAAAACGTATTGCCTCATTGTATGGAGACGCTGTTTTCAGTGTGTGTGTGTGTGTGTGTGTGTGTGTGTGTGTGTGTGTGTGTGAGTGTGTGTGCCTGTCTGCAGCTGTCTGTGTGTATGTGTGCGCCACACTAGACGGCCACAACACCAGACCTAGAGCTCGAGTGCCACCATCATCCTTCAAGATGAAAGGGTGTCTACTACTATTAGTACTTCTACTACTATTACTACATGTATGTGTGTGAGTGTTTTCTTGTAACTGTGTGTCCGTAGGTATCTGAATATAGTAGAGTGGCCGGTGTGAAGGGAAGGAGGTGAAGATTTTGTTACCACAGACTGACAGGAAGGTTGAATTGGTCAGTTTTCATTAAACTATTACACAAATCTTTACCATAGTAAGAAAAATCGATGACATGCGGAAACAGGAAAATATAAAGGCGACATGGAATCAATTTGTAATGATGGTGAATAATATCGATCCATTCAGTTATTTCACGCAATGTAGTAGAATTATGACCACATAAGCTATACTGTATTATCCTGTGCATTAGAATGATAAAGTTATTTCATGAGTGGTCATGGTTTACTCGTGTTCTTAAGTTTGAAAATATCAGGGTACGCTTAACGTTATTCTATGAACTGTGTTATTATGTAACAGAACATACTGGTGCCATCATTCTAAGACCCAAGAGGGACTATCCTAATCTCGGGGGCAATCGTACAAACAATGGTACAAATGTAGGCAGTTTGGATAAATCTCTCGCTAGATTTTGGTGTCACGCGAAGCAAACCTCCTCTGGGAAACGTTTCAAATGTATGCTTGATGCGTATCTGTATAGCCTGTATAGCCTTTCGGCGTAACACACCAGCTTCTGTATCTGTATAGCCTGTATAACCGCCTTTCGGCGTAACACACCAGCTTCGCAGGCACATGGCACAGCGGCAGCTGGCTATATTACACATTACGACTTGTTACACGAAACCCTTGAACATCTAACTCTAGACATTGTTTAAAGCTATCTAATGACAATGCCCCTACTGTACTTGGTGACAGCGAGTTCCACTCGATAATTCTAGGAAAGAGTGAATTCTTGAACACCTTAATCCTGGTACTTGAAGGCATGACTATTTCTTGTTCTATTCTGGGCTATTATTAGGTACTTAGTAGTTGGGACGTCCACCAGTTTATTAGTCATATTGTACATCATGCATAGGATCCCATGTGGAGCTGTCCGCCATTTTTATATAAACATACTTTGCAGGTCATCGGTGTTTTGGATCAAGATTCCTCCGAATGCATGGGTATCAAATGGTGGGCAAAATGGACAAATTCTTAACATTGCCAATAGCTTTCACATGACCTGCTTTTTTGAAAGGTGGATATAACATTTCTATCAAAACATACTTTTAAGTAATCTGTAGCTTAGATCGAAATTCCTAATCCAACACTATAAAGTGAACAAATTGAGAAAATTCTTATCATTGTCAGAGGCTTCTATATCACCAGAAAAGAACTGAATAAACCGAATAAAACCTATGACTTCGGCAAAAACATATTTTAGGTCCTAAGTAGATTCAATTGGAATAGCTATTGCAACTAATGCTAATGCTAATGCAAGTCAGATACTGTACTTATTGAGAAATTCCTTGCATGTCAGTAGGCTTTTGCCTGAACCATATCTCCAAAACATCCACACACAAAGAGTGCTGACAACGATACAAACAGCGTGCCGTCATCTACTGACCCTTGACCTTATACAATACACGTCAGCGGATGAAATATTTGAGACTATTGTGACGTTAGTCTAGTGTGCAATGCTTGTAGGTCATCCATGTTGATTTACCAGTACATCTTTTGTATGATGTTTATTTGGCATCAACGTTTGATAAAGTAGTGGTTGTAGTAGTATAAACTTGTCATTGTGTGCGCCTCTTTGACACGTAACAGGGGTACCTGAGTATACAGTGCAATTTTAAGGAATACAGTACAATTTTACGGAATACAGTGCAATTTTATTAGTATACAGTGCAATTTTACGGAATACAGTACAATGGTATTAGTATACAGTGCAATTTTTACTAGTAAAATTGCACTGTATACTCTGGCACCCCTGCATAACAGACGTCGGTTTAAAAGGTTTCAGGATGCAGACAGCTGGGACATTATATTTGCGACTGAATACGCTACAATTGCGAAAAACAGTCAACATATCACAGACCTTCAGTTGACACAAACGCCAGAGCAGACTTATGTTTGTGGCAACTGTACGAAGTCACGTATGTGATTGAGCTCAAGTGATTATGAAAGCTCCATCAACTGGTGTCCGTCGAATGACTGACAAGTAGGACATTTAAGACCCTGAAGTCACAAATGACCATGTGTAGGGACAACACTGTAACCTTGCCACGTAATATGCGAAATTGTGATGATAACTTCTTGTCTCTGACGGCCTTGGTGACACAACAAAAAGGAGCCTAATTCTCTGTCAGACACTCAGTTTACCGGAACAGGAAAAGTACAAGCTTCATTAACTGAACAGACCCTGTATTTATCTCCTAACGTTTCATTTGACATTTTGTACACCGATTCGTATGCTAAATCCTTGTAATTTGAATACGGGTATTGAGAATTTAGTATGAATGTTTGCAGGTGTCCTACCGACATTGAAGACACGGCAACAACAGGGACATCCATCTGAATCTGGTCTGGCCAAGGTTTCAAAGAGACAAGGCTAAAGTAAAACATATATAGAGCCATAAATCTTTAATTAAAACAGGGTTAGTCCCCAGCTTACAAGGGTGCTGCTCTTTTAAGTGTCAACAGTTGTATTCAGGTATTTTGACTCTTTGAATCCCCAGGTATTTTTAAAGCTATTTTGAACAACAAAGGCGGGCCGCCCGCTCACCACCTGTGAGGAGCTTCAGGCAACCCCAAACATGTGAGGACGGAGTTAATCATCACTTTGGCAGGGAATGAATATATATAAAACACGTTTATCTTTCATGGTAGGTATTTTGACATTTAATGGCATATTTTGCTACCAGTTTGAGTGTTACACTGGCTGGGATATCTTTCCATCTCTCTCTTTGTTTACAAGATGAGTGCCAAATGGTTGGACCGAGGGATGTTGTTGACAATGGGGCGTAGGCAACCTCAAACATGGAAGGACTTTGGCAAGGGGGAAATATATATCAGACACATTTCTCTCTCATAGTAGATATTTCAACAGCATTTTACTGACATCTTTTTCTATCAGGTCAAATATTACATTGGCGATCATATCTTTCCATCTCTCGCTTTGTTTACAAGATGAGTTATTCGTGCCAAATGGTGGGACTGTTGGGTGTTGTTGACAATGGGGGCTCATCCGACAGCCAAGTGCCTGGCATTCCCACAATGGCGATGTTACAACGCCCGAGGGGAGACGCCTCGGTGTTGCCACGAGAAGAATCCAGGGGTCAACACACAAATAAACTCAGCTGGAGCGCTCCGAGACCACAACAAAGGCAGAGGCACGCCTGCAAAGGTCGCCCTTCGCTAGTCTCCACCAGACTCCTTTTGCAGGCTGATGAATATTAGAAATTGGCCTAAAAAGGGAATATCATGGGCAGAGGAGATGGCCGCCATAGAATATCCAGCTTGCCTCCCCTGCCCATGATACTTATTCCTTTTTAGGCCGATTTCTACTATTTATCAGCCTGCAAAAGGAGTCTGGTGGAGACTAGCCCATCGCCGCTACGGAACGTGAGCAGCTCAAGTCCCCATAACGCTACACTTTCGTCTCCAGGCCTTTGGATCAAAGCCAACCGGGAAACTTTATATTTATCTCCAAGCAGATCTCTTCGGAGTCAAGACACTGTGTTGGCTACTGTACGTACACAGTTCAAGTCCCCATAACGGAATACGTTCATTCGTCTACATGCTTTTGGTAGCTAGCCGCTAGCAGGCTTCTCCGGTTGCGAAAAATAGTAGAATTTGCCCCAAATTTGCCAAATAGACGGAATAGTATATGGTATGCCATATGAGTTAGCTGGCTAAAAGGATACAAATTTTATTAATATACCTGTAGCTGTACGTAGCTTAATTAACTTGTTTCCACTAGTTTTGTTAGTGATATAAGTCGCTATAATTTTCTGTGCAAATAAAGAGTGTATATTCCATTCAGCAGGCATACATAATAAAATGAAATGACTAAGCTGCAATATTGAATACTAGTAATTTTATGACATCAACTACTTTCTGATGACCCATTTTACCTGACTCTACCGACCTGTATGTAAAGGAACATGGATATAACCGAATATTGGCCTTATGAATTATGAACACCATTTTTATTGAGGAGACAATACTCTGTTCTACAATGCAAAACCATTCCCGCATTATTTCGAGCAGGTTGGGCATCATCTTTCTTTTGGTACGAATTCTTTTAGCTCAGAAACGTACATCTATATTTTTAAAAGATTTACCACATTTGTGGAAGGATTGAGATAACAGGGGACTATCACCTCTTCAAGATGTCAAACCTGAGACCAGACTGTAAGGTTTAAACCATTCACATTGAGAAGACCCCCTTCTCTTTTCGATACGTGTGGTGGGATTTTTAACGTGTGTTTATATGAAATGGTAGGGGAATTCTAAAGATTTAAGCCAGGGACACGAAAATGATCTTGAGTAAGATTTGGGGAAATTGCTATCGTTATGTAGCTATAGCGTCTGCAATCTTTGTTCATTAGGATCTTGTCACTAACAGAGATAAAAAGCCTGATGACAAAGAACACCTAACGTTAATTAGGCAGTAGTGGCATCACCTGGGGGGTCTTCGGGTCTGTATCATATGACCGGTCGGACCGCATTGCTGCCTGGTAAGACGGCCTACGCTACAACAATCATAGCCATTCATTTAAATCGCTGCATAACCTCAAAGCTTTTTCTCACGGGCATGGGACAGGCCTCACAAAACAGGACGCCATGTCTGAAAATCTTAGTCGCATCCGTAGTCGCGTAAAATTAAACCAAGAACACTTGAAGGCCGACGTAATGAGGAAAATTTAAAGCTGCATGCGATATTCGCTAGTACCAGCATACTCAGATCGTTTTCAAATCTATCTTTCTGACACCTGGCTTATGAATGGATGGCAAAATATACACAGGGGACTCATTGGCTGATGATGTCAAAGAAAAACTGTATCATGTTTTCTGGATACGTGAGGGTGAGGGAAGTTCGGCCTTGAAGATTGACCTCCCTGGAGGAGAGGTCACCACCGAGAACATTCCGAACGAGCCATTAAACATGGCGGCGAAACAGAGAAGGAAGAGACCCTGGTTAATACCATATGGTCTAGAAATTTGCATTGTTCTTTTGCAATAACAACATCAACAGTTTGTCTGTATTATGAGGGGTGTAACGGACTGTTAGTCGCTGTGTGAAGTCATGCAAAACCAACAGAAACTAGTCCAGACGTTTCCTAGGGGGGTTTCTTTGTCTACAGGTGTGTTCTTATTATTGGGACTACGTCTCAAGAAACAAAACGTAAAGTCTTTCAAAGGATATGGGTTACCAATTCTAGGTTTAAGCAAAGCTTTTATTTTAGAATACATAAAGAGATTACTCTTTTCTAACTCAGAAACGATGAGGTTTTTCAGAAGCACAATTTCCGTATTCTTTACATCAATGACCATCTAAAAAGATCTGAAAAATTGACGAAGACAACTAGCAAGATGCCATCATTATGGTGAAGCGTGTTGTGTGTGAAACTTAAATGCGAATGCGGTTGGAAAAATACCACAACTGACAAGATAGTACACAAAAGAAGATACTATAAGGATACTCACTCGACGCCATATTGTCCACTCCTGTCGGTGGTCCCTGGTTATATTGTACGTCTCTGTATGACTGCAATGCCCTTGGTGGAGCCAACCTATAGCTGCGTAGAAAAATTGTAGACGTTCAGTTGATAAATCCGTTCGCACGATCAAACATAAAGTACAGAAACTTTCGCCCTACAGGCGTATTTTTTCCATCGTTTCCCTGTTGTAGCCCCGCCAGTCCAGAACACCTGACTGCGCAACCATTCATACACGGTCCCAACAAAAAGGTGCGCCGCGCGAGGCATGGTGGGATAGGGTGTTCGATAGGGTGGAACCGGCCGCCATTTGCCCGGGGGCGGCGTTACTGAAAACACGTGCACAATGCTTCTCACGGAAACCTCAAAATAACACTGCTTAGGTGTGCAATGACTTTATGAATAAGTTACAACAATTTTTTTGTACATCAAAAGATGAGAAGAGAAAGAAATATCTCGGTTTTTGTGAGTGAATTGTTGCTAAGGTTTTCATACCACAGGTATGCATAGCTGATATTTTCACCAAAAAAGGAAGTACTTAATTGGCAGCTCTAATAATCCCCCAAGTGACGACAGGAAAAGGCGTTTTTATGTCCAGTTGACAACGCCCATAATGTTTCCTTTGTGATTCTATCGTTCGTCATTACTAGACACAATACTTTGCATACTTACACAACACTACACAACAGACCACTGTATTAAATTGTAGTAAACTTTGTTATCAATAGAAACGATCTTATCTGAAATCCTATTCTAATGCACGAAACCATTCTGTAGAAGGCTGTATGATCATTAGATGTTAATTAGTTTAGATTCAGAAGTAACAACGTCCGTTCGGTTAATGTGCGTAAGGTTAACGTTACGTGTTGCAGGTATGTTTTGTCAACACTTTCAAAGGTGTAGCAAGATCATGCGGGGTAAGGTTAACATCTGTATCCATAATATCACCAGGGTCCATAATATCGCCACCTTGAGAAAAAGTGTGCTTAAAGATATTTTACTGCAACATACCCTAGGTATGTACATTTGATGTGTGAAGGAGTGCATACCAATAGTATGTTACAGTAAAAATATCTTTAAGCACACTATTTCTCAAGGTGGCGATATTATGGACCCTGGTGATATTGTGGACACAGATGTTATATGTATAAGTAATATGTATTGAACAAGGTGTTGAAGATGTCTTACCTTTGTGAATGTTTAGGTATTGTTGTTTTCCTAAAGACTCCACCATCGTATTGTACCCTTGTTCTCGACGGCATGTTTCCAGCTATCCCAATATCTCACTTGGAAATGATGAGGGGGAGGGGTGGTCTTAAAAACACAGTCCTTGGGATCTGTAAGGCGTAAAGTTGACGTCATTAGGATCTTAATTACCTCCATGATGTAATCTTAATTGTAATCGCTTACGTTGCTGCAATGTAGTTTTAATTACAGTACACTTCGTGACGTGATTCTGCTTCCGTTTCCGGTGTAGACTTTTTAAAACAGGTGGTCGCTGAGAACGGCCTTCGCCACTATCTGTGGTCAGTGTGGGTGTCTTAACAAAGAGGGTGATTTCCTTCCATTAAATTGACACAAATAACAGGTTACGAGCACTGGCTGGAAAGCCAAAAGTGTGTTCGTTTCTGCTAGTAATCACCATGTGACGTTTAAACTCTTTAGCTAGGCGATGTACGCAATTTGGTCGTACGTCAAAAAACTCCATTTTTACACGTGGGCAAAAACCCGACGGTATAAAAAAAACTACGTACGCATAGGACGAGCGCACGAAACGTCAAAAGACAGGAAGTATGGTGCAACGAGGTGCGAGAAACCAGGTCATGCCCTGTAACAGCCGTGCCATGTGAATGACTTGATGTGAAATACGTCAGTAATTTTGAAAATTATGTGGCCTTGGTCTGATTCACAGGTCAAGAATCATCTTGACGAACATGGTAATTCCCGTCAAGTCATTCGCGAGGGACTGGTCAAAATGTACTAAATGCTATCGACTGGGCGAGAAAAAAGGGAAAAGTAGAATTCACATGTTTCTATCTATTCTAGTGCGCCATCTACTAATCTCAACGCAGATTTTAGTGGCTGCAAGACAGAAGGAAGACAGTATCAAAGTGGACAGGGCAGTATCCATTTGCGTTAAAAATGATACCAGCTGTACAAAAAAGAAAGCACGATAAAAACGTTTAGAATATGTCAAAAAATAAACCGATTCTTCAACATCTGTTTGGAGAGTAGCCTCTACAATACATGCGCCGTGACCCGTGTCATCACTCGGTGACCCCGCTCAGTAATAGATTTAAACGCTGCGCGTCTTTCACAACAGTCACGTAATGGGGGTAATTAAACGGAAGGGCTCCTTTTTAGGAACACTGCATTTTTCACATTGCTTACATTCTAGGGGTGGGGGTCGCCATATTGTTAATAGGTATACATTTTTGTATCATTAGACCATCCTTTGGCAACGTAAGTAGTAACAACTAAATTTCGCAGGTGATCAGATCTTGAACTATAAAATTTTGTCAACGCTAGAGCAACAAAAGACAAAAAATTAGCAAACTCGACATGTCAAAGTAGTTACGTAACAGCCAATGATTGCCATGAAGGGGGGCATATGTATCGGTTATTGAGACATTTTATCATAACTCCAACGCTAAAAACACTGTACTATCCCTTATAGTAGCATTCCAAACACCATGTGCACTGTAAGGGATAGGGTAAGACCAAACAAGGCGAGGCAAATCACAAGTCTACTCTGCTGACAATGATCGAAAGCATTGAGCTGGAAACTTGTTAAGTTGGTACACCAGAGAAGCCGAGATTCGACCACGATTCAAGTCAAACCATTTCAACAAAAGACTTGAAAAGTTCTGTAACAATCTAAATGTAAACACGGTTTTGTCTCATACCTTAACAGACACAATCCGAGGGGGGAATCCAGGCAAGGAACTGTTGTAGATTGAAGTCTTGCGGCCAGCTAGTGGAAATGATCGTGCAGTCTGCATGAATAGCGAGGATAAAAAGCCCAACGCGTCATACGAGCAAAGGTTAGATCATGGGCGCGGCTAGAAGAACAAGTTTTGCGGCTGTGTAGAACAAAACGTGAGAGCAACAACCTTATAAGCCGGGTTCAACATTTGAATGCTCCACTCTCGTCATACACGTGTGTTTAATTCAACGGAAATCAGTATGGTTTGAATGTTTCAGCATCGAATTTCAAAGATTTTATGTTAATTTTTAAAAAATCAATTTTGAATCACTGACAAATCAAGTTATAAGTATCTCGTTGTGACTTAATTGACATTTTAGTACCATCTTTCAATACAATATTTTTGATGACGTGGTGAACATAATAAAACAAATCTATTTTGTATTGACGACAGCCCCATGTCAAAAGATGCTATCAGGATACACGTTGCAATTTTTTCTACAATTTTGTACCATCTCTATTATGCATACAAGAGAATATAACATGTATTAGGCTGTAAACACTACCAAATAGGACCATGTGTTCTTCGCACTGTAGACTTAATAGTCTCAGTTTTGCATTTTCAAATTATGACTTCATGGCGACACCTAGCGATTTGATATAAAAAGCAAGGGAGCTGTACCGGTTTCTATGGGAGCCGTGCAAATGTACTAGGACATACATATACAAGAACTGGTTCATCAGGTTTGATCGGAGGGTCAAAAGTCATGACCTCAAACGGGTTTATAGTCCTGAAAATGCTGCAGAGTTGAATCAAAACATGGCTCTCTCCCAGATGAATACTGTATCTATCATAGACTGAACGCGACATAGCGCAGCTGTGGTCACCGCTATCTGATTTGCATATAGTGTAACGCGAGCCGCACGTACACCAGTGTCAAGTGGGGAGGGGGGCGCCAGTGTGTACCGATCGCCAAGGACCTGGGTCCTTCAGGCTTCCTTCGATGCTTTTTCCATTGTGAATGAGCCTGGATAGAGGTTTCACACAGCCTTTTTAGTAAAAGATGCTGTCTACAGGATCTGACGCACCGTACTGGATCACGGTGTTTGTATCGGCGGTTGGGACATGGCTGGTTTTCGCGCTGGTGCCGGCGATTCTGGACAGGTCCATTGTCTCAAGGCGGTACAACAGTCTACCTGTGGGCGAGCGGAAAAAGATCCAGAAATGGTGGGAGAATATTTTGTTCATTTTCGTATCTGTATTGCCGGTATAACCCTCCTTTTGCGTATGAAGCTTAGCACGCACGCAAACACGCAGCAGCTAGTACTGAACGTAGAGTGCGTTGCAACGACCACCTTACAACGTTTACTCAAGCATAACGTTATAAACTATAGTATTTTGAATGGTTCTGACCCTTCACTATATTGTGAGAGTTGGTTTTACTACATACACGTAATACTTCAAACCGCGCAGTGCACTTTATTCATTTTCTTTATACAACATATAACAAAGTCATCATATTAAGTCGACACTGTGAAATTGTTGTCTGTCATTCATTTGACTTTTTTGAGGCAGCTTAGTGGCTGCAATACAGTCACGATCGCTTGAAATTGGCAAGAAAGTATCAAATGCGCCACCCATAAAAAAATTACAAAGTAAAAAAAAAAAAAAAGAAAGTCAGACGTAAACGTCTGAAAACACGCCAAAAATAAGCAGAAGTCTAAACCTAGCTTTCCAACCATGTCCTGTATTGGTTTTCATGCTACACTACGGTGAAGTGTTTGTACTCCCCTTGCCGCACTATTGTCGTATTTCTCCACCAGGCCAGCTGTTACAATGGGCGGGTTGGCAGTTTGTGTACTTTCTTTTACTGATAAGGGGCCAAGGACAGGGTACGTGGTCGACGTCCTTGGGTTGGGCTCGTTTAAAACAAGTCCTTGTTTAAACGGTTATTGTGTTTGCCTTTGCAGAAGGAAAATATATTGTTTTCGCTTTGTTTCATCTTCTTCTTTTAACACATAAGGTCAATGACCTGGACCAGACGGCTGTCACCATGGTAATTGATGCTGAGGGGGACCCCTTATGGAGTTGGGTTACATTATGTACCAAGTGATGTGAGTTTGAGGGGCTGGTCACCACATTTACATGAATGTGTTTGAGTAAAACTAAACAGAGCAACTGACTGGCTAGACCACGTGAAGATAAATATTATACATTAACCTTGTAGATATTATATCCCTAGTTTAATACGCTTATTGGTTACTTTACAGCGCGGCCTCGTTATGTGCAGCCCTGGTGGAAGGGACAATCTCAGGGTATATTTTTTTCTTCCGGTCGGACATCGGGCCAGACCATGTTCGGTAAGATATGAGAACACGTCGTTAAAGATATCAATAACCGTATAACGTCATGATTGATTATTCATAAAAGTTTGGAGTAAGCCATTTATTATTTAAGTGTATAACAGCTAGGTATTATACCATATAGTATAACATATTGAACTTGAACTATAAACAATATTGCATTTTCTTTGCTTCCAGATATGACTGTTTCTTACTTCGACACAACGTCGGCATCTTTTTAGGTTATACCATAGCAGGTAAGACTTCAAATGCCGTCACAACTTGCCGAGATCGAAACGGAAGAAAAATGGACGTTTTTGATGTCGTATACTCGTAACCTACGGTGACATCACTATGGTAAAGAATTGTACTTAGTATATCTTTCGTAGTTTTATTCTTACCCGTTGTTGCTTTCTTGGTGTAACAATGGCTTATCTTTGCCTTCCATAGACACTCTCCTGCTTTTGCTAACGCCGGAATTTACAGGGGTCAATGACCTCTTGCTCCACCACGCTGCGGGTCTCTTCAGCGGCTATGCTGGGCTGGTAAGTGGCATTGGGTTTTTTTTACGCCCAACGTTGTTCAAAACACCTTTCCTACTGGGTTCTTCCAGGCTTCAGAAGCGGCAATAAAGAGTACAGTTTGCCGCTCCCGAAGCCTGGTAGAGGCTACTTTCACACTATTATGCGTTTTGAGTAACGCGTTAAAAATAACGCAGTAATAATCCTTCGCGTTAAGCATGGTACCTTTTCTATTGCTGATGCATTACGACATGTTTCACAATTATGATCAAGACGTTTTAACCGATACTATGTGATGATCTATTCTTTTTAGACCTACCCGGTTTTCCCGTACTTCATCAATCTTTATCTGCTGATGGAGATTTCCAACCCAATGCTGAACCTCAGGTACACATCGTTCTAACTTACAATTTTATAAGGGCTAAGGAAAAGACTTACGGTGGGCTATAGAGGATGATGAATGTGTTTTTTTAAATTCTCTACGATATAATCGGAAGGTATAAGATTCATTCCATGTAGTAATTATAATTTATGTTATATCTGATTCGGACCGTCCGTACCTTTTGAGTTGTTATGATTTTATAATTGTCGGTGTCGTATAAGCCCATATGGGCTGGGCGACGTATGGTCGTAATGACACGTAAATAAACATTCATTCATATAAATTGGCTTTGATTTTCTTTACATGTGGGCCTTCCAACGTAACGCTTAGTTATTGTCATCACTTTTGTAGTGACACCGTCTCTCACTGTCTTTGTGTACAGGGTTATACTTGATGTTATGGGCTACAAGAAGTCCAGTCTGTACATGATCAACAGTGTCGTGTGGACCGCAGCCTTCTTTCTCGCTCGGATCGTCACCATTCCCCTATTCTGGTACCACGTGGCCGTAAACGCTTCAAGAACGCTCTTCCAACAAGAAGTTGCGATTATTCTGACTGGTTTGGTTCTCATGCCCATATTCAACGTTATGAACATCTTCTGGTTCGTCAAGATTCTACTAGGGGCAAGAAAAATTCTCAAGGATCGTCATAATCATAGTTAACACCCATATAACCCCATCAAGGGTAAAGTGTGTAGCGTGTATGTGTGTGTATGTATGTATGTGTGCGCGCCTGGGCTGGCTTAGTACTAGTAGCCTATCAGTTTGTATATTATATGTTGTATGTACACTAGCTTGTATAGAAGGTGGTGAAGTCATGAGACAGACTTCAAATTCTCCTTTCGAAGGTCACTGTAGTTCGTTAGCATTTGTGTCACGCTGCTAGGCATCGATCTTTTAAAATATGTATCAGTAAATAATATTATGTACATATATCAAGTAGTTATAGATGCTACTCTTTTCCATTCCTTTTGAGTTCAAAGTGTGAAGAGATATTCAGTATAAGCACAACGCTACCTCAGGCAAGTCAATTGTATGCTATCCGCCAAAGTCACCGCACATATTTTATTTAGTAAGATTTTATCAGGTCCAAAGTAAGTATGAATCAGGATTGTTACAAACTCAAGCTTTACAAACAAAAGAAACTTTTGTCTATTTTATGAAATTCTAGTGAGAGACCCAGTGAGACTATCATCAATGGACTATCAAATAGATCATGTTGTGTACACGTACATGGTGTTCATGAAATGCTTTATTGTAAATTCATTGTTCAATCAAATCCTTTGTATTTAATTCCTTAAGCTATACACGTAGCTAGCTGTTGTAAGATGTCCAAACGTACAGTGCAAAACTTATATACAATTTACATTTCTCATAGAAAATCAAACGACAACATATAAATATATTCGTAGCATCTTAAATATTCGTTTGTATGTTCGTGGATCCCCTAAAATTAACTAAAGGGAAATTATTTTCACAGTTAAAAATAATATAATAGCAGTGTGCAAAGTTGGAAGACGGCACTTGCTCGGATTTACATTTTTGATAATTCAATTGGCAATTAAAAGTTCACAATTAACATCAACGATAAATAACAGTGTATGAAATGTCATAGTTTTTTTAATGCATTGATTTTAAATATATCTGAACTTATAGATGTCTGAACTACGTTTAAATGAAAGCTGGGTATTTGGTAAGGTAAGATAACCCGTGCCTGGTCGTAATATTTGGTAAAACGCGCACCTTGTAATGAGAAGTTATTATCATAAATGGATGACCACATACATAGCAGCAAAACAGGATTTTTGTGAAAATGAGGTAGGGGATATGCTGCTCACGAAATGATTTAGTGTCAAAACATTTTGACGAAAAGGCAGTAACATGAACCACATAAAATATCAAAATATCAATGTAAATGGACTAAAAGATTATCATTTCTAAGATCATTATTATCATTATTTACTTCAAACCCTGGCAAATGCAGCATATTGAGGAAGCACTTGTAAAAGCTGGAAGCTTGGATCCATTATTCGTGTCACTATTACACGCATTTACTACGTACCTCAGTCACCCCAAGTATTCGAAGAGCACACTACCAAAGCTAGTCTGAGATTCACCTTGCTTGCTTAGTGTTTGTTCACACAATGATTTGCCGAACAAAATTCCATCTTACTTTGATAAGGCAACGGCACATCGGCACTCAACAAACTCGCTATACTTTATCTATGGCCGCCCGTATAAATTAATCTTTAAGCAGATATAGGGATTGTCTTATCCTACACGTGTGCATCAGTTTGGGAGGAGGCGAAAAGAGGAAAATGCTCACTATCGCAAATTGCAAAAATACGTGTAAGATATGCCGATCTTTGCATCTGCTTGAAAATTACGTATCTTAGACATGGAATGATTCTACTACCAAATTCTTAAAATGGCTTCAATGTGATGACGATATTCCCTGCAGAAGATCAAAAACGTATCACTCAGTCGTCCTTCTTGGCCGTGAATACCCTGTACGCTTCCTTACACAGCTGGGAGAACCAGTAGGCGTTCAGCGACGTAAAAACAACCCCGCCGCCGAGGTAGCAAATATAGACTGGGATCTGGAGATGGTAAAAATCATCCTGGAATAACAACAAAAGAATTTTTTGTTACCATTCCAGCAAAGGCATAAAAGACATAAAATAATACAGTCATGAGCACGAAAAAGACACATAATTTTACACGCAACTATAACCCTCCAACATGGCGAACGACACATGACGTCACAGTCACGTGAGTGCAAATACACCATATTTGGAGTAAATGGGACGTACCTCTCTGGCAGCGAGGCTCATGTTGTACCAGTATCCCCCCATGGACACCACACGGACCAGGAAGAAGGTCAGTAAAAACGCGGCCCCGTTCCAAAAGTACGACAGGGATTTTGTGGGGTATTTTAGGTCATTGTGGATATACCTGCAAAGTCAAGCGAAATGAATTAATGAAAGAATCAACAACATATCTTCTGTAACAGCAAGACAAGAAAAAAAAATTTTAAAAAATATGACAAAATAAAATGTAGGCAATTTTTATTTGCAGAAAAATAAGAAACCACCGTTCAGGGAAGAAATTTACCCTGCACAGTTAAGGTACCTAGAATAATAATAATACATGTAAAAGTAACGTGGGTGCATGTATATGGGAGACGACTTTACCTGAGGTTTAGGAAAGGGTTGGAGAGTTCCATCATCATGCCTATGTTGGTATGGTAGGGGAAACAACTGTAGAACTGCGGGGATAAACAATAAGCATGCTATAAGAACTTCAGAACGTCAGAAACAAGGCTGATAGGATCAAAATGCTATATATAATATGTAGACTTCAAGCAAGAAACGACAACGGCAAGCGGCCACTTACAACTCCCACATAACCGACGAAGAGTGATACGGCGTGGTGTATGTGGTACAGGACTCCGCCTGTCTGCGGGTGTATCGCCATCAGGGAGGAGTCTGTGGATGGACACACAGCACGTATGTTTGATAATGTTACGTTCGTATGTATGTCAAAATCATAACTGATGTTGTCAGTTACGTTGCCATTTTACACTCACGTGGAGGTCTCTAAAACATTAAATTATCAAATATAAAAAAAAGACACGAATCAACAAACTCTCTATGGGATATTTTTCAACGTTTACGTCAGATGTATTAGGTCAGCGCGCAAAAATCGCCCTAAATTTTATATAAGGAGAGAATGAACGAAACTTTACCTGCCATGGCGTAACCCAAGAAGATTGCACAGTTGTATCTGACACTGGGGGCGTCGTACCTAAAATACACATGGCCGGGTGCGGCAGCATTAAAATACACTTTTACAGTACTGATATTACATTCTGTGGGAGTATTGGTGATATATTGGTATACAGCCTACAAAAATATATGACGTCGCCATACTGTTCAAAATTCGACGTTTAGAGTCATCTTACAAAATTGGTATAAAACTGGCAACGGGAGAAGTAAGAACACGGAGTACAAAACAAAGTAGCGTATTACCTTATGAGGTTTCCTTTGACGTTATCGTTCAAAAAGTAGACAGAGCATGCCCAGATGCCCACTACTATTGAGGAGCATGCAGCCATCGTTCTGAAAATGTAAACAGATAATGATTTATTTAATAGGATAATCTAAACTTGTCAGGTATTTTGCTTTTTTTTATACATTCTTGCTAACAAATTATTCATAATCCATCGACGCTCATTGTCATCATGTTACAAAAACCTTGTCAAGTACAATTATCGATTGCACATTGTCATTGATTGACGTTTTAAATGTTGTATATTTTCAGCAAATTGGCGAATAAAAAGAATGCGACGAAAAAAAATCAGAAATTTTAAAATTGTTGAAATACAAACTGTAAAACAAATTATTGTAAAATGTTAAAATTGTAAACTTCAACAAGGTCGACGTCCTTACGCTTCGTGTAGCTGTGGCTTGGCACTGTCGGGCTGTGCGGTGTAGTAGGACGGGAACATTCTGCGCAGGATCCAGGGACTGAGCAGTCGGTACATGAGCAGGAACACCGCCAGGGACCCGAACACCGTCGCGTAGTACGGGATATCCATCCCCGACGTCAAGGCCATGTTGAACGGTTTGTTTGTTGCCTTCCAGAACCTAAGGGGGAAAAATTGACATAAAAAAGAAAGATGTTCAAACAAACGCCCCTGTAGTTCCAGAACAAGCTGCTGGGGGGCCCAACGTTCGTCACTTCTGCCCGAGCCCAAAAGCTATCAACCAACCAAGAGTCGTGTCCCTAGCATGTTCAGATCACGAGACATCAAAACCGGAAGTTCCACTGTAGTACCATAACAAGCAGTTAGGGGGGCCAAAAATATAATCATTTTGAAACTTGCCCACCTTGCAAACATGACGACAATCAATCTTAGCATTCTTGAGTTATCGTGTTGACACCCTTAACATTACCAAAACTGACAAAAGCAGCCGGTCATCTCCACGTAAATATTGGAAATAAAAATCGTAAAATTATCTACCTTTTCTAACACGCAATCCTCCAGAACAGGTAACACAGCTGCTTATACTGACAGATATTCCTGGAACACACCAACTACCTCTATACGTACATGGCGGTACGTAACAGTTACGACAATGGAGCAAACAAACGTCTATGTTCTAGAACGCATTTGGACTTTGTGTTGGACAAACATACGATCGTAGGACGGTTGTACTTATGTTTCTGTCAGATAGAAAACAGACAGTTTCCCTGTACCTGACGTAATGTCTGGTACTCGGCGCCGATTGGTCGACAAGAGAACAGGTGAGTCTAGCGTGTTCGGTGACCTCATTCCCGCCATTTGTTACCGAGAAATGCGGATGTGTGACAGCTGTTCCATTGTTCGTGAACCCAAGGTCACATTGTATTATTTAGACATATCAATGAACATAGTTTTTTAAAAAAGTCAATAATTTCTTCAGTTAAAGCAATGGGTTTTAAAAAGGGCCTTTAGTAACTGGTTTTCACCGTCCACTTCGGAATATAGGATCCTTTGTCCACTGACTGTCATTTCTCATACCACGATTCAGTACAAGAATTCGAATCGTCCAATTTTGGCACTGGAACAAGTATTTGATCGTAGTATGTATAACATGCACGACCCTTCCTTAACTGTTATATGACCTTATGCTATGTAAACGTTGCCTCAAATGACCTTTATGGACCATAAATACAACAAGAGCCCTATTTTCGAACCTTAAGGAAGATACCAAGTGGGGTTGTAGGGGGTAACATATCCGTGTAACAACTCTATAACGTTGTTTTAACTTCTACATTTTGAAACACGAAGTGTTTTTTATGACTACTAAATTTTTTTTAACAACAAAGTGATCGAAATGAAAAGGAAATGAATAAATCAATTTGCCTGAGCACCCCTCCACAACCTTTCAGATGGAACAGTCCTTACATTTACAACATGATGTCAACGTCCGAACAGATTATGCAAATTCTCGTCATATCAATCCACTCGGGGCGCACGTTTTCTGGCACCACACCCTAACATCGACAAGGGCCAGAAATACCTGGCGATTTTACCACCCAGCAACCGTATTAAACAGTTAGAAGCCATATTGTTGACCTTCGAGTGACACCGGCAAACAGTCACGCTAAGGTCGCCGGTCAGTCGAACTCTAGTGGGGGAGGGGGGCGTTGAAAAACGGTCCTATCTGGACACAGATATTAAAAGCGTGCAAGAGAAACCACGTCTCATGTATTAACCGTTTGATCGACTCTAAGTTTGAACGTGCAACTGGTCGTGCAGTGACGTGGTGCAAAGAATGCTAGAGATAACATTACAGCAACAAACAATGAAGGGTAGTCAAGCCTAGCTGGCCTAGAGTACTGCTACAAAAATACAACCTGACCTGTTAACCGAATCATTGGAGGTCCTGAGCCAAGCCCACGCCCCACCCCTTTTTAACCTCCACTACTAGGCACTAGGCCTTCCTACGGAGGTACAAAATGGAAATAATTCGCCAAGATTAAGTCCTAAACGGTGGCTATAATCTCCTTGCCTATTTGGCTAAATTTTTCAGCCTAACTGTTAGCCTCCCCTCTCCTCAGCGAGCTAGTTATAACGTTATGTTTGCTCATGATCGAAGGTTTCTACCTATGAATAGTGGACTATGACCTAAACATCAAACAGATTATATTATGCAATACCAGAATTTGTTGACCTGTGATCATGATAACTTAACATACTAGTAAGTTCTAGAAACATTTACCAAAACGGTGACATCCAACCGACTATCTATGTTCTTATGATGGCGGTTTGAACACAACCTTGGCCGGGTAGGGACACCACATGCTTGTGTCGTCATGTTTGGTGAATGTTCTAATGGCCCAAAATGGCTACCAAAGTATCATGTGTTTAACCCTAACGGTTGAAACACACACACTTCCACTCTTAAGATACAAATCAAGACTGAGAATTTACTAAAGCAAAGTTGGAGAAAGAATCAGACAGTCTTACCTAAGTGTTGAGGCCTTGTTTACTGAGAGAGTCACGAGTGTTCTCTTGTTGTTGTGTTCAGAAAACAAGGGCTGACCGGCCGTTTCCGCTTGTGACACGCGATATCCTGTTGTCCTCTGGGATGTTTGCATACAGGGCAACGGCCGCCTCCCCTTCTTTGTTGGTATGACCCAGTTCAAACATTCATTGAGAGGCCGTATGGCGCAGACCACTAGATAAAGGGGGACTGTACGAAGGCTTCGCTAGGCTTTCCAAAGGGGATTTGTTGTGGATAGTAAAATTCGTCAAAAATGGGTACAGCTTTTTCCCCCGTGATGGCAAAGTAAAACATGGTGGCCAAATCTCCTTTGGGAAATTAATGTATTCTCCGTTTGACTAAATGTTCCTATTTTTCTAGCCTCAACCAGACTTCAGAGGCAGCTATTACTACTTTATTATAAAGTTACACTGTAACGTTACTCCTTATAATGACAATTATAGGTAAACCAACTCCCCTGGCATGTTATCTCTATTTGGCACATTTCCACTCCTTCCAGTCCCTTCTGAAGCCTGGTAGAGGCTATTTTTCAACCAATGTCGTTAGCTAGTGGAGACTCAGTTGTACCCAGAGGAAACCCGAGAATGTTCAGAACGCCGCATGACGCACTCGTGACGCAGGCCCAGGGTAAGGCTCGAACTTGAAACGCGTTATCCACATTGTTAGCTAATCTCCCAGCTTTTCTGGTCGCTTCCGTTGGCTGCTTTATATATTACAGAGGGCAAAAGTCAAGGCCAAGAAAAGGTTTCAACGCCCAACATCAGCTTGTGCTTTATACCAATAGCTGCCGCACCGGAAACAAAAAGCGAACGGCTGGTAACCATGATAATGCAATCATGTATTTTCCAAACCTCTCAAAATCTTATATCTCCAGGCAGATGTATAAATGCCGTGCTTTTTTACGCGTTCTGGTGTTGCACTTATTCTCTGTTCACCACTTCAAAGGATCAGAAGCACAACTCAACAAGTCGGAGCCATAAATTGTACATATCTCCATGGACGGCCTCAGATAGCGCGACGACTGCTTGTACATTGTTTTGAGAAAAACGAACTTCTGTTCGATTGTTCTTTGACGTCACGAATGGGTGTTCGCGTTGCCAGGTTCGAAAACTTTGGAACGCGACCTTCCTGCGAAACTCTCTCTCATTCTCGGGACCTCCTCGCACTTTTCTAAAGATGACAAGAGAAGAGTTAGACCTGAGTGGCGGAAAAGCGAAGAAAAAAGGTATCACTGTATACCTAACTGGTCTGACTACAATTTTCTGCCGACGCAACGTATCTTTTTTTTCCAGTTGGGTCGGTATTACGTAGTTCAAACTCATGGTGAAAGTGTCAAGTGCAACTTCCAAGGTCAAGATCCTTTGTACCTTTGTACAAGTTCTTCATCTCAGTTGTAGAAAGAGTTGGTATGGTTAGGACTAGATGTAACATTTTAGAATGATGTACAAAAGAAAAGTTGGTGCTTGGACGATATCTCTTTATTCTTCATCCCTTTCTATACATCGGAACACATCAACTCAACCCCGTAGGAGTTTGGATTCATTTGGATTCATCTTAAACAGACAAGCATTTTTCTTCACCTAAGGTTTCTTAATATATAACATCATATGTTGCTTTTTCCCCTTTGGTACCCCTCGTTTTACAAGCAAACAGCATCGTTTGATTGTTATCAATAACAAAGTGCTTCGACCATACACACACGCACTCCTTTCCAATTGAGTTATCGAATATCCACTTTTTTTCTCTGTCAATATTTTCACAGGCATTCAAAGACAACATCAGTTACATGTATGAACAACATATCTGTACATAGACTCCCTCTGAAATGTGAGAAGGCAAGGGAGCATGGTCCGTTCAAAATACTTCTCATCAGCCAAGAAAAATCTGTGCAGCAACGGCTGATAAAAATGAGATTTCAAACCTTTTTTCCGTCGTCTACAACTAACCTCTAACAAAGTACAGGCCTACTCTGCTTAAAAAATAGCATCAGTCAAAACGGAGCAGGTATTCATTCTCTTTTGCGCCTTGATGTGTTCGTGATAATAATCTCACAACCCCCTTCTTTTTCTCTTCGGTTTGAGTTGCACATAAAATCACTACATGAGACAGTCTCCAAATTAAAATGTAACTCAACTGAAGAACTAGCAATAATATCAATCCACTGTTAAGGTTACAACATTATGACCCATCCATTCCCTCTTGGTTAGGACTGTCACCCATGGATATACTTGTACAATTTTTATGTGATATCATACTTTTTCTTCGGCATAATACAAATGGATTCATGTACAGTTCGGGGTTAGGATATAAAACATTCTCTTTCTGTTTGCTGTCGCCTGTTGGATTGACCTTCATGCAACATGGTAGGAATGGTACATTCCTGTTTTATTTTGTACAAATTCTACTCCATTTTTCACAACCAGGATCCACAGCAACTCTTTTCTAATCTCAAAGGTGAACTGTCTACTTATAGAAACTTTTGACAGTGCTCAAAGGAAAAGTTTAAAAATAATTATTCAGAAAACAAGAATATGTGAGAATGGTGCTGCCCGAGAGTTCTTAAACATATTCAAGATATGCAGATATGCTTTCTTCTTAGTCCAAGACAAGCAGGCACCATCTTCAACACCAATTCCAAAATTAAGTCATAACATTGCTTGGAACAAATAATTTGTGGATGGATAACATGGCCTTCACCTAAACAGATGACGCCATCCTTTGGACAAAATGCCTGGTTCATAACATGATATATTTTGCATATGAGGGCTGGGGGAAAAGGTAATTATTTCTTGACTTAAACATTTGTAATATATGTGTATATTATTTTAGAGTAAAAGAGGGTGCTTTTTCCTGGGTGCAACAACCTTACGCAAACATAGCCATGGAATATCCACAAAAGTGTTTTTTAAAACATTCGTTTCAGCCCATTGTGCTCAACAGCTTTTGCCAAAAAAAGCAAAGGTGCAGCAACAGCTTTCGTGAATGTTGCATCTTAAAGTTCATGGCAGTTCCTCAAGGAACCTACCATAATACAACATGCTGTACATCTTTAAGTAAAGTATAACATTGCTTAACATATTCAAAATAACAGTATTGCAGGCAGGGAATTATACAGTGGGGAATACAGAGGAGTATTTTATTGTCTTCTTCAGCACTCTTGTCGTCACAACTCGTTGTTGCTTCGGCCTTGAATGCTGTCGCTATCTTCGCCGTTGTCGGAGTTGTCATGTGACTGAACCGGCTGCCGTGATTGGCCGGTCAGGGCGTTGTTGATGGTGTTGTTCTGGTGGTGGATGTTGGCTGGAGGGACGTAGTTTCCAGGATTCGCCTGGTCAGGAAAAAAAAATCAAAAAATGTTTTCTTCTTTGTCTCACAATCGTTTTGTTAGGTTCAAAGAAATACAAACAGCACAGAGCAAACATTTATATACAGTGTTAAAAGAAGTACACTCTGAATCCAATCCAATCTTTCAAGAACTATCGTAAAGTAGAACTTGTTGCCACCAAGCACAGTTGGGGCATCATCACTAGAAAGCTTTAAACAACTCCTACAGCCAGATGTGCAAAGATTATGTGTAATAGGTCTTTTGGTGAAATATAGCTAGCTGCCACTGCTTGCCTGCGAAGCTGGTGTGTTATGGCAAAGGGCGGTTATAATGGCTATACCGATACCAAATGTTTAAAAGAACAAAAGGACACTATACCTGGTTGTTAGGGGGAATGCTGACTCCATGGTGTGTTGTGGCTGGATGTTGTTGTTGCTGGATATGGTGGATCTGTTGTTGTGAGTAGTGTGTAGTCACGCCAGTGTCAGGGGGCGAGCTGTCAGCATCATCCACTACCTCCTGCTCCTCTGGCTCCTGGGGTACAAATAACCATTGGGAGTTATCTCACTTAGGGTTAATATCAATAACAGTTCATTTCTCTCTTTGCTATACATTCTACAATCTATTCATCAAATAATCCCTGCATTTTTTATGAAGGTTAGACATCAGGTAATTAGGTAATTGGATTTTGAAAACTATCAGAGAATCCAAGTTTTAGACAAAAAGTAGTGGATGCTACTTGAAACGTCTGAGATTTTTCAAAATTTATCTAGTAGCTTGGAAAACTGTTGTCTTGTGAAATCCCTGTATATCACTCAAAAAGTCTTCAAAAGTGACATTTACATGTACAACAAAAGTCAGACTTTTTACATGTCATTTTACATTGTTGGTAGGCATCTGTTTTCACTAAAAAATAGTTGAAGAAGATTTCCATACCTCTTCTGGGCACAGCTCACAGGCCTTGGACAGGGTTAGACGTGCACTGTGGGACCTCTCCAGGAAGTAACTACAAACAAAATAAAATATGTGAGATTTCAGGGCTTGAAACACTTTTTTTCTGATGCGAGTAATAACTCAGAATGTAGGAAGAATGGATCACAGCAGAAACTCTCAATGATTTCTAAATGACAATAGGAATCCTCTGGAAAGAATGCAGTCTCCAACTTACCCATTGGAAGTTTCATTAGACTGTGCAGGTGGTGACCAGTTGTTGTAGGTGTACTGAGTGTTGGCTGAGTAAGGCCTCTGGAAAGATAGAAAAAGAAAATACATTGACTAAGTTTTTTTAAACTTTGAAAAGTGACTCAAAGACAATCATTACATGTTCACTTTCACACTTTCATTCAATACAACTGGTACAGACATGAAAGAAACATGGCTATGACCCTCTACAACTCATCTACATTGTGCTAATTATGATTCATTGATTCATGCCTCCCTCTTTACTTGATACAAGCAAAGACAGAAGTGACCACTACTGACCCTCTCCAGCTCGTCTCCCAGCCACTCGACTGCCCAGGTCCACTTGCGTTTCAGGTCCCCGTTACTCTGTAACATCTGCTGGGCTGGCATGCAGCTGGGGGACCAAAGAGATTTGTTAATAACATTGCAGAACTTCCACAAAAACAGTTGTACATTGTACTGTAGACGCAGAACACAGTGAATGATGATGATGATGACATTGTACTAGAATGCTCAAGTGTCTTCAAAACAAAATAGGAGTAAGAACTTTGTAGTGTTACTAGTTCAATGTACAAAGGGCAAAAGTCGACTCTTGTTAAACAAGTGGTTGTGAATAAAGAAGCTATTCAATCGTTGGCAAGGGTAATTAGTGACTGGCCAAGCAGCTGGACATTCAAGCAACTGGACATGATTTTCAAATCTGTAACTGTTTTTTGGCAATGCTATTCAATCGTTGACAACCTGATGAAATTATTCACAGAAAGAAGATCAAATCTAGTGCGAACAATGCCTACCTGCTGAAAAGCGCGACCATGAATTTGATGCACTGGTAGGCCCGTTTCTGGTAGTGGTTCTTGGAGCGCTGGATGGTGTCAAACAGGCCGTCCCGGTCATCTGGAATGCCTGAAGAAAAGGGAAAGAAAAACCAAACATCTCAATTGTTTTACCTTACAGAAAAGCTATTCATACACTTGTAACAAGAAAAGCAAGTTGAATGTAGCAGGGAAAGAAACTCAGTGAAAAGTCAGGGATGCACAAGACCACCTTGGAAAAAACTACAATTTACTGACCTTCGAGTCTTTGTACATTCTGTGGTTCTGCCGAGTTTGAATATATTGTTAATGTTTAGATGTACAAAGGGTAGTAAATTGTAGTTTGCAAATTGAAATTCCTAACAAAGAAACGAAAATTTGAGTCTACTGTGTATCTAATGTTCTTGCTAAGCTTGCATGCACTTTAGATGTAAATGTTGAGGTGTACAAATGACACCAGGAAAGCATGTCAGCAGAACGTACTGCGCCTGTGCAAGACCCCCCATTTTCCCCGGTTTTTGTTGTATTTTGGTCAACGCTTTATCAGAATTTTGCCTGTTGCAGACAATATTTTTTTCAACATAACATTTGGAAACTACAGACGGAGTGTTAGCCTCATATATGCTAGTACAACCTTATATGAGACGTTCTGCGTAAGTGCTAAGCATAATACGTTACAGGTTTCGCGCAGGTGCAGTACCATTCTGCCGACATGCTCACCAGAAAAGGAAGTGATAGATAGCAAAATGGAGATTGTAACAAACAAAAGGCACATACCTTTGAGTGCGTTGTGTATTCTGTGATTCTGCCAGGAGTCCTCGATGAGCAGCATCTGCAGCAGCAGGTCGAGGTACGGCCTGAGCTCGTACGTGTAGGAGTACGCCACCTGCCACAGCAGCTCACTCAGAACTGTCGACGAGAAGTGGGGGTTCTCCCAGCAACAAAACTGTGGGAAAGAACAGGAAAATTTTACATTGAAAGTAATTCTAGCTCATTTTCAGGCTCCCAGCAAGACAACTACAGGAAAGAAGACTTTTTCCTGTAGTATCTTTAAGAGCTTTTAACCCATTTTCCATATCCCAGAAACAAAACTGATGCAGGAAGAAAAATTCCAACTGTTTACAAAAAAAAAACAGAGGCAAGTACGTGTACAGACGCTAAAAATGTCCAAACCTGAACAAGACTGCCAAAGAAAGTGGCCTATTTTCTGGAAGTATCATAGTAATAAAGTTTATATACTCAATTACAATAAAATGAACTATGTGTACAAGAGTTTCAGAGAAAGCTGCACTATTGTGTTCTGGTGAATCAGAGAATCAACAAAGGAAAAGCTGGCTCCAAATTAACATGTCCAACATCTCCTAAAGGATTACATTTAGTTTCGTTCCTTACCCGTAGTAACTTTGTTGTCTCCTCTGAGTTGTTGCAGTCTTCTATCAGCTTCTTGACGTAGCTTGTTCTGACGAAGAGGATCTCGTGGACTTGAGGTTGTAGCGGCATGATAGGTTGCTGACACACGGGGTCACCGTGGGGGTTCGCTAGGGGAGGGTTGCCCTGGATACACAAGAAAAACATGTCTACACATGCTTCAAGTCCCTTATGGCAACAATGAATGTGTTTAAAAACATTATGGCACTGCCACGATGTTTACACCAAAAAAAAATAAACAAAAGCAATTGTAATACAAATACACAGTATGAATTTCTTCCAAATTATCCTAACAAAAGGAAAACTGCTTGTGAAATAGCCTACCTAATAGGATCGTTTTATACCACCTTATAAAATACATGTGACATATTCTCTCCTAGTGCAGGAAAGTTTAGAAGAGCCATACCTAAGGTACATAGTACTTAGTGATGAGAATCTGGTCTTATGCAGCTTGTACTTACTGTACAAAACATGTATGTTACATCTAGAGGTGGTTTATCAGTTATAACAAACAGATGAACTCACAGATATAGAAGACTGCATGTATTTGGAGACGTCGCAGCAGCGGACCAGCAGGGACACGACAGAGTAGAGCTTGCCCAGCTCGGCGTACTGGTACTTAATGGGGGGTCCCGGACCCTCGTCTAGCGCAACCAACATGAACATGGCAGGGACGTTCAGCTTTAGCAGCTGGGTTCTCTGGAAATCCAAACAGATAGTTTAAATTAGCATTTTTGTAACAAATGTGCTACGTGCAAGGCTAAGTAAGAGACCAATTCTATCTATAGGTACTGAGCACTAAGTCTGGTTTACTGTTAAACCATCTCTTCTCTTATATAGCTTGTCCATATGCCAAATGGATCTTTATATAGAGGTTGAATGTTACCTTGAAAAAGCTTTGCGAACAGGCCCCAAAATATATCATTTTTACAGTTTGAAGTGGTGCTTTTCTCTTTTGGTAACAAAAATTCCTACTGCTTTGGCATGAAAAATTAATCTCAACACTAGTGCTCTAAAACATTTTTTTAACTTATGACCAACTTTATTCAAGATACAATGGATTGAGACAAATAAACATGTATACATGTGCACTGCTGGCAATTTTTCTTGTTAGTGAACTCTTACCTCCGGCAGTCCGAGGTTTGCATACATGAGGAAGAGGTGGAAGTACTGAGTGAGATGTCTGCCGTGTTCGGAGACCTCCTTCTTCAACAGAGCCAGTACAGCCGTCAGGAGGTGGTCACTCAGGGTGGCGTTGGCATCGATCACAGCAGGAGCTACATGTAATATTGAACAGACTAAATAAGACACAATGTAGCAATCCAAAAAGAAAAATGATAGTAGAAGTGCTGCAAACTAGCTACATGTATCTTAGCAACGTGGCATTAGCATCGATCACAGCTGGGGCTACAAAATACATGGAACACATGAAACAATACAATGTAGCAATCAAAAGAGAAATGACAGCTATCTTGAAATGTGGCAATATCATTGATCAGAGCCAGGGCTATATGTACATAACAGACAGGTAGGACTTAACAGTCTGATCTCTTTTAGTGTCTTCAAATGGTTGAGTGGGATGGCTTGCGGACATGAGATCCATGAGGTTACGGGTTAGATTCCTTACACTTCTAGCTAGATGCTGTGTCCTTGGGAAAGGCACTTAACACGACTTTCCTTACTCCACTCAGGTGTAAAATGGGTGTCTGACTTTGGAGGTAAAAGGCAATGGCCAAAATTGTGCCAAAAACAGTGGATTAACAAATGCAACTCACTGTCCCTTAGGCCTCAAAAAAGCCTTTACAAGTTACCTTTGCAAGTTTCTCAAACAAAGGAGAGTGTACTTTATGATTTCCTACCTTGTTTTCCTGGTAGCAAGGGAGGTGGACATGGGCCGTCGTCTCTTGAGAAATGGGCCAGGAACACTATAATCTTTGCAAAGGCATTTCGCACCTGAAACAAGAAAGACAATTGTAACTTGTAACAACCACCTTTCACATTCAATTCAGCTAATGACTGGGCATCAGTTGTACAATGAGCAAGCTGGCAATTGCTTTATTTCTTCATTCATTTGCAAATTCATTCAATCAATCTATCAGTCTATTAACCTTTTTTCTTGTATGTATGTGGTTTAGAACGATAACACAAGAAGCTATTGACAAATTTTCATGAAACTTGTTAGGTGGGTAGGACTTGATGAGACCTCAAAATGATTACATTTTGGGCTTACTAGCGGCATGTTCAGTTATTTAATCATTCATTCGTTCACCCTCACCTCAGAACTAGGGCACTCGAGCAGGTATTCAGAGAAGCGGCTGGGGTGACTGAACAGCACGTTGTGAGCGAACCAGCTGCGGACTGTACGACTGTGGCGCAGCAGCACGCTCAGGGCATCGTACCACTCATTTGCTGAGCCCCTGGAATCATACAAGTCACAGACCATGTTATAGACAGAATGTCTTGACCAAAGCCGTAGAAAAAATTTGGGTCTATCATTTCGCTGAGCCCCTGGAATGATGCAAGTTACATAGTATTTATAGGCACTATATATGACTAATAAACTGGTAGACATACAAATTGGTAAGTATCTAATACCAGCTCAGACAAGGGCAAGAAATAGCCATGCCTTCAAGTACCAGAGGTTTTTATAGACACAACAGAGCTCTGGTCCAAACCTGGTGAGTCAACACTTTGTGTTGGAAACTAGTTTGACTTACTAATCTGTTTTATATTTTAAGCAATTACTACAAAGCACCATTGCACCAATTACTACAAAGCACCATTGCAAACAAAGGCAAGAAAAATGTCAGTTCAACTTCTAGGAAAGGTTTTCACTAAGCAGTTTTAGGATCCACAGCTGAGTTTCTTACCTGAGAGTCTTCTTGGTGTGGAACCCTGTGGTGAAGAGGAACTTGGAGGCCAGCTGGATACTCAACATGGCCAGCTCCTCTACTTCTCGGCTCTGGGAGGGAACAAAATTATTTATCACTAGTCTTTTTCAAAAGGAAAACTTCCTAATACTGAAACATAAACACTATGAAAGGTTATTACATGTGCTACACATTGCAAGGGTAACTGTCAAAATGTTTCAAACAACAATAAACTTCTCACTCACTATTTTGCCAAACAAAGAAATATCTTTAAGAACTTCACCCATATAGAATCTATTTTATTAAAGATTTCCTACATCTTTATTTCTTAGAATCTAGAACATCTAGACCTTACCAGTTCCTTCTGTCCAGGACAAAACTACTCATATCAAGACACAGTTAAAGAATAACATTTCAAATGTTGTTTTCTATTATGTTGACCATTACAATCAAAACCTTACAGTTTGTCCTGTCCTAGACAAAAAGAATCACATCACTTTCTATGCAAAGTAAGGAATGAATACTAATAATTCATATATCAGTTCCTGTTATATTGACCATTAAGACAAAGACCTTACCAGCTCATCCTGACCAGGTTGCAGACTCATGTAGTGGGCGTTACAGGTGATGAGTTTGCGCATGAACTGGAAGTACTCCTGGCTGTACTGCATCTTGTTGTGCATGAACTGGACGTTCTGTTTCCTCACCGCCCGCTCGATGGGCAGAGGCATGCCAACACCTAAACCTCCCTTATTTTCTGGAACAACAGAGAAAAATAGATCAACACTCAGGTTCTGAAGAATACGGGAAAATATTTAAACATTGACACTGCCTCTACCTCTTCATTTTCTATACCACCACTTTTAAGCTAAAAAGAAAATCCTACAATTTTCCAATTACTACTACTAAAAATGTACATTCCTACTCTTAACGACTTGAAGCTAATTTTCCAACAATGCCAAAAGGCAAATGAAAGTTACTACATACTGCGCTTTTGTCCTATCAACAAATTTTATCTTTGCTAGTTCACTTCATGCTGATTATTGCACACTCTTCGGTGAAGTCTACTAAAACTTTGATCATAAAAAACATTTTATCATGTTTGCCTCCCTACCTGGTGACAATTCTATACAGTATACTTCTTGACACATGTTCAATGTTTCCTACTGATTACTATACATGTACATGGTATCTACATCTTTAGCAAAGTCTTCTTAAGTCGGGAAACCTTTTACTGTCTTTCCTTACCTAGTGACAATTCTTCTATACTTTTAGAGACATGTTCGATGTCTCCTACGTCGTAGCGCTCGTAGAACAGAATGTAGGCGTTCCACCACCTCTTCTGCCGTCTGTAGGACATTCTGGAAAAGGCCACAGTCAATATAAACTTTGACAATACAATGTGCAAGGTAAATAAATGCTTGTATTCTGACAAATTCTTTCAATTGTTTATAATTCGGACTGCTTCTATTGTTTCTTTTCAAACTCTAAATTTCGTTGAGTCACAACTTCTTAATTCTTTAGAGTTATCAAAAGATATAAACACTTTTCATCACCTCAAAATACTTTCCATGATGTATAGAAAAATTACATATTGTGAGCATGTGAAAATGTGAGGGCTTTAAGTCACTACATGTGAAAAATCATCAAATTTTTGTATGGTAAGATACCTGCAGTTAATTTTACACCTATCAGTTAGTTTTACATCTTTTTTTCCTTATTTTTTCGAATACTATCTTTTTTGTTGGAAAAAGTATGCAAAGCAGGACTAAGTAACGTTTGTAAGTGTAGTCCGTAGTAAACACACTGTCCATGAATGACCAGTTCAAACTATACAGCACCTTTTTAACATGTGGTCAAACACCTCGCCCATGTACTCCCCACCGAAGCACTGGTTCTTGATCTCCTCATCATCGTCCATCTTACACTCCGTCACCTCCCCGTCATCAAACTTGTACCAGCGCAGAGCACCCTCGGGCGACCTGCTGGGGTAGACACAAACACACGTCGATGAAGGTTAGACATCCAGGTCACGAAATACACAAAAAACTGTTACCCAAGCAACTGGATAGGTTTGACTAGGCTTGAAACAGTCAGACTTTCAAGCAGCATCCGCTACTTTTTGTCAGTGACGTACTAGTGGATGCTACATGAAACATCTGAAAGTTTTCAATATCGATCCAGTTGCTTGAGTACTATTTATTCATTCATTGGTTTGGCTGTTCAACACACACAGTCAGGGCAGCCCAACTAGCCTGTGGCTATTAGAAAGGGCTTGTCCTGCTGACAAGACAAAACATTACAGCAACATATAAGGTGGCTCGATAATCTATTACATATTGCTTGAGTACTAGTTTCATTGTGTAACGCAAACACAATTAAAAAAAGAATTCACATTTTCTGGCCTGACATTTTACAGCTTTTCTAGTGACCATATTACAGACTGAGTGTCTGTAGTACCTCTGTATGATGTAGGAGTAGTAGTGACCACCACTAGCCTGACCACTGTGTACCAGGATGCCGGTCAGTCTGTATTTAGTACTGGGTGGCTCGGCATCCTCATTGTCTGGGCTCTCATCATCTCCATGGATCTCTTCCCCTGGAAACACACGGGCAAAAACACAACTTAGTTCACATTGTCTCTACAGTACAGTTTTTGTATTTACACTCTGTAATGGTACTCCATTTTCCATTTAGGACTGAAAAGATCCATAAGGTTACAACACATAGCCCGATTGCCTATTTTATTCTAGTCTCTTTCGTCCTCTCTGCAAATATTTGTAGCAAGGATGAAAGAGAATAGACAGCTAAAATTGGAGAAGAAAGAGACTCCGCAACTAAAATAGGTTTGGTAACCAGGCTATAGACCAGGCTATAGGGAAAACTAGGTTGAAGGAAAACATCATTTGCAGTTATTTTATATCCCTTAGATGTCGGTATGGGTAGTTATTTCGAAAACAACTTACCTTCAATTTTAGCTAGTCCTTTAACTGTGTAGGGCTCCATGTCAAACTCACGAGGAAATTCAAAGTAGTCATTGAACTTGATTGCACATTCCCTGGTAACAGAAGGACAACTGGTCAGTACATCAGGTTTCCATTTTGCCTTGTCTTCAGCAAAGGAAAATAAAAGACACTTAAGTACTTGTAACGGGTTTGGTGAATTTTTGACTCCACTAGACTAGAGGTTCAAGATTAAGCAATTGAAACTCACCTTTCCCAGTCGTAATCAAACCTCTTCAGCTGAATGGCTAAAACTTGGGGAAGTTTCTTTATACACATTCTTTTCACAGTGTCAACCTGAGGGAAAACAAAACATTAATTGGATTGTACCATTTTCAAGTCCTAAAAAAATAGCACATAGCATAGGAAAGAGAGAAGAGGAAAAAAGAGAAAAAGGTATCTTTGACACATTTACTGTTGCTGTAGGACTTAGAGACTGGTATTTGGTTTGGTCTTAGTTTTTTTTAAGGAAACAATATGTTGCAGCCAAAGGCTCCCAAAGGCTGAAGTTTAATTTTGTGCAGTGTAATGTACAATGCGATGCTGTGTTTTTCCAGTTGCTTACCTTCTTGTTACACTTCTCACAGTGGTAGGCGTTGGCCCCCTCCAGCAGGTCCCCTTTAACGTACTGCTCCAGGGAGTCCAGCAGGTTACTGTGGTTCCTGATGTCTACATTCAGCGTTGTGAACGACTCTTCTCTCGAGTATCTGCAGAGAAAGACAAACATATTTCCAATCATTAGTTGTTGTTTTTCATCACTTTTCTTTAATGATTTGTCTGACATTATTTCTGCAATACAGTCAAGGCTTGGACCTTAAACAAGGTAATAGCTGAATTTATCTTAAGTACATGTATCTCACAGCATGCTGATATCTGTAAGACAATAAAAAAATTCAATGTCGCTGGTGGAACACAGCAGGCTGGTTCTAGCTATCTATGGATGGTACTTGAAAAATAAAGAAACGTCATGTAGCTTTTTTGGGGACTATTTCAACGTACATGTATGAAATGATGACAAAAACGTGTTAAGAAGGCAGAATATATCCATATCAGACAGATTTCCTCATGCAGAATATTTTTTTTGTTTTGCCACGCTGATATTGCAGGGGTTATTGTCTATAACTTAATATCAACAGTTTTCCTTAACCCCTACCTGTGAGGACAGTCTTTGCAGATCTTCTGGTCAGCGAAGGATCCTCCCAGCACCTTGGAGAGGACAGGAGTGTAGCCGAGTGTCTTCAAGGCTTCGTCTAGACTGTCTACCAGGCTGTTGAAGAACTCTAGAGCATCGTGTTGTTCTCTAAGGTTTACTGGTTCTCCCCATAATCTGCAAAATGGAAGATAGTAACAATATTCTCGTCACCACCCATTAAACTTTAACTGTCCAGGGAATGGAAAAAGTGTTAAAGCAACTTCAGTTTAATGCCACAGATCTTTCCTTACTTGCTAAGCTCCCATATGAGAATGCAAAATGTGTGCCGATTTAAAAATGACAGGATTCAAAACCTATCCAGTTGCTTGAGTAACTGCTTCCTTGTGTATCTCATAACTTGGATGTCTAACCTTCATTGACACATGTTAAAACTAAATCTTGTATGACAGCCAAATAAACTGTGACAGTTTTTTTAAGAATTTTGCTTCAGTTTGTGCTTTCCAAACTAGTTAAACTTAAAAAAAAAAACATTTAACCAATACTTCTGTGAATGATCCTTACCTAAATTGTTTCCAAAACCCCCTTGGTACATAATACTGGAGCTTGCTAGCAGCTAGGTGGCCAAAGATGGCCTGGATCTGACGTAGAACACCCATGTCGTACTCCTTCCTCCCCTCCTGTTTCCCTGCAGGCTTGTCATCCATGTGGAAACTCTCTCGCTCTTCTCCTGGGTCGATGTTACTCTGGAGAGTTGGAAAAATGGCAAAAACAAGACAGGGTTAAGATTTCTGTCGTCAAGGAAATGTTTGTTCACACCGTTGTGATTTAGGTGCACCTAGATATGATACTCCTGTTTCTCTCCTCACTTGTGACTGGAGTGGTTTTGTTTTTATCAAATATGATAAATTTACAGAAATTTTGTCAAAGAGGAATGGTGCATTGTGTAGAATCTCTTCTGAACTTACATAATGAGTTTAAGTGTTTTGAAACAGAAAGCTTAGAAATTTTGCAACTCCAACAAACCCATCAAACAGCTTACAGATTTAGCGAGAGAAAATTTAGATGCAGAGTTTGATTGGTCGTTCCCACCTTTGTTGTTCTGCACTTTGAACTATGAGATTCCTTTTATGAACAAGTCAAGTGTTTTTGTTTTTCTAGTGTGACATATCATGTTTACTGTTCACCAAGAACTAATAAAAACTTCCTTTCTGCACACCACAGCACACATACATGTTAGCTGCTTTTAATAGCAGCTTAACTGGAACAAAAATAAAGAATTCTCTTTTTTTTACTTTTCCAGATCTAACCATGAATGAGATTTACAAATACAATGTAACTGGACTTTAAATAGAAAACAAGTTTTAAGAACATGCTCAACAGATTCAAAGCAAACAAGAGGTGGGAAAGATCTCCATCAAACGGAAACCCCGTGTTTTTAACCTGGATAATCTGTCCTCCCTGCGAACCGTCAGCACTCCGCGTCGAATCAGCAGCCTCAGGGAACGAGAAACAGGAATATCGTTACTGATGGTGTCAGCATTTCACTCCTTAGTGCATTTATATACAAGTCTCATTTTTCAAGATAGAGACAAGATAGATAAATACGATTTGAAAATTTATTAACTAAAGAAGCTCTAACTTTATCTTGTTTATTTTATCCTGTTTAGAGCAGTGCAGTTTGTAAAAAAACAAATCTTTCATACTTTTCATTTGTGTTACCTCCCTCTTATATTCACAGTAAGGGCCCAGTCACATTCATTGTATAATAACACGACTAATCGCAAACAGAACATTCTTGGGACAGTCTTGTATGTATCTTGAAAAAGCTAGCTGTCTTGTAATGGACAAGGCTGCCTTTGATCCTTGTCAGCAGTAGTTGGTTTTGTCACAGACTGCTTGAGAACACAGCAAACTGTAGTACTACAACCTACAATGATTGTGACTGTGCCATAAGATTATCAAACAAAACGCTGGGTTTCCAGGGTCCTACACAAAGACCCCGTGTATATACCCTCACACAACCAACCTCACTGTCCTGCTTCTCATCTCCGGACAACTCCTCATCCATGTTGTCATTAGCAGCGCCCTCTGCTGTCAGGATGCCAGATCGCACCGAGTTGATCATGTACAGCTGGGAATGGGGAAGAAATAAACATTGTTAACTTCTTATATTAGCAATATGCAGACACAATTTTTTGTTGTGACCTCTCCATCACAAATTCATAATTCTTGTATAACTACTGTACTCTGTACTACAGGACTGTTTAAATTACGAATTCAAAATACAAGCAAAAACTTTCTTTTCACTCCTATAATAAAAATATAAAAATAAACAAATTTACAGCAGCTTGGTAGTAAAGTTGCTTGCTATGTGAAGTAAGAACTTAACAATGGTCATATCATGTTCAAAGGAAAACTCATTTCTATTTGTAAAATCTTAATGTATCATGATGCCAAAGTTTCGAAAACACATAAATATTTGTTGTGTGCTGTAAAACAATTCTGCAGTACCACATAGAACCACTATGAGGAGCTGCCCACCTGTTGTATGACAGAGTTCATGTAGCAGGTGGCTCCGGCGTTCTTCAGTCCCACAAACCCCTTCACAGGTCTGGGTCCAACCGGCGGCAGGTACTCCCACTCTATCAGGGGGGCATCGCGGTCTGAAGAAAAAAACATTAGTAAAGGATTTTAGGACAGTACAATGTAGGAAATAGAAATATATACTGGTATTTCTATTTAGGGAAGCAAACTGAAAAGCTAATCTTATTAGTTTTGACAAAAAATTAATATGTTTACATTGTAGTATCTACAGTAGGAAATGTTCGCTGTACTGGAAAAATTCTTGTTTTGAAAACACAAGAACTTTCACTCTTCTCAGTAGCATGCAAGGCAGTGTAGCAACAACTGACAGCATTCAAACTCTTTACTTTGGTTCTACACACCACATGTTACCACAAAGAGCAGGGACAGTTTTAAATGCAAAATATCCATGGCAACTTCCACCCTTACCTGAGTAGTACATGTCAGTGAGCATGTCAGATCCCTTACCTGAGTAGTACATGTCAGTGAGCATGTCAGATAGCAGCTTGAGGTTGGGCACACAGCCTGTACACAGGGTCACCAGCAGGTCGAAGGCCGCGTTAGTCGTGTTGGAGGTGGAGCAGACCGGCAGGGCCTGTTCGCTTGGGTACTCCCCGCTTTTTCTCGCCTGCAACACGATTTTCGACGCCGGAAACAGGAACTCTTCAACCAGCTCCTGAAACAAACGGGATTCCTAAGACACCGTACGTTCGGGAATGCATCTACAGCAGCGACACCTGTGCTGCAGTGCAATGTGAACCAGTCAGAATTGCCCTCAGGAAGGTGACAGACTGAAGGTCACCGAAACGTTGGCTGAATAAAAGACTTGGTTGTGTAAAAACGAGTCTTTTTAATCGGGATACCTAAGACAGGGCTCCAAATACTTTTTTCTCAGGTTGTTCACTGGGCAACTTAAGACAAAAGCAAGCTATTCCGTCTATAAATTCCTCCAAAAATACTGTTTTAAACACTTGACAATTTCTAGATTTTGATCATGCCATTTTAACATGACCTCACAGCTTCTAAATACATATCAAATAGCCTGGTGGTGGGAACATGGCCAAAAGTCATTCAAAACACACAAAGATTCTAAAAGATGACACTATTCAAAGTCTCAAAACCTATAAATATACAGAGGCAAAAGCAGGCATGCTGAAGTAAAGGGAACATTTTCAAAAGAACATATAGTCTGAAATGCACACATCTTGTTCCACCAACATATTGCAATGTTAGGTATCATCATGATCATATGACTGCAGTCTGTGGTTTAAATGAGAAACAATGCCAGTTCCTACCTTGATGAGATTAGCCCCTCCCTTCTCCGACCCTATGTGGTACTTTTTCTCAGCAGGTTGGAAACTGAGCAGCTCACAGGTGACTCCCAGGTGTCCTTCTAACAGGGCCTCGTCTATCACATTTTCTAACCCTGACTGTTGCACCATGTCCTGGGGAGAAATGTGGTAAATATCATCACATGAAAATGAATCTAAATACAGTTCAGCTGACCGAACATTAAGTCATGCTGAGGACAGAAGCTCTACATTACATATTATACACTAGAAAAATTTCCTAAGCTCTTTTTGACAAGAACAGCTGAATAATGGAAAGTAAACCATGGCTTAACATCCACTCGTACTACTCATAGGGACTGCAAACCTTTCAAATAGCTTTCAACTCAGGCGAGCATTAACAGCTTTTAACTGTATACTATACAGTTCAAAATCCTTCAAAATATGTTAGATGATCTAAAATTAATTCTCTGACTTACCCTGACTCTCTTTAGCCACTGGATTTCATTGTTCAGTAGAACTTCAGCAGTGGGGAGGGGGGCATTGCTGGCACATGCATAGTTTAGCAGCCTGGAGAGAAAAAATTGACTTGTTTGAGAATGTGAAACAATTGTTCTAACTACAATGTTGAAACTACCTTAAACAAATTACCTTAAATTAGCTAAGCTAGCAATGTTATACCATTATTAAAGACTTTAAGGATGGAATTCTCAACACTCTTGAGATTTGCAAAGCCAATATACTCACCTACAAAGTAACTGAAAATATTCTGTTGAACTTCTAGCATGGTCCTTGGCTGTACCCTGTTGGGAACATGGAAAAAGAAAACATGTTAAGTTACAACACTCATACTGTTTCTTCTACCAAAGAAGGGATTAAGCTAATGTTTTTTTTTATACAGACTAGTACCTACAGTTTATACTTGAAGATTCTTCAGGAGTGTGACTTACCGAGAGGACAGTGAACAGAAGAGTGATGAAGAAGACCAGAGGTCGATGACCTGTGCAGCACTTTGTGGCCATGAGGAGGAACTGTTCAGCTGCAGACACTCGCACCGCTCTGAAACGGACAAACAACATACATGTATACAGTATGCTTTTATTTTCATAAGAATACAGAAACGTTTCAGACTCGTCATACCATACTAGTGTCTAGTTTTACTCAGTAAATCTCAGTTCAAGCCTGAACAACCTCTTTGCAACGCATCAGTAGTTTTTTTTTATGATATCATAGTCTATGACACTAAATGGTGTTAGTTGAGAGAGCTTAAATATTTCCTTTTGTCCTAAAGGCACTGTGTACATTGTAGGCCTGAGCTTATCTTAACTAAATGCAAAAAAGGTTTGAGATGTTACATTTAAGATATAGTTGTACACAACACAACATCCTTACCTGCTTTTACAGTGGAGCAGTAGGTCTATGATGACACACTGCCACACCTTGTCCTTACTGAGAGCCTCCAGAGCGACAGGACACAGCGCTAGTGACACAGTCAGCACCTCCAGGGCCTCCTTACACACCTGCACGTCCTCACTGTCAGGCAGCTTCGTCTGACCGGGCTGCGAATACACACGGAACTGAACATACGCCACAGGGTTTATTCAGAGTCAGAGCAAATCAGGAAACAAGGAGAGAAAAGACTCAGAGAAAAGAAGACTTGGTTGAAGGTCCAGGCATTTTTTTTCATGCAAACCAATTTCACTGTAAAGCTTCTTGAGTTTTACTAGAGAAATGCCACAGCATTGTAAAAGCTGACAATCAATTTTCTTGATTGTCAGCAATGACATGCCTTTATTTTCACGTGGATAAAACAACTTTCTATGGAATTTGTTGTTCAGATTTTCAAAACATTTGAATACATCTGCCATAGTCCTTCATCCACACACAAAGACCAAAACCAAGTAAAAGAACCACCAAATAAATGTTTACAGAGTTACAATTTACAAACAGAGGTAAAGGAATAGAACTTGAGAAAGAAAAAGTACAGGAAAAGTATATCTCTGAGCACCTGTACAGTTGTCTATGTTTTACCTTATCGAATGCCTTGTGTATCTCCTCGTTAGACCCATGTACCAGGTGCATACTGCCACTGGCCACGGCCCAGGAGATCTTCTGGATAGCCTTGATAACTGGCATGTCAGGGAGGGTGGTCATGGCCTGGAAAACAACGAAGGCCTTGTGAACAAAAATGCCATAGATGCAGTTTTAACTATCTACAGGTGTTTGGATGCTGTCGTATGCTATTGTACTTCCTCAAGAAGTGTTCACGCTATCTAGTACAGTCAGATGCCCCCACACTACAGCCAGGATACAGTCTGGCCAATTTGACACTGTCTTTGCAGCCACTAAGAGATCTGCTTGAACATTAGGCTGTCTCATTCCTACTAAATACCAAGGTTTAGATTGAGTTGTGGATTTACATCCTTACATGCTTTTACAGTGGAGCAGTATTTTGATGATGACACACTTAAGTTTCACGATTTATAGTACAGTTTATTATCTAAGGTTTAAAAAAAGGCTTACATCCTCCACACACTGCTGTCCCAGGCGTAGGGCCACGTTCCTGAGCATACACTCAGCGTTGGGGTTGGGGATGTGGTGCAGGGCCTGCTGCAGCACGATGGCGTGGTTATGCGCGCTGGCCGACACCGTCCCGGAGTGAGGACTGTCCGGCTGACACGCCTCCGCTACGTGCTGCACCATCGCGTAGCCAACGGTCGTCAGCATAAGTTTGCCAACTTTTAAAACCTGCAGGTATGCTGACCTGAGATGGGGAGAAAGACTGTATAATGAATGGATGAATGTTGGCATGCTTCTGCCACATGCTACACCATGGCATAGCCAAATGTCGTCAACATCAGCTTTCCAACTTTCAAAACCTGTAGGTACACTGACCTGAGATAGGGAAGGGGATATTGTCTTGTTATTTTAATATAATTATAATGATGAACTTTATTGATGCAACAAAAAGTTCAGCGACTTTCGTAAGGTCTAAAACTGCATGTAGATAAACAGACAATACATGGATAGAACAAAATTAACCTACGTACAAAACAATAGATGAGTCAACTATGTAATGTTAGCTGTACGGCAATGTAATCCCAAGTCTTTTATGTGCGTGTGTACTCTCCTGGAAGACTACATTGTAGCTGTCACTTGTCATCAAGTCTAAACTTTTAAATGATTTACCTTCTGGTGTCCATATCAGCATTAGGGAGAAAGTTGTTCTTGGTCAGCATGTTGAGTACACAGGACACTCCTCCACTCTTCAAGAAGTTGATCTGAAACTCCAGGGCATCCTCCCCCAGGGGCTGGTTGGCTGGCATCAGTAATGCATAGACAACCTGGGAACAAAGGAAAAGGAGTACCTTTGGTTATTGTTTTCTTGTTGTTGAAGAGGTTCATCAGTCACGCAAGAATACAGTTAGTAGCATATTCTTCAATCAGTGACTGTTTCTGTAAGTTAAAACCAGGTACCTCCAAATTTTCGATGTCGACTGTACATTTTGTTCTAGCAAGACTACGTCACTCTGTTATCAAGATGTACAGTCGACATCGAAAATTCGGAGGTACCTGGTTTTAACTTACAAAAACAGTCACTGATTGAAGAATATTCTACTGTTTTTTTGTTGAAATCTAACTTTACTACGATGCTTTAAAAAGTTATACTTTAATGCTTATTGCTCATCATGTTATAAAATCAGCATCTTTGTAGATCTTACCTCTAGATGATAGAGTACTTGAGCCGGTGACTGTGAGAAGAAGAGAGACTCCAGGGAGGGGGACAGACTCTGTTCTCCCAGCTTAGCATGGTCCAGACACAGGGCACGTAGCTTGTCAACTGTGTGGGTGTCTAGAAACAAACAACATCATGTTTCACACAATGTATGGTAAAGAATGGCTTAGGTTAGACTCATAGACTCAACTTACCAATTCTAGGTTCGTTTGTTTGTTCTTTTCACACTCATTGGCCACAGTCAACAAGACCCAAAGGCAACTTGAAGGCATGACCTATGAACCACTTTAAGGTTACTGCCTTACAGGTTACATGAATTGGACTGTGACTAGTGATGCATACCTAAACCCACATTTAGGTTCAGGTCCGGATTCAAGTCCAGAGGTTTAGGTTCAGTTCCAGACTTGTAAGTCCGGACCTAAACCCATGGTATATACAAAATTGCATGTTGGCAACCTTGTCATGTTGTCTGGGTGAAACTTTGGCCACATAACATGGAGGCCGGTACTTGAGGATGCCCGATGGCAATGTTTTCTTCATTTTGCAGCAAAGATTTTGCAATCTACGGAAGGTTTTAGGTGGTTTAGAAAGAAAAGGGGTATGTGAAATGGTCTTTTATGGTAATAAGTCCGGACTCGGTTCTTGACTTTTAGGTTTTTTTGGACTTGAACCTAAACATTCTTACAAGTCCGGATCCAAGTCCAGTGAACCAGTATGCAGCACTAACTGTGACAGTATCTCTTCTCCCTAAGTCAGAAACATCATGATTGAAACAAGTTTGACTCACTGAGAATGAGAACTAACAGACCCAATAGGACAAGCAGGGGCTACATAGGCTGCTCAGGAACATTCCCTAACCCATTTAAATTTCAGGTAATGGTGTACAACTAATGTGTTACATCAATCAGGAGTTGGGCTACCAGTTGTAGGATACAAATAAGCCCACCTAAAGGGCATCAGTTCGAGGAGTGAGTACATGGACATGAGAGGACATGACAGTGCTCATACTCCTAATCTTTACTGTACTGGATAAACAAAAAAGACTACGGAAGAAGTTTTCCCTACCTGCAGGCATGAGTTTGAGTAGTGATCGAGCTCCATCTCTCAGCTGTGGGATGGCCAGCGAGCTGCCCAGGTCTGACAACTGGAACAGGAACTGGGCATAGCGCTGCTGCTGGGCTGCCAACTGTGAAAGGAGTGGAAACATTATTTATTCTGTCTATGGACCATAAATTCATGGTTTAAATCCCATTTATCTGTTCTGAATTCTGATTTTTACACCACTTTACAGTCCTTTGTAAGGTCCAGTGTTGAAGGATAGTTTCATCTCCATGTTAATAAAATATCAGGGATTTTACAATTTTGGGAAGTTTCCAATGATGGGATTCCTGAATTCCCTCTATGTCAGCCTCTACTTGATCCTGCTGGCTCCCTGACAGCTTCTAAGACCTTTAACCACCTGTCATTCTGTCAGTCTTCCCCCTACCCATACACTGTAACCTACTCTGTCAACACACATGAACAAACTTCCAGCTCAGCCTGAACAGTTTAAGTAAAAACACTCAAACATACTTATTGCTAGGAACATGGGAAGCATTTGTGTAATATTAGACTCACTGTAGCTTGCACTTCAACAGTCAACAGAACCTGTGTGTTGGACTATGACTCATATTAGTGGTAATGCCAAACAAACAAGCAAAACTAAACTCACCACCCCCGGCAGACAGCTCTCTGCCTCCACGTTAGGTCCGTCGTACATGTTACTGGGAGAGCCCACAGACGAGTCAGACGAGCTGTCAGGAGAGGACGGCATGTTGGCTCCCACCTGGCACAGTTTAGCTGTGATCAACTGTACAGGAACAACAGATAACATTAGAACTACAGGAGACGACGGCATGTTGGCTCCCACCTGGCACAGTTTAGCTGTGATCAACTGTACAGGAACAACAGATAACATTAGAACTACAGGAGACGACGGCATGTTGGCTCCCACCTGGCACAGTTTAGCTGTGATCAACTGTGGAGGAACAACAGATAACATTAGAACTACAGGAGACGACGGCATGTTGGCTCCCACCTGGCACAGTTTAGCTGTGATCAACTGTGGAGGAACAACAGATAACATTAGAACTACAGGAGACGACGGCATGTTGGCTCCCACCTGGCACAGTTTAGCTGTGATCAACTGTGGAGGAACAACAGATAACATTAGAACTACAGGAGACGACGGCATGTTGGCTCCCACCTGGCACAGTTTAGCTGTGATCAACTGCAGAGGATGAACAGACAATATTTCAACTTTTGCAGAATAACATTTAGAGCCATAAAAAAATTCCATCTACACATGCAGGAAGATGCATTTTAGTTATTGGTAGACACAGTAATCCAGAGGATGGCATGTTGGCTCCCACAAAAAAATTCTTTATACCAATTCAGGAACTGGTGCAATGGCAAAGTGGGTAGAGTGCTCGCCTTGCATTTGGTAGGTCATGAGTTTGATCCCCGGCCGAGTACCAAAAACTATAAAAGAAAAACTATAAAAGACAGAAGAAAGATGTCTAGACTATGCATGATGTACAAAATGACTAATAAACTGGTGGATGTCCCAACTACTAAGTACCTAATACCAGCCCAGAAGAGAACAAGAAATAGCCACGCATTCAAGTACCAGAGTTATCAACCAAGGATTGAGGTGTTCAAGAATTCATTCTTCCCTAGAACTATCGCAGAGTGGAACTCACTGTCACCAAGTACAGTAGGGGCATTGTCAATAGATAGCTTTAAACAATGTCTAGAGCTAGAAGTTCAAGGGTTAGGTGTAACAAGTCGATCGGTGTAATATAGCCAGCTGCCGCCGCGCCGCGTGCCTGCGAAGCTGGTGTGTTACGCCGAAAGGCGGTTATACCGGCTATACAGATACAGATACAGATATAAAGACTTTGGTAGTCAGCTGGGGATCAAACTACCAAATGCAAGGTGAGCACTCTACCCATTTGGCCATTGCATCAGTTCCTGAATGGTACACACTGATTTCTCTGCTTAGCACTCAGCATTTGAGAAAAAGTATGGAAGTTAATCACACAACACTACCAGTAGACTAGCCCCTGTTGTAGCGAATCATTAACTGTGGGACTTACTGTTTTGTCTCTGAGTTGAACTTGTGAGATGAGTTTCCTGTCGTCTGCAGGGTCCAGCAGTTCTCCGTTTACATACAGGTCCAGCTTGGTGTTGGCGTTGTTAGCTTTCACTCTGGAAAAAACAGTTCGTTTTTGCAATTTACCATAAGGTACATCAATGTATAGTTAAACAAGAAGTTTCCTATCACACATTCAAGAGTTTATGGGAACTCTGCTAAAGATTTAGAACACCAGCAGTTTCTTCACATCAATCTCATCCATGTTGCTTTTGACAGTTCTACCTGTTACATCAATCTTGCTCTTTTCCAGAATGTTGCATTTTCATTTCTTGAAGAACTCTGCAATACAGTCTATGATCTTTGACTGTTTCATGCCATTTGCAAAAGCAACTTTCACCTTTCAAGCTTTGTCAATCGTTCTCATGCACCTCATATGTAACTTGACAACATTTGGAATGACCTGAGTGTTCTTAACAACTTTATACAAAACAACTAGTCTCTGGACTTTCCCATGCATCTGTGCTGAGCTGTTCCCTAACCTGGTGAGTATATGTCTCCGTAGTGCCCCCACAGTCTCATTAGTGTGAGACCAGACGTCCAGATCCTCCACCTGTCTCCCCTGGTTAGGGAACCGCACGATCAACGACACATGCTTCCCTCGACACGCTCTGGAAAACAAAGGAAATCATTCAATAAGTAACCTCAGATGGAAAAATGTTACCAACACACTACAAAGCCTGCAAAGAGCATATAGCCTTCTCTTTCCTGTAGGGCAATTCTACAACTGTAAAACTTTAAACTCCGAGTATATAATCATGGGTATGATATGAATCAGATACGGAAAAGCTGGATCTACAAAAGAAGGTTACATGGTGTGCCATGTACTTTCAAAATACTTTCTTTTCTCAAACACATCAAGACCTGAAAAACTCTTCAAAACTTATATATGTATGTCTCTGACTACTCTAACACACAGAAAACCTCACACAAGACTATACAGCATGCATTGGTATTAATTATGTATTTTAAATTAAACTTGAAATCTACACAAAATCTCACCTGGCCATAGGCAGAATAGTTCTCTCCTCTGTAAAGTCGTTATCATACTCGCTGATGTACTCTCTCAGGACACTCAGTACCCGGATCATACGGGTCACCTCTGTTCTGATGTCCTCCAGACTGTCCTTGTCGTTCTCCAGGATACATATCGTGTCGTACGCTGCCTTCAGACGGTCAAAACACGACTGGATGAAATCTACATGGATGTCAACCTAAAAGACACAAGAAGAGAGGTCATTATAACATACAAGCTTAAGTATACAAATAAGATGGTATATATTATGCACAATATACAAAATGTATCTTCTTGCACGGTATAAGTTACATACTACTGAGGAAATCAAATTGGCACATGGTTGTCTACTGCTGGTATAACCTTGTATTTCCTACATCCCTGCATTCCTATCAACTGTCCATGCATCTCGAAAAATCAAGAGACAATGATCACACTGAGGGAAACATCATGTAAAACAGAATTACAGAAACCTATAGCTTCAAGATCTTAATCCAAATTTCCTATTACGAGTGAACAGCAAATTCACCACCACATATTAAACAGGAGCCAACATTTTGCTGCACGTCTGTCAATGTATCATCATTACCAGGAAAATCATGATTGGTTGACAGTGCACTAAACAGTAACACATAAATTCAGTACGAATGTTCCTAGTAGGAGTTTTAATATTTCAAATTCCTCAAATCTCCCACCTGGTTAGTCTGTAGCCTGGGCCCCAGGTTGGTGTAAGTCTCCCTCAGCAGGTCTATAGCCTTGGCTGCGATCTCGTCCTGTCCCAGCAGGATGACTCTCCAGATGTACTCCAGACCGATCAGCTCCAGGTTGTCCATCATGTACGTACGACGCTTACACACCAGCTTGTTCTCCTTCAGGTTTACAGCTTTGAAGAACCGGTCAAAACATCTGCAGGAAGAAAAAAAAGCAAGAGAATGTTTATTTTAGATATTTATCACATTTTATCACAGAGAAAGATATAGATCAGCTCCAGGTTGTCCATCATGTACGTACGACGCTTACACACAAGCTTGTTCTCCTTCAGGTTTACAGCTTTGAAGAACCGGTCAAAACACCTACAGGGAAGGGAAAAGGTATCAAAGCATTTGTTTATTTCTTCATGACCTCCCTTCCACTGACATTCAGTTGAAACACTTTGCCTCCCGTTTTCTCCGTCTCTTAAATTTAAATACCTTCATCTTTCTTTTTTGCTTCAGTATTTTTCTTGGATTAACACTCTGTTAAAAGCCTTCATTTTTTTTTCATTACAAAGTTTGTTTGAGCATAGAGGCACTCTATGCTGGGAAGAAAAGAAAGAACGTTGTAAGAATCTCCAGACCTTATCATAAACTGAATGGATGAAGATGTTTGTGCACTTACTTGATGCCGTTCTCAGTAAGCAGTGCAGGGTCCAGCTGTAGAACGTTGCCCTCGAAGAAGTCTCTGTTGATCTCAGGGTCAAGGTCAGGCTCATCTCCCATTAGCTGTGAGGAAGAGAAAGGAATCTTGAAAATCTGGTAAAATACAGTTTGACAAAGTTTGTCACTTCCTCAAGATTTTATGTGCTATCAAGTGAAGTGGTGTGCAGACTAGCCCACTGGCGTAGCGGCAGCGTGCTCAACTTGGAACCAAGAGGTCCCGGGTTCGAGTCCTGACATGCCACTGATCTTGTGCCCTTGGGAAAGGCACTTAACACGACTTTCCTCACTTCACTCAAGTGAAAACGAGTATTGTCTTGTCCTATATTCGTCCTCTGCGTTAGTGGCGGCATAAAATAAGTTGATATAACTTGAGTGTGCCGTCACCATGTCTAGTCATCAAATGTTGGAATATAAAAAAAACAGTAAATGAAAGACTGGATACTAGTACTATTTTTAAGTACCAAACTTGCCAAACCACTCATTTTACCACTAACACAGTTCCCAAAACTTCTCACATTTCCTCACCTTAGAGAACCACTTGAAGCAGGCCTCCCTGTCGCTCACAAACACGGCATTCTCTGCCAGACAGTTCCAGATCTGTTTGGCCTGAGGAGCACACAGCCACAGCTGGCCGTCCTTCAGTAAAAACCTGTGCAGGAGAAAAATACAGCATTAAACAAGGGCTAGTTATCACAGAAATATCAGGACATCCTTCAGTAAAAACCTGCACAGGAAAAAAATGCAGTATTAAACATCATTCGTACAGAGGAACCCTTCTCTTGACTGACTCCAGTCTTTTCTAGATCTTAGTCTAGCACTGAACAACGGCTAGCTAATGTCATGACATCTATCGTGTTAACATAAAAATAATACAGCTCAAAAGGAAACTGCTAGGGAGACCTACAATTAAACTTGTCCATTGCTTTGCCAATATGTACTATTAAAGCCAGCATAATAAAATCATTACATGCTATCAAACAAATTCTTCAGTTATGCTTAAGTTCACAAACCAACAACACCTATCAAAATGTACAAAACTAAATAATTACATGCCAGCAAGTTGTTATTAATGTCAAAAAGACAGGTTTTATCTAAAATTAAGAAAAGTAAGAAACTCCTTACCTAAGAAAGTTGAGTCTCTCCTGCACCTGTTGTATATGAGTGTACCTCTCACTGGGCTGTACAACGTTCGGGTCCATCTCAGGGTTCTCCTTCAACATCCCCCGGACTTTGTTCATGTAAGACGCCAGATTTTCCGCCACTAGAGTCACCAGAGAATGAGTCTGTTGCAGCTGGTTTATAACCTCGTGTCGATAGTAAACGTGGGGGCTGCGCTGGGCGTGATTGTAATTTTGCGGGGCCTCGCCAAAAAGCTGGCAGATTTCGCGGATTTGTTTCAGCGCGGGAAGAACCCACTGATCGTTCTTGAGTTCGTCGACGAAGCGGTCGATCCACTGGGTCTTCTGGGCATCGCGGTCCTGGGAAAACAAGGTCTTGTGACGGAAAGGAACTCCACAAACCTAATTGTTTCTTTTCTGCTTTAGTCTGGCAGATAACTTCCTCACATGTTCCTATACAAATCTATACTCAAGTGTTTAAAAATGCATCCGTCTACCGATCTTAAATGTATGGACGTTTACATCTTGTCATCTTGATGTGTGTTTGCCTGACAGATTTCTATGACCAAAGAAAAAATTATTTTAGCCTGGATGCTATCCTACTTCATTTACCGGGGCTCCCAATTACTGACTCACACCCTTACTAAATAGAATGGCACCCAGGCTAACAATTTTTCCTTCTAATTCTATAAAGTTGCTGAACAAATGAAAAATGAAAAAATGAACATATTACAAGCAATCAATGAAAAACTCACTCCTGTCCGAAACCACATGCAACATACTCATTTGAAGTGATATCTCAATTGTTTATAAACCCTGCCGTGCTAGTTAAGGATTCTTATACATGTAATGCGCAAGCAGTAGCAGTCTTTCCAGCTATGTTAGTTGGAACTCTATTCCTCTGACCCAAGCTCTACCAACACCGCAACACCAGGCATCAAACCTGACCAGCTTACAGACATAACAATCAGATATGTACACTTGTGTTTGTAATAAAGTAAAGAAAGACATGAAGGATATCTAGTTATTCCAAACTGCTTTCAACTTGGGGTGTTTTAGCACTGATACAAAAGCAGAGATGGCTTCAAAAAGTTTTCAAAATATTTTCTTTCTTTGGTTTTTGTCCAGAATTCTATCCAAACTTGAGTCAACCTTTTATGTTTTTTTATTACACACAAAAATACAGCTTTTTTTGGTACTTTGGTTTTTGCTGTACACATCAAATAAAGTGGAAAGTTGAAAGAGAAACAAATTTCAGAAGAAAATCCTTGCCCTATCTGATGGTGTTGTGTCTGTATCCTGGTCTGACACTACTGATCTACAAGAACAAGAGGAAATGCCCTTACAGGTACCTGTGAACAGCTGTAGTCCAGGATCTTAATGTGAGCGCTCAGGGCCTGGTCCATGATGTCTGTGGGGACATCCTCACTGTGGGCCAGGTTCCACAATAGGTTTAACACCTAGATGGAGAGTCAATATAACACAGTATTGTAGAGTGTAAACTTAGTATTGACTAATGTAAACTTACTAGCACAGCACTAAAATGAGCACCACAGCAAACAATTCTGTCTGCTATACTGCTAAATTCTGCTATTTTCTTTGAATGTTCGGCAACTGGATTCTAGTCATGCAATTTTTTCTGTCAATTTTTTGTAACCCCTGTATCCCTTTCTAGTAGCCTCTGGTCTGTTGCAAAGCTCCAGGTACAAACTACAGACAAATTAACAAATAAACAAACACACACCTTGTGTGCCATGACACCGTCCTTGTCGTCCTCAGCCAGTCGTCTGATCAGCTCCAGTAACTTCTCTCGCTGCTTCTTACTGGCGTCTTTCCAGCTCTCCTGCAAATGGCACAGAAAGGAGTTTAACCTTTAGCACACTCAAGCAGTCATTTGGCTACAAGTCTCTATTGGTTATGGGGTTAGGCAGCAGGGAAAAGGTTGAAAACATAACACATCAAAGCCCAAGGGACAGATATGACATAAGACAAATAAGTTGGGCTACCGAGTATATCTTTTAACTTCTGTAAGCTTCTTCAGGGAGTAAATGTTAGGAAGAAGAAATATGTTTCAAAAAGACACAGAAGGAAAATGTTATAACACAAGACACGGGCATGGGTTTTGACACAACACATACACTGTGAATTACTTTTGCAAACAGATCTTAAGGGAAGTCTACTTATCTTGGGAAGGGACAATCTTGTCTTAAAGCACAATCTTGAAGATGTTCTTACCTTGAAGCAGTCGAAGAGATGGTCCAGTTGTTCAGGAGAGAAGTCCCAGGCCAGTTTGGCCAACAAGTCGTGGACATTTTTCACTATAGCTTCATGTTTGCCAGCCTGAAAACAGAATAAAAACATTACATAACAGTTACTGTAATTTGCCAAGGTCTAATGGTTTACAGGTAAACACAATCCAGAAGTACAGTTGTTAGTTCTTTGGAGGGGGTGTCAAGCCAGCTTTTCCAACAAATCAAGCATGTTAAGAACACAAAACATTCATTGATAAGAACAGTGGTACACCCATTTGAGCTATATCTCAATCCAATCTGTGCGTTACTTAACTTGTCTTGTTGTACTTACAAACTCTTCATACTGAACACTAGTATTGTGTATTGAGGATATACAATGTAATACAGTTCTGTGATACAAAAATTTTGAAACAAACGAAGTTGTTGCTCTACCTGTGCTGCCCAGATGTTGTCCAAGTCCCCCATGGTCAGAGCCTTCTCCTTGATGACAAATCGCAGGATTTTCTCCAGTTTCTCCACGTACTGAGGCTGATGCAGGCTGTCACGCAGCACGATGGACAGGACATTGTTCTGCTGGATCCATTCCTGAACAACACATAAAAACAAAATGTATCAATGGCCTGCCTAGTGTTAGATGTCCTAGTACATTTTAAGTCTAAAAAACTATTTCTGAAGTTCCAAACAAAGCTGCTTGGGAGCGGAAAATGTGATCACTTTTTCCTCAGGTTAATGGCTACCAACATCCAACGATTATCAGTCAAGTATCAGTCAATTGCTCATGTAGGCCATTACAACTTATGTCATACCTGGGCCGATTTTAGGCACATTTCGCTCGCATTAAAAGGTGTATTTTCACGAGTGGCTATGTCATACATAACATTCGCCGTATTGTATTCCATATTTATTACATCCAGCCCTTTATTAGAAGAGGAAGAAGAACTAGAGCAAAACTAATTGAGCAGAACAAACTAAGAACAGTTGTTACATCCAGCACTGTTGTGCTTACTGCCATCCTCTCTGCTGTTAGGAGGAGAAAAGAGGAAGAAGAACCAGAGCAAGAACAATATGTTTTCCTTCTGCAAAGATGAACATAAACCATAAACTAACAAGTTTTTACATCCAAACAAAATGTGCTTACCGCCATCCTCTCAGCAGTGAGCCACTCGTCCTCCTCCATGCCACTGTGCCGGTGTGTGTAGTACGACACGCTGGCGATCACTTTGTTCACCTCGTTTAGAGCATTCATCTTACCGTTGAAGGACGAGATCTGGAGCAATCTGCAGAGATGAGAAGCACAATTAAACATCTTAGTACTCAACCTATTGAACTAACCCACTGAAAAATCAAACTACCAGCATCACAAGCACTATGCCTTAAAAGTATTGTTTGAATTCATATTACATTGCAATGATCAATGGTTGGTCAAAATTCCCATGGGTTCAATTTGTTCTTCACACAATATAAATGAGCTTCTCTGATTTTGCAGGATGTATGTAACAAACATCATCAATTTCAGATGTTAGGAGCTGCCAAAAAGTAGTGAATGGTGCAGGCAAAATTTGTCTGGTGCAGGTTATTTCAAAAGTTACATGCACAGTGCAGGTATGCAGAAAAAGTATTTCAAACCCTTTAAATAAAATAAAATGAAAATGAAGTGAAGTATTTCCCCACCTGAGGATCATCTTGAGTCGGAACATCTCCAGGTTCTTCATGGTCTCCTCCTGGTTAGGGACGCGGGAGGCCAGACACTTGAGCGCCTTGATGATCTGAGACAGCTGGTCGTTCTTAGCCTCGTTCTTAGCCTCTTTCTTCAGCTCTTCGTCCGTCAGTCCGTCCAGGAACGTGGGCACGATGCCGATGATGGGCTGGAAGTACTCTTCCACGGTGTGGGGCGTCAGCAGCTCGTAACACTGACCCCACGGTCTGGGGGATTAACATTTGCAGATACCAGTCAGTATCAGAAAAAAATTACAAAGTGATCTCGATCAAGATTTAGCTCCCTGAAAAGCTAGTCTTCCACTGGTCGTGACAGAGAAGGTAGGTGCTATGTACAGTACATACAGGTTCAAGGTACCAGGGAAATTCCCTGAGTTCCCTAGTTAGCTTTAGGTCAATGCTGTATTTCTCAAACAAGAGAGCAGTGGAAAATTAAACAAGCAACAGGGTTTGTCTTTCATTTTCCTGATAGCTCAAAATTCAAAGACTTTCTGCTACACTTTTTTAGTACTTGTAAATCCAAGTTGGATACATGTATACAACACATGGAGAAAACTAAGTAAGACCTACTTGATGAGAGCTGCTATGATGGGCACATTGAGATGACCAGCCAGGAACCGTTCTTTGAGGATCTTGAACCCTTCTAGCTGGCCAAAACGGTTAATCAGATCCACTAGCCAGCCCTGGAAAGGTAACGAAATACATCAATTAGCATGCCGTATAGATCAACAGCAACCTTATCAAAATCTTTCAAAGACAATGTCTTCAGATATATGCTTTCAACACACTCTGTCCTTTGCTAAGTATGTGCCAGACACGACCAGACCTTACCTTAGGATTTCTGGGGTCAGGGGGCCTGGCAAATAGCTCATCATCAGCCAGCTGGGCAGAGAGAAGAAAAAGTTTCATTACAATTGTCAACACACTTCTGTAGCTGTAATAAAACAAACACTGTTTTTGTTTGCACAATTCACTAACAAACACACATCTGTGATCTAAAAAAAAACTTGCTGGAAGTTATGAAAATGCATACCTGTGTTCCAACCGGCACTGTTTCTGATGGTCTGGTGCCATTGTAGATATGAAATCTGTAAAAATCAAACAATTAGATCATGTACAAAGCTACATGATGTTAACAATAAAACTAACAAAATCGTATCATATAGATGTAAATTCAATAGGCTCTTCCCAGTATAAACAAGAAGAATGACATGTCCATTTACAAGTGTACTAAAAAATTCATGAGTAATATGCAGTAAAAGTTGTTTGAAGTTGTGCCTTACTTGCAGTGTGGGTTGAGGGCCATGGCTAGTAGATCTAGCAGAGGGAACCAGTCCTGAGACAGTTTGGTCACACACAGCTCAATCAACTTCTCAGCATTCTTAAAGATACATCTCTGAGGAAAGAGAAGTAGAAGATATATTAGTTGTACATTCTGCCTTGTATAAACCACATCAAATTCTTATCAACAAGCGACATCTATTCATAAATAATACATAAATAAATGTCAAATGCTCTCTACAAAGAAGACAAATTTACATGCTCTCCTTTCATACTTAAATTTTTACAACAAAATGTTACTATGTTGAAGGAGACTTACGTGGAGGTTAAAAATAGTCACACACCTCAAGTGTATTAGTGAACCCTGCCTCACTTAAGATAAGAGTTAGGACTACAAAGAAGTCAGCTATGGTACAAACCAATAAGTTTCTTATGCAACTTGTACTGACCAGCTCTGAGTACATAACTGGAATGATTTGGCAGTTTACTGGTTATGCCAAATGAACCTTTAAACTACCAAACAGCCCAACTTACATGGATCTCAAATTTCCAGCCGCTGACAGCGTCGTCTGTCAGGATTTTGGTGAAGGAAATGGTGAGTCCATCGCGGAAGAATCGCTGGCAAGCCTCACTCCGCGTGTCCAGGCCTGGAATGTGCGATAATGGAGAGTAAGAGCCGGCCGTACAAAAAGGTGACGTCGCTTAGCGTAAACAAAACTTATCAGACAACTCAGAAATAAACCACTTGTACATGCTAATCTTCAGCCCTTGTATCTCTGAGCAAAAAATCTAGAGTCAGCTCTATCGTGGATTACCAGCTCTCAATTACAGAATGTAGAAATATAGTTCAATATTTGAAATACACATTGTACAATGAAGAAACTTTAACCGGCAACTAGGAATGAAAAAAGCAGAAGTTTCAACTATATGACACCACTCTTTGCCAAAGAATGAATTGGTGTTTTCTACTTATCCAAGTCAAAAACTTTGATGAGTCCTGTCCAATTCTGTGTTTTCGCAATTCACGTTAAAGATTCTTCTCCAAAACATTAACTACCAGCACATTAACTTCCTAGGCAATACACGTTTTGATTAAGTCAAGGGCAGAATGAAGAAACATCTCACTTTTCTTGCACAGCTCTATGGATGCCTCCAGTAGCACCTCCAGTTCCCCTTTAGGCAGTACCGGCACCACCCAGCGTGGTCGGTTGATCATGTCATCCAGCTTAGCCAGCTCTGCATTAGGGAAGTCTGGCTCTACCCCCTCAGGCAGGTCCTCTACCCCCTCACTGGACACATTCTCCCCCCTCCCCCTCCGGAGCAGGGGGCTGTTCTACAGGGGGTGCTGTGGGGGTGCCCTGTTGGGGGGGTTGTTGTTGGGGGGGTTGCTGAGGGGGGTTGGCTGGTGTACCCCCTGGAGCTGGGTTCTGGGGAGAGTCCTGCTGGAAACAAGACCAGAGAATAAACAAAAGAAATTGATACAAACATAATACCATTAGCCTGGATGCCAGAAAACAACATACTAGACCCAGAGTGTGGGTCAGGGTCTAACTGAGGAGGGCTGCAGATTGTAACATTACTTAAACCTCAGCCAGCTATGGTAACCGTTTAGTACCAAAACTTGTTATAGCCAAATTTTGCTGGAAGACAAGCTTAGTTTATTGAGATCTCTTTGCATACCTTTACACGTTGATCTTTGTCCATCAAAATGATGGATACAGCAAAATTCTATGGACAGACAGTAGCTAGAACACTGGTTGTGACGTTACCTGGAGGTTGTCCCCACGCATGGCCACAGTCATTTAACCATTAGGCTGCTAAGGAACTAACATTTGTACTGTTTACAGGCAGCAGTGAGAGGGTTAATTTGTGATGTTACCTGGTTGTCCCCGCCTCATTTTTCTTACTTCCAAGTTCCAACACTGCAAAAGACTATTACTTAACCCTCAGGTTGCTAAAATAAATGATATTGCTCCTGAGGTTTAACTTTAAGGCAGCAGTTAGAGGGTTAATGTGCCGTACCTGGGGGTTGTCCCCGCCTGCGGGGCTGCCACGCATGGCCACAGTCATTAACCTTCAGACTGCTAAGGAACTAACATCTATACTGTTAACAGGTAGCAGTGAGAGGGTTAATTTTCCGTACCTGGGGATTGTACACGCATGGCCACAGTCATTAACCATCAGGCTGCTAAGGAACTAACATTTGTACTGTTTACAGGCGGCAGTGAGAGGGTTAAGTTGTGATGTACTGTTTATGGGCAGCAGTGAGAGGGTTAACTTTCCGTACCTGGGGGTTGTCCCCGCCTGCGGGGCTGCCACGCATGGCCACAGTCATCTCAGGTGCAGAGATGGGACAAATCTTGGCTGGGTCGTCCACCGTTCCAGAGGAGACAACAGACGGGGCAGGTTAAAAACTCGGCGTGTGGCAGTACTGAGACCTGGGGACCATCACAGCACATTCTCACCTACAAACTGGGGGGAAACAGAGCACAAAGTTAACATTTTATAATGTCCTGTCCACCGTTCCAGAGGAGACAACAGTCAGGGCAGGTTAAAAACTGGTCGTGTGGCAGTACTGAGACCTGGGGACCATCACAGAACATTCTCACCTACAAAGTGGGGGGAAAAAAGAGAACAAAGTTAACATTTTACGTATTTTATAATGTCATGTCCACCGTTCCAGAGGAGACAACAGTCGGGGCAGGTTAAAAACTGGTCGTGTGGCAGTACTGAGACCTGGGGACCATCACAGCACATTCTCACCTACAAACTGGGGGGAAAAACAGAGACCAAAGTTAACATTTTTTTCACCCATCAGGCCTAGGGAAACCAGGGACAAGTCTCACTTGATCAATCTATTGAAGAAGAGTGACTGGTCAAAAGCTCTAGGTGAGAACAATCCTTTGTAGAACTTTAAACATTCTTTTCGCCATGATTGTCATGTTTATAAATTGAACATTAAAATAAATGAGATTTCAGGAAGTATTCAATCCTCAGCTTCCTGAATTCTCAGAAATCATTAGGCAGAGGGGAAAAGAACTATTTCTCCAGATTTCAAAAAACATTCTGGAAAAACAGTGGGCTGGGAGGATCAGTGATCAATCTCAATTTACCAATCCTAGCTGAACTAGTTCCAAAGAATCTGATTCTGAAAATAAATGAATGAATATGCAGTGAAGTGTCCTGTTTCCCTGTTTAGACACAATGTCTAGCAACAGAAGATTGTGCTATGTAACAACCACTGGCAACGAGCCAGACTTCTCATGATTCCAAGTCTCACCCTGGGGAGGATATCTTCACTTTATTAGCTTCCGCTGGTTACAGCACCTGCTACCTGCAGATTTCAGACCCAGATATTATCCATTTTCCATTTAACATAAAGCAATTTGCCATAACGTTTTTATCTACGGATACAAATTTTCAAAGCAAAATGCATAGCCGATCTTAAAAGCCTTTTTAATAGTCTAGACCAGCACGGTTCCCACCAGTCTAGACTACAGTACAGGAGGATTTTCCATTAGCCAGGATTCCTTATCATCAATTTTTCAGGCCCCTTATCATGCAGACACACTTGCAGGAACCCTCACCCTCACCAAGGCCCTCTGATAACATGTCTCAGATATGTGGCATTCCGGTCCAAGGGTCGGGGCTACCAATTTTCCCCAACCCTACCATGGACCGGAAAGATAAAAGCATAATAGTATTAAACAAATGGCTTTTTCTTTTGCAGACACAATACCAGTAATGTTATCTTCATGGCAAAATCTGTTATCACCCGAAAAGCAATTGCCTGCATTATCTGCATTCTGCATTTTTCAACGGTGACTTGTACTCATTATTTGAAATGGAAAGCTTTTCATATCTGAATGCTTTCCAAATATTAGTAAAAAGCAAGATATGCCTAAATCTACAGTAGACAAAATAGCAGCTAAAACAAATCCACTCAGTTGAATTTTAGTTTTAGAAAGAGAACATTGAGATCGTAAATATGGCTCACACAAGCCCAATGCATTACATGCCAGGAAATACAGTATTCCATCCTAACAGTGAGAACAGTATGCCATGTGATTTTTGGAAAGACATCTACCATACCACCAGACAGTATGCTTGCAGACACACCAAATCATCAATCTAACATGGCAGCTCAGTTCCTAACTAAACCTTTTGCAGTTCTGAAAAAATATACAGGAGAAATTCCTAGAATTCAATTGAGAAGACAGACAAATATATGACTTCTGTAGACGACTTGGACTTTGTCTTGGGACTTTGAATTCTACATAATCAAATTGTCAAGACATTACAAAACATAGCTGAATCGCAAGTGAAATTTTTGGAGACCTTTCATGTGAACACTATTACTGATGGGATTATTGTGATTTAGACTTAATTAGAGATGGCATAAACTGATGATTAAAAAGAATGTTGATGCTACTTAATTCAATTTCGCAAAAGGATAATTTAAGTTTAATTTGATAATTCCTTACAAATATAAAATGCATGCACTTGAAGAGCTGAGTTGAAAATTGAGTGTGATGACAGGGCTGAGACTGAATAAATATAAATATCAGTGATGTAAGTTACCTGTTTAGAAATTCATCACTTCCTTTTTTCACTTTCAATGATAGAAGCACTTGTTACAAGTGTTCTGATTGGACATTGCATTAATCCATACTACAACAGGTGTCACAGTATCAAATTACAATCAAGGGCTGCCCAGCAATTTTGTTTAGAGCAATGCATTACCCAATTCCTGAGCACAAAGCAATGGCAACATTGAGGGCAATAAAGAATAATTCTTTGGGTATGAAACCTCACCCATGCCATTTCTTTTATCAAGGCGTTCCTTTATTGCAGTAAAATGTGTAAATACAGTCCCAATTTTTGACATGTTCAATCCCCTACAATAGGTACTATTAAAAAGGATGACTTGCTTGCTATCATTTTATAACATTGAGATCTCATACTCTACATCTGCATATGTGCTTACTGCTTATGATGTCTAAATTCTTATGTAACATAAGAAACATGCTCTCATATTCATAACCTCACAGGCATATGAAAGGAAATTTTTGTACATTTAAACAGAAGTATTACATTAAGGGAACATGGCATACAGCTAACATGGCCACAGCCTCGTTTTAGGTCAGCATACTGAATTACATATTACATCAACCTTGTAAGAGGATTAGGAACAGACATGACAATATAATTTTACGGCAGCTTTTGTCATGCACGGATGCGGGGATTCTGAAAAGAAGATTATCAAAACCATCACCAATCAATATATGTATAATAGGTACATGCTGTATTAGAAAAATCTTGTCTTGGTCAAAATACTGTGACGGATAGACACTGGTAAAATTTGGGACCATGACTCTGCATAGCCATTCCATGTATCTCATTCAAACATGAAGGAACATAAAATACCAGTACTCCTGGGCATAGACATGAGGCAGACTAGACAGACTGGGGCAATTAAAATGCCATCAACCAAAGGTTTGAATCTCTTTCTTTGTCTCTTTTGTAAGGTTAGGAATAAGGGTTGTAAAATGGGTCAAATTTACTAAATTCCTAGGAGAGTATGCTCTTTTCTTTCATCTTTTAAAAGATTCGGTTTGGATGCTCATACTTGTGGTGCATACAACACTGATTAAACATTCACAATCGGCTGTTTCAGAATTGAGTGTACCCATTTACTTTTCCACATGTTACCAGTTGATAACAAAGTCTACATGATATATTGATGTTTCAGACTTATATTTCCCAAAAGCTGGTGTGACAAGGAACATTACAATAAAAAAAGTAGGGAAATCGGTCAACATTTGGCGAAACTATCGACAAATATCTTACTTAAAAATGCCCCATTTTCAGTGTTACCAGCCGTCATTCAGTTTTTTCACATTCTAACCATTGCTGCAGACATCACAAATATGGTTGCTAGCTTAAGATTTCTTATTTTGTACAAGCAGGCATATGTTTACTAGAGATTTGTTACCAATTTTTGAAGATACACCACCTTTTTTTGCCGGGAAGGTTATTTTTCACTTTTACCCCCATGTTACCAATTTTAGTGAAATATTTACTTAAAGATTGCAAGGTCTTTAGCATTGTTTAATTATGCTGTTATAAGTGCTAGTTTGACATGTAAAGGTTTAATATGATGTATGTAAAAGAAAAAATTGAATGAGATCATTCCTACTTTCATCTGACTCACAGCTAAGGATTGAAGTACAGGCTGCCATTTTCCGAAAAATTTTGTCCCGTCCGTACCCCCTCTTGATTTCTACATTAAGTAAATACTATAAGCTTCTAATTGTGATGGCTTATAAGTCTATATTGGCATATACCAAACCACCATAGAAACCATTTCTGTGATAAAGACTTTGCCTGATATAGCACAACAAACCCCCAAATGTCCCGTCCGTACCCCTGTCCCGTCCGTACCCCCCACCTGTCCCGTCCGTACCCCCACTTTTAGTTTTTAGCCAAGTACTGTGGAAAATGGCATTCCAATTGCTTGAAATACACATAGTAAAACCTTAAAAGATGCAAACATTTGTCCTCCTTACTAAAATTAGTAGTTTTTAATGAATTCATCAACATTTGCTTTCACCCGGAGGAAGCTCTTGTGGACATTGTCTACTCCGGACTCACGTGCATGTGAACCAACTTTAGAGAACTGTTCTGGTTCTCTGAAAAATGTATTAACAAGCCAAGGTGTAAAAGAAAACATACCAGTTCATGTGCATTTTGTAGCTGTGCTAGAAATTAAGATTCCTTCAAGGGAGGAGGGTTGCCAATAACTCTGAATTTAGACTACAAGTCCTGCAGCGCCCCCCCCCCCATTCTTTTCTTTGAGCACACTCAAATATATAAATGTACAGGTTCTGATATGTTATGTGATGTTATTAATGCTGTTTCTAATGTTCCCAAAGCCTTTTTAGCAATATTAGTAATTAGGATCCTTAAAACCTACCATCAGCTGATTTTTTTAAGGAAAGCCCTAAATTATATAAGCCAGAAAAAGTTTCTGTTCATACTATAATATACAGAAAATTCTAATTAGAATGTCCAGCTCCCTTTTCCTTAGTCTAGACACTATTACAGTGTTTGTAGATACTTCTTTTCACTGGTATTAGTGAATAAATGTGTTTCAAAAGGTTTGGACAAGTCCCTGCAGTATCAGTCTTCTGACCCATTGTGTCCCGTCCGTACCCCCACATACAGTCATAAAAATGATCATTGAAAAGTCCATTGATGTGTTTCCAAGATATATAAGCTAGAACCTTTTGTAGAAATGTATACAGAATGAAATAATAACAGAGTTAAGCTTCCAAATTGCCTGAACTTGAAAATTTGGTATTTGACCTTTCCTTGAACATGAAATGGCAGCAAGTTGTTTTCCTCGCAATATAATAAATGACCAGAAAATGACACAGCAAGGTGTTACTGCAAATCAAAGTCAGTTTTTTGGTGTTGTGGATACTAGTAATGGAACATAATATGGAATAGTGTTTATCTTTTGTTCTTTATTTGGGTATATTCTATGTAACTTTACATACAGTCTTGCAGTTGTCCCGTCCGTACCCCCTTAATGACCCATTATGTAAAAGACCTGTATCACAGTGACCGAGAAGTGTTGTGCAGAGATATTTTAGGATATGAAGCCCAAAGTATGTACCTTTGAATTGCCAACATAAATTTTGAAGTACATGAAAGTTGATTTTTCACTCCAAGTGACAGCCTTTTGGTACACTCAATTGTGAAACAGCCGAATATAGCTCTGTTTATCTTTAACAGATCGAGTTTCTTCTTTTGAGCAATAGATTTGCATCACAACAAGTGTTGATTGTTTAATCTTACTGAATTACAGTAATCATAGACACTTGTGAAAATTCAGGGTGCCCCACATTCAGATGTAAATAATCGTGTACATACATCATGATATTTTTTCTGGTTCTCATTTTTGGAGGTGAATTTTGGGAATCTATCAACGCTAGATGCTAATTCAAGACACAGACAAAATCAGGCAAACATTTGAAGTATTCCTGAAACAGGAAATGCAGTGTTCAGTTACATAACCTTAGAATAGGCATTAGCACGTAGTCTGTATATTGGGATCTTTCTTCTTGTACACATACCCGTTTAAAGCTTCACTGACCTGTTTTCTTGTTGTTTCTGCAGTGTTTATTCTACTGACATGGGAGAAAAGCAAAATGGACTACCAGCCCTTCTGAGAATCTAAGGAAAGCATTATTTCCTTGTAACCAAATTAGGGGTTTAGCCTTAGGAATGCTTATGTATACCTAACAAGTCTTCCAAAACACACCAACTTAGTAATTTACACCAAAACAGAGACTTTTTCAGAACAAAACTTTGTGGAGAAAACAGATTTCTGGTGCCATTTGACTGGAAACCCCTCCCATTCTCAAATGAATGCCATTTGGATAAAACCTGAAACAGGAATGTTCCACATTATTATTCCAGCCACATACATGTGAGATATAGTCAGTAGTTTCAATCAGGAGAAACCAGCCTTGCTTCTAACTAGAACTATTTTCAGAAGTGGGACATATGACGACAGTGTTACTGAACTACATTATTATGCTGACACCAGGCTGTATCATATGTCACTGTTTCAACCATGTTATCAACACTGCTATATGATAGTATATCAGGGCTCAAATTATCAGTTTTCTGTATGATTCTTAACAACAGTTATACTAATGCAGTACATGTATTTCTACATTGCCAGATCGCAAGCTGTTTACAACATAACATATATTTTTCTTCATCCTTAACATTTTTTTTCTGCCAATGACTTACAGGTGTGTATTTCAAGGAAGGGTGTATCTGTATATGTATATACAACATCAAATCAACATTGTATAATCTCTTAACATTTTAAAAATACAACACATTTAAGCAAGTTAGGGCTAGGGAAATTATAGGACAGACAGTCTACAGCTAGGCTTATCAAAATTGAAGATCACAATTTATGGTGGCAAGAGACTAACCCTTGAAAATGCATCAACATCCATGTCATAATTGAATTTGTGTGAGACTAGTGTTCCCTGTGCATATTTCTGACTACAATCACATTTTCTGGGGCTTGTACAGAATATTAAACACACGGCACAGCCGGGCACACCGATCTGACAGATAGAGCCAAAGATACATCATAAATCTAACACCATGTCACGATCATATGAGCGATTGCATCACAGGGAAGGGAAGAAATTATGTTTCAAACCTTCCAAGTTGTTAAGATTTCTGTGACCCGCCTAATCCCTACCTATTTGACAGTAGCATGAAAAACGGGTGGATATACTGTCTATTGTGTACGCTGGGTAAGGATTTTGCAAAAATCACGGAAAAGGGCGTAACATTTTCAGACAGAGAAGGAAACATTCTGCGACAAAAATTAAAGTACGAGGGGATCGATACTGCCAGCTAGAGCTATGTTATGGCGAAAATGAACGAACCACGGGAAAAGAGGAACACATATACTTCCACAAATGTAGGAAATCTCTAGTTCTGGGTGATATGCCCGATGCCATCTTACCAGGCGAATAAAGTCGTCTGCCTGTAAGCCGCCAAAACTGCAACAGAAACCGGGTTTGCCTCAAGTCCAAGATGGCTGCTGCAACCAATGTTTACAATGCAAAGTGCGCAGTAAGGAATGCATAAACCGGCCTACACGTCCCCTTACCTGTCAAATGGTCCGGCTGGGTAGCTAGAACACATACATGCAAGAAACTCTGCAAGATGTCTTCAAAAATCCAAGATACAGAGGCCCAAAATACGGCAATAATCGCCGATTGACTCAATGTCAAAATACTGGGACCCTTGCATCGAAGATGAGGAAACCCCGTCAGAATGATGTCATGGGCGCCGCCATATTGTTTTTTCCTTGTTATAATTTATAAAATTATCGCCAAAATTGATATCTTGTCAAATAAATAAAGTGATTGTAAATGTATGAAAATATTCTACTCATAAAATCTTCGTTGATTGTACATTTATGATAGCCGTATCAAAATGTTCAACTTTGAACTTTCACCGATAGCCTGTTGGGGTCAGTGCCAGGTCACGAGTTCGTGTGAAGAGCGATCATGGCGAGTTACCGGTTCAATCTGGTCAAGGTGAGGGAAAAACAACTTTTTCTATCAGCGATTTGTAAATTTACAGTATTACAAGATAGTAAGAGTTTCAATGACGTATACTCTTCGATTAAGTGATGAATTTTGAGGTCATAATGGCCACAGTTATGAACGTAATTCCACCATGCCGTATAACGCCCCCCTCCCTCCAAAATCTTAGGTGCAGACAACTCCACTACTAACGTTACATGTAGTACTGTGTACACATTGTAAATATGCCACATTTTTGTCCTATCTTAACAGCTTGTATTCACTGTAAAAATAGGCCAAGTAGACATTAAGGCAGTTTGCCGCTCATGCGATGTAAACAAACCAACAAAAATTTACTTTTGGTTGACATTGCCACCTTCAAAAGATTCCTTTCTCTTGAAAATGTTTTGCACCTGATACCTTAATTACATGGGTTTAAGACTTGTTTACCTTGAGGGAATATCATTTCACAAATTTCATTGTATATTCAACATTGTTCATAGATTGTTGATGTTTTCTTTCCCTTCCACTTCCAGCGTGTTCCACAGTTCAGTTCCTCGCTGTATAAGATAGCCAGACGATGGTGTTCCATCTACACTACACGGGTGGACCCAACCGAACCTGTAAGACTACTTTTCTACTTAATTGTAGCAGAAAAGATTTGCATGTACTGTTTTCTGTAAGATGCTAGTATAAAATATTTGAATTAAAAATGTGATACTATGTATATATGATTATATGTGTGAAGTCAATGTGTGTGATAGTTTTATAGTACATGTACAATGATTTACTGAATGATGTATGTTGCTTTCTATTTGCAGACATTTGACAAAATTCTCATTGCCAACAGAGGAGAGATAGCCTGCAGGGTAAGTCATTGTCACTTTTTGAATTTCTACCCTAAGGCCTAACTCTTTTTGACTTAATCCTTTGTGTTGAAATTACCTGTACTTCTAACATTGGTTAACATTTGGAATTTGTTGATTTTTGGAATGGATCCTTGGAAATGATCCTGTTGTTAACTCACTTATGTATTTGTTCCCCTATTGCAGGTGATGCAGACATGTAAGCGGATGGGAATCAAAACAGTCGCCATCTTTAGTGAGGCTGACAGACATGCAGTAAGTATGAACCTATTTTGGTACGCAGTACTGAAATAATTCTTTTCTATACCAAACAAATATTGGGTCAAACTTTATGGTTCCTTGGCCAAGGTAAAGGAAGTCATCCTTCCCATAAACTTATGGATGGCACCTTGCCTTGGTGCTGAAATAGCTTTCCGTCACAACTTGGGTCTTCTGAAAACACTGTTACTGACTTATTCACTGCCAGGTCTACCTTGACATCATGACATGTGGACAACCTGATCTTCCAGTTGTTGACTAATCCTCAGAATTAGTTTCTCCATGTGTTAGTGATACTCAACTTTTTTCTGTCCTTCCAGCTTCATGTGCAGATGGCAGATGAAGCCATGTGTGTGGGCCCTCCTCCCTCCAGTCAGAGCTACCTGGTCATGGACCGCATCATGGACGTCATACGGAAAACTGGCGCTCAGGCTGTGAGTAGAGTTGTGGGGACTACATGTATTTTCTTAGTACAGAGTGGTAATACATGTACATTAATCTTAATCCAAGATGCTATAGTTAGGGCCTTATCGCATACATCAGCGGATTCATCCTTGTAAACTTGTCAATGGCAGCTCTCCTTGGTGCTGAAATAGCTTTCCGTCACAACTTAGGCTATATTACAACACTGTCACTCACTTACTCACTCACACAACAATCACAAACTGAGGGCTTTCTTGGCATGCATGTTTTCTGTCACAACCAACTGTCTTGTTATGGAACAGGCTGCCTTAGATTATGTCACAGTCTGCTTGAAAACACTATGACATCAAAATCATACAGCATCCTATAATGAATGTGACCAGCCCATTAGTCTCATGTATACCGCGAACTTTTGTGTTACAATATTTAGTGTACATCTCTGAATGATCATGTTTTCTGTCACAGGTCCATCCTGGCTACGGCTTCCTGTCAGAGAACAAAGAGTTTGCCAAACAACTAGTAAGTAGAAACACTTAGTACTTGATAGGTTCAGTAGCAACCTGAGTACACATTATCATCAAGTTGAGCTTGAAGATAGCTTTTCTGACTTTAAATCAAACCAACAAAAAGAGTTGACTCACTGTCAAATTTTCAACTTTCCCATACAGTTCTTTACCAGTGCAGGTATGGTGAATTTCAAGGCAATAAATGATGAACCACTTTATTGTTTATAGGCAGATGAGGGTGTGGTTTTTATTGGCCCTCCCTCCGGTGCCATCCAAGCCATGGGAGACAAGATCGAGAGTAAACTCCTGGCTAAGGATGCCAAGGTCAACATCATCCCAGGCTTCGACGGTGTGGTCAAGGTCAGTAGGAACCTACTTCATCCCTGCATCCATCCATCCATCCATGTATTGATTTGTTAGTTTTTTTTTTTTTGTGTGTGATTATTCAGTAATTCATTGCTCGACCTGTGGATATATGATGCTTTAATTTGATCCGCTGGTTAGACACAGATGCAAAATAAAAATTAATGCCCACTGTTGTCATTCACTGAATTGTCTAGTCTTGAACACAGATAAATATTAAAATTGTACATTAACAACATGTACAAGTAATATTGGGATTCTTTTTGTTTCACTTAGGATGCTGATGAGGCTGTAAAAATTTCCAATGAAATAGGTGAGTTCCTCTATGCTGTGAAGTTATTCAGCTATATAGGTACAGTATGTTTTGTTGATCTTTCCTGACCAATAATGATATTGTTGTCTGTCTGTTTGTTTGTTTGTTTCAAACTTTTTGTTTGTTTGTTTGTTGATATTTTGCCTCCTGTTTCCTTTGACTTCAGGTTATCCTGTGATGATAAAGGCATCAGCCGGAGGTGGAGGAAAAGGCATGAGGATTGCATGGAATGACAAGGAGGCAAGGTAGGAAAATTAAATTTAACTCAGATGTGACTGTGATTTCATTAGCATACCTGTAGTTAACAATTGGCATAGTCAATAATTTTGGAATTACACATATTAAACAAGTAGGATTCCTCTGAGATTACCTTAAAAAGTTCCAGGCAAAGTACAGTTTTCACACTTTCAAATTCTATGTCTGAAAGCTAACTTTGTTGAAACTTTGTTGAAATTTTGCTATAATAGTGGTTATTCTGTTTTGTTTATCCAGAGATGGTTTCAGACTTTCTTCTCAAGAAGCTGCGTCTAGTTTTGGTGATGACCGTTTGTTGATCGAGAAGTTCATCGACAACCCCAGACACATAGAAGTGCAGGTAGGAGCAAGGTTCAGTTTCTTACTAGTTACTCACTAAGAAAGCACAACAAACATCTTTTCACAAATGGTTGTCTTCATACAGCCATGCAGCAATGTTTTCAATAGCCTCCTGTTTGGAACTAGACCGGAACCTGTTAAGTTCAGTGAGGAGGTCTCCCAACACCTAGCGAACCAGCAATAACTGCAGTACCACTTCCTGTGTGTTTTACTTCATCTGTACTAATTCTTCCATTCCTCTCTGCCCAGGTTCTGGCAGACAGCCATGGCAATGCCTTGTACCTCAACGAGCGAGAGTGTTCCATCCAGAGAAGGAACCAGAAAGTGGTGGAAGAGGCTCCAAGGTACTTATATCTTGTCTCAGCATTCCTTACTCAAATTGTAAGATAGTTTGAGATGATCTAGTCATCAAGTCAGTCTTTTGAGTTGAAATATGAGTTGATAGACATGGAATAGAAAGAAATTTTAGGATGCCAATTTGGAGTGACCAGAAAGATTTAATGCAGGATTTTTTAATACCACTTAGAGTTTGAATCACATATAAAATGTTTAAGGTATTAACCTATTGATATTTTCCTCCAGTATATTCCTGGACCCAGACACAAGAAGAGCCATGGGAGAACAGGCTGTGGCACTCGCCAGGGCTGTAGAATACACATCTGCTGGTAAGTACTAGACCATGTCTTTGCTTTTGTTATTTTGTGCAAGCTTAGGTGTGAAAATTTTAAGCTGAAATTAGCAAGACTTTTCAAACTTATTTTGCTCTTTAACCCTTGTCCTGCTGGCAATTTTTACACAATATTTTCAAATAATTTCATGTCTTAATCAGGTCACAGACCCTTGACTTTTTTTGCCCTGCGGCGGCGTAGTTACTTCTGCATTCGTTGCGTTTCGCTGCGGTGTGATGCGTTGCACGAGAAACACCCCCAAATCGCACATATACAGGGCGCTATATAGATGATACTGTATGTGCAACCCATATATATGTCCCGCAGGACAAGGGTTAACATTCCCACTTTTTGTACCAAAAAATTGATCCAGGATTCGAAACATTTCAAACTGCACATTAGAAGGAATAACACAGCCATGTAACTTCTGCAGGTACTGTTGAGTTTCTTGTGGATTCTCAGAAAAACTTCTACTTCCTCGAGATGAACACAAGATTACAGGTAAGTTATTAGAGTAAAAGTTGTGATTATCCTAAATTTATCATAAATGCCATGCCAAAAGAAGTTAGGGAAAAATGATTCTCAAGGAAGTAAAATTGCACAGCTGCAAACATTGAAGTTGTGAATCAAAGATACTTAACAATGGGAAATTGTGGGTTTATTAGAACAGTGTTTGTAAAAGATAACAGTGATTATATACTTAGAATGAAAGCAATTTTGTCCAACCTCATTTCTCCATTTCCTTTGTTGTATAAAGAAGTGGATTCATTCCCCAAGCTAACCGACATCTATCACACCACAGTCGTCCCTCAGTAAGACATCTGGAGCCGCATGGACGCATGGTTCCTGTTTAAAACTTTTATTCAGTCTGTCACAACCAGTTTTGCCCTGTGAGCTTCTTTGTTAGTACCTGTATGTCCATGTGATAGATGGCAGATCACTGAGGAATGAGTCCACTTTCATTTATACTCTAAGAAATAACTAAATATATACTTCATTTCTTTTGTCCCTTTCCATTCCACAGGTGGAACATCCAATTACAGAGTGCATCACTGGCATTGACATTGTACAGCAAATGATCAGGGTTGCAAAAGGTAACAACCAATCACATATGATTAATCACTTCCTGGACAAAGCCTATACTTTCCTAACAATTGTAGGTACTCATTTTGAAGGCTAAAATAGTCACTGTGTCAACTTGTGCTCTCAGTTCATTTAGTGATGCTGAAGAAGAGTGATGGATGTCCCTCAAAACACCCGGAATTTATCTCTGTTATTTATCCAGTAGTAGAGTTTGACTTGTCTCTGAATATTGGTAAAATAGATGTAAATTTTGATGGATTTTTTTTTTCTCCCCAGGACATGAACTGACCATCAAACAGAGTGACATCCCCATACGTGGCTGGGCTGTGGAGTGTCGAGTGTACGCTGAGGTAAACTTTTTTTAAACTTCGTTTTTGACAGTAGACTGTAATCCATGCTTTGATATCGAGAGTAGGAGCAAATGGAGCAGTACTTTTATACAAACATAAGTATAGAAGGATGCCGCTACTGTTACAGTACTTTTATAAGTGATGTTCTTTAAGAATGTTTCTCTGTCTTATTTAGGATCCCTACAAAAGTTTTGGTCTGCCATCAATAGGCTGGTTGAACAGGTACCAGGAGCCGACACATCTGCCAAAGGTAAAAGAACATTAACCAGTTTAATCCAGTTTAATTCAAATATGTATCTGCAAGCACTTGTAGTTCCATAGCTAGTTCCAAATCCATTGTCTAGAGAATTGGGCCTAGATTAATACATCACAAGCAATTCAAATGTCTGTCACCCAGGCAAGGATCAATTTTTCTGTTTTTTTCTTCAAATCTGCTAGCCCTAAACTTCTAGTATGATAGTAAGACAATCGTGTACACAAAGAAAGGCTTAGAAATGCTGTGCAGATTCATCTATGTCTTCTTGATCCTCCCAGGTGCGGTGTGACAGTGGTATCCAGGAGGGAAGTGAAATCAGCATGTACTATGACCCCATGATCTCCAAGGTCGGTCTTTACTCTTCTCAAAGAAACATGAACCTCTAGAAAATCTTTTTACTTTCTAAGACATAGTGTAAGCAGTTACATAACTTTGGTACCTCTTCTAACTGATGCTTCTAACTGAGTTTGTAAGGGATGTTGAAGGTACAGTACTTGTTTTCCAGTTGGTGACATATGGAGACAATAGAGAGGAGGCCCTACAGAACATGTGCAGGGCTTTGGACAACTATGTCATCAGAGGTATGTGGTAATGTACTTTCAGCAAAGCAAAAAATGATAGTTTATTTATGTGACACTATTCCATCCAACATGCTCAGTGGACTAATAGTAAGTAATTGTGGCTCTGGACTCAAAGAATTAAAGTTGTTTCTATCTGTTGTTTGCTATCCTAATTTGCCTTCTATAGTTATTCTATAGTTATTGGTCTATGGTCCACTGTTTGTTGCAGCTTTTCCAAGCTTTGTACATGTATATAT